GTCCAGAATGATAGGAAAATGTAAGTTTCATAGTAATCAGGTTCACCCCAGAGTCCAATATTTCTTGTATCTCATGACGTAAATCGGCAGACACCGGAAAGACGGAACAGTTTTTTGAAGAACCTGCCAGTGAAGAGTTTTGATAACTTGCATTCATTGGAATGGTTGTATTACCAAAAGCTGGTTGAAAAGGCATGGTATCTGCAATATACAGATAAACGCCTAGCAAAAATAAGGTCATCTGCAACTTCATTTTGCGCCTGAATATTATCCTTGTTGGCTGAGTAGCCTTAAATACCCTGTGTTATCGGAAGATCTACTAATGTCTATTCCACTCTGTAATATGATTATATATTAAAAGCAAGAAAATTATTTCTACGAATTTAATTAGATGTATTTTATTTTTTATTTTAGATGTATTTTACATAAAAATATGAAATCGATTTAGCTTCTAGAACTATTGGCCTAAATTGCATACTATCATTTATCGTTTGATCTAGAAATGATTAATGGAATGTGATACTTTACATATAAGGAGTTTAAATTTTCATTACCTTTCCGTGTATTACCAAAATCCGTGATGATTCTAAGAAGTCAATTTGTAACAGGATTTATAATAAATTCACAGGATTTATAATAAATTGTTAAAGCTCTTAACATCAATATATTTTTAAAATTTATTTGCGGATGTATAGCGACCAACCATGTCCTCATTTGTTTCGAATATCTCACTGATCTATTTTAAATCATTGAAAAATCTGTTTAAATTGGTTCTTCGAACATCTTGGATTGTGTAAGCAAATTTTTAAAAGTAGATGCATAGAAAGCAACTCTTAATTCTAACACTAGACGATATACTAGTACTTCTTTCATATCAAAGAATGTAATTCTAATTGTGTTGTCATGTTATAATGAAGTAAATTATGATAGGGTCGAAATAAATCAAATTGTAACGTAAAAATTGAATGTCACAGGTAAAAAAAATTTAATGCGGTTCAGAAATGTGACACACCTAATTGTACACATGATCTTAATTAAAAATATAAAATTTGGATGAGGGAATTTTTCCCTTGAAATTTTGAGAGGAGGGTCTTACCCACTTGTCTGCATCTCTCGTTACATCCTCGGAGATAGGTGTATACAACTCAGCATACTTTTTAAACTATTTTTGCAAAAAGTAACGTTAAGAAGAAATATAATACACGTAAAAAGTTAACGTTGCATTTATAGAGTCAAGAATTTTTTAAGAACATCGAATTTTGGAATTTTGCAACTTGTTACGTAAAGTACAACTTATACGTACAAAATGAATGTCTAAGATTAATACTTACAGGAAGTCTCCTAAGACAGGAAAACCTAACATCGATGAGTAAGAAATTAAAGCTTATAAAAGATATATATTAGTCCTCCGATACATGTACATGTACATGTAGCTTCATAAGCATGTCTCCAGAACATTAATGTATATACATGTATCACTATGATCTTTTAAAAAACCACCTTACTTGTATTACGTTTATAAGACAAACAAATCTTGGCTAGACTACTTTGTTTTAAGTTGTAAGGTATAAAAAATAATTTTGAGATAATAAATTTAAAAATCATACTATAATATTTCTCCTTTAAAGACAAATTAATATTTATTGCTTAAGTTTATATAATACAAGGAATGGAAGAACCCATGTGAAACATAGTTGTGAAAAAATTCGTGTCAGCTTTACATCAATAGGCCTAAGCAAATGCAAGAGGCCTTAATTGACTTCGAATTCCTGTCATTCCACTGTTCTGTTATCTACAAATTGGACTAATCGTTTCTACGAATTGACAAGATCGGAAAAATCAAATTCAAATATAAACATTTATATCGGGAAAAAAATTATTGAATGGAACATTTCTTAAATTTACCTTTAAAAAAATATTAGCCTTGTCAAATTATTCATCATTTATTGAACTCGTACACATCTTCGTACTTTTAAGATGGTTTTAATAGTAAATTTTTATCCTGGTATAAAACAGACACATTCACAGGGGTTTTCAGAGTTCGATGTTGTTGTTTTTTTTTTCAACCTGATTAAAATCAAAACTTCTAGCTTTATTTTGATACATGTTGTCGCTTGCTTTTAGAAATCCATGTAGTAGGTCTGGGCATGTTTAGATAAGCTCTGGATATATTTTATTCTTTTTATATGAAAATGACTGTTTCCTATTCCATGTCTATTATACACATTTAAAAAAGTTTCTATTGGTCTCTCTTGAATGCATTTCCCTCAAACTTTTATTTTGCAAATAATGTAAAGGATTCTGAATTAAGGGTTGCTGTAGACATGAAAAAAGAAATAAGACTTTATTTATCAAACATATAGAAAGAAAACTGTAAAGGAAAAGTTATTCAAAAAAAAAAAAAAAAAAAAAAAAACAGACACACTCTATATATACCGGTATCTCTCACCCATTATACCTTTTCTCCTACCCTTCCCTCCCCTTTCTGATTTATTCCTCTGTCTCTATCACCCATTCCTTTCTCCACGCTGTCTTCTTCCTCTGTCCACTTATTTTCTCTCAAATTTCGCTTTCATTTCCCCACTCATTCTATCCACTGCTCCCCCGACCTCCCCTCTCTCTCTCTCCCAATCTGATAGTCCATCATGGCCATCTGTCTTTCATTACTCTCTCTCTCTCCTCACTTACACGTGCCTCTCTTTCCTGGGTCTAACTCTTCTCAACATTCTTAAAGCCCCCAACCAAATATTACTCTTTCCTCCACACCCTCAGTTTACTTTTTCCACAACCACACTTCCCACGCTAGGACTCCTCTTTATCCACTCTCTCATTCTACCCCTTCCAAGCTCTCTAATTATGCAACCTTCTCACTCTCCCAACTCATTCTCTTACTTTTCTACCTCCTCATTCTCTTGCTCCCTCCCAGCTCTCTTACTTCTTCCCTGTACTCTTACTCTCCTGACTCCCTCACACTCTTACTCTCTTTCCCCGCACTCTTACTCTCCCGCACGCTTACTCTTCTCCCCCACACCCTTACTCTCCTCCCTCCCCTGCACTCTTACTCTCCCCTACTCTTACTCTCCCCCCTGCACTCTTACTCTCCCCTACTCTTACTCTCCACTCCCCGCCCTCGTACCCTTCTCCCTCCCCGCACTCTTACTCTCTTCCTTCCGCACACTCTTACTCTCCCCTACTCTTACTCTCCTCCCCCTGCATTCTTACTCTTCTCCCTCCCCCACACTCTAACTCTCCTCCCTCCGCACACTCTTACTCTCCCCTCTGCACTCTTACTTCCTCCCTTCCTAGCACTTTTACTCTCCTCTCTCTCCCCCCGCTGTTACTCTCCTACCTCTCCTGCGCTTTCATTCTCCTCCCTCCCCTGTACTTTCACTCTCCCTCTTCCCCCCACACTCTTACTCTTCCCCCCCCCCCCCACCGCATCCTTACTCTCCTCCTCCCAACACACTTACTCTCATCCCCCACACACTTACTCTCCTCCTTCCCCCACACTCTTATTCTCCTCCGATCCCAGCTTTTTTATTCTTCAACCCTGAACTCTTACTTTCCTCCCTCCACAGCATACTTACTCTCCTCCCTCCCTAACTCTCTTACCCTTCCCATTGCACGCACTCTAACTCTGCCCTTCCAAAGCATTATTAATTTTCCCTGCACTCCTACTCTCCCTCCCCTTGCAATTTACCTTTCTCCTTCCCGAACAATTACACTCTCTCTCCTCTATTCCTAGCACTCTTTCTCTTCTCCCTTCCTGAACTCTTACTCTTCCCTTTCCCCACATTCTTACTCTCCTCCTTGCATCTTTACTCTCCCTCCCTGCACTTATACTCTCCCCTCCCTTGCACTCTTGCTTTCCCTTCTCCCCCACACTCTTACTCTCTTCCCTTCCCAACTCTCTAACTCTTCTCCCTCCCTGCACTTTGACTCTCCAACTCAACACTCTTACTCTCCACATCCCCCGCACCCTAACTCTCCCCTTCCCATGCATATTCTCTCTCCGCCCACACATCATTACTCTCCCCTGCAACTTTACTCTCCCTCGCACAGGGCTGCACTCTTACTCTCCCTCCTCTCTTGCAATCTTACTCTCTTAACTCCCCCACGTACATTCTTTTTTTCCCCTGCACTCTTACTATCCGCATCTCATGCACTCCTACTCTCTTCTTTACTCATACTCTCCTCCATGCCCACTCTCTCCAACCTCATTCTCTTGCATGAATGAAAATTATAAGACTTGGGGGAGAACCATTTGCTTCCACGCGTTCCTTCCATACTCCCTACCGTCAATCCATTCTTCGCTCTCACAACTTTCACACCTTGTTAGTGAATAATCATGATTCTAGACATTTTTGTTGTGATCAGTAATGCTCCTAGGGGCAGAGTAGTCCACCAGCATTTGATGTAATATTATTTGCTGCATGGTTATACTTTACTGTCAAGGGGTAAGGACCCCGTGCTCGATTCAATTCTCTGTGGTTTGCAAATAGGGGGTCTTTTCAAGGGGAAGTTAAAGTGTTGGACCAATCAACTTAACTTCATATCTCATTGATAGTTAATGAAGTTGCTGAGAAACTTAAATATAGTAGATTTGGGGAATAAAACAGTGAGACATATACGTGTTTTCGTGATATTTTAAAAAAAAGGTTTTGCACCGCCGTCAGTCAGACAACGACAACAATGATGAATATGTAACAAATCCTCACCAGTCAGTCATTCTGTGAGCAGTGGAATAATCAGTCAAATCAAATGATTCAGGCCTAATTTAAGATGCTTTAATTATTTTATGAAGTTTTTATTTTCACCACAAGGACACTCTGGTGTGTAATAACATTAATAAAAAAGCAATAACTTCATGCACGACGAAAGATTTTTTTCTAAATATCTTAAGTTAAACCACTGAGATAATTTTTTTTAAAAAGAAATCAAACTAAAAACAGTACGAATAAATATGTGTAGGGGTTATTGAGATAGCCAAGCTTCTGTGTGATCAAGACTTTTAGCGCCATTTGTGAAAATGAAACTAGATATTTCTTTGCGGTGATTTCAACAAAAGTTCAATGTTGTTCTCGTTTAGAAAGACAGAAGTATGTATTTAGTGTTCTAATGATAAACTTTTGTAACCTGTTGTTTTAACAAACTTCTCTAATGACGAAAGTTGTATGACACGTCATGGTTTTTAATCGTAGTGCAGGACACATGGGACGTAATGGGATGTATTTTAGCAGTTATCAGGTCTGGCACAATGTCTTGATTAAGCTATATAGATTGATTTAGCTATATAGCTTTATTAAGCTATTTGGAATAGCTTGATTAAGCTATTTTATCACAATTTTTTCTCAAATGTTTTATTTTTTCAGCATGTGCAAAAAGTCGCACCCTGGTGCAGTCACTGCAGTGGAAATATTAAACATTGAACTCTTCTGAATACAGTGCATGTAAAAATCACTCACCAAATTGCGTCTCCTTGAGAGACTTTGTACTCAAATTTTTAAATGTTTGGGGGGCTATTGATGAATGACCACACATTTATTTCTTGAATGAAATTATAAAGGAGGTCAGTTATAGCCAACAAGATAATTGATTGGTAACAGTTCAACACAATGAGAAGCAATCATAGTTATCCACGCCTCACCGCACTCAATAGGACACTTTCCACCACTGCAGTTACCCAAACAATGGAAATTCATCTTTTGCTAAAAAGTATTCAACAACAACAATGTTAGAACTTTCTATGATTCAGGTTGTTTTTTTTTTTTTGATAGCCCATAGTAAACGTATGAATAGTCAATTACTTGCGACTTCTTGTTTATTTCTCACCAAAAACGTTTTTGTTAAAAGCTGCATATAAATAGCTTTATTAAGCTATTTTAAATAGCTTAATAAAGCTATATAGCTTTATAAAGCTATATTATAGCTTAATCAAGACATTGTGCTGGACCTGTTTAATGTTGTTGAAAACAATATTTTTTTCACACATGCTATGACCTAATTTTGAATACAAGTCTACATTTCAAATAAAATAAAAGTATATAACTATTACAGGCAAAAGTGACCGAGAGTGAGAGTCCGACTTTGCAGTAATATCTGCCACTGGATTATACAGCCAAGCTTCTCTTTGATGTAAAAGGAAAGAAAAGAATGAAAATAATATTTTAGAATCTATTTCTACTTATATATATATTTTTTTACAGTTATAACACTTAAAAGGACAATGTTTTCAGCATTTGCCAAATTAATAAGTTTCATTTTGAATGATGAAGAAGATGTTTCAGAAAACAATGGATTATCAGCACAAGAATTAAATGATGAAGACAAAGGTAAGCGTCTATTTTGAAGTTTAAGATAAATTGCAATGAAAGGTAAAAACAGCACAGATTTTATCATTTTTCTCTCAAGTTAAATGTTAATGTGTGTGTTTATCAAAATATTCGATCATTCATATGAGTTCATTGGTACGAATAACACATGCATATATAGAAGTAGTTTCATATTTAAACTTGATAATTTGCTGGAAATATATAATAACTGCTTTACAATTGAGGACAAAATTTAAATTGTTTTCATTCTTACTTAGAGGAGTAGGAAGGTATAAGTTCCCATTTTAAAAAAAGTAGATTAATGTCAGTTTTAATTAATCTTAATTGATTAAAAATGGTAATTTTTATAGTTCCTCCATATGATCACATTTCCAGTTCATATAAATTCTTTCATTACTTCTTTAATTGGTAAAAGTAATATTTATTTCGTACATGATTCACTTTGCAGTACAAAGTTTATTATAGCTCTTTAAGTGCTCTGGTTGTTTTGAAATTCTTTTAACTATAGGATTTGATTGCACAGATGAGAAAGAAGGATTATCTAAGAATTCACATGGAAAGGTGACTCACGTTTACAATGATTATGGTCTTATCGATGGTGAGATCTTTTTCACAATCCAAACTGTCTTGTCAGAAAAAAGACTTGGTCTAGGTGAAGAAGTCAGTTACGTCGCAAAACGGGAGACCCTGGGCTCAGGTTGGCGCGCGACTCAGGTTGCCTTAGCAACCAGCTGGGATTTTGATGAAGATGATAAGGAGGATAAATCAATAGTGGGGATCATCGAAAAATTTAATGGGGAATTTGGAACCATTAACGGACAGATCCAGTTCAGTGTGTCGGCAGTAACCTTGGAAAACTATGTTCCGTGTGTAGGGGACTACGTCACAGTGGATGTGATGAGGGTTTGTGGTTTGTTGGAGGCAAGCAATATTAAGCCGCTAAGGATGTTTGAGAAGGAGGGACAGATCTCCGCCGTGCAGCAGGACCATGGGTACATTGATGGGGACACATTCTTCACCCTGGCTGCCTGCTGTGATGGATTCAGTCCTCGGAAATGGGACAGAGTGCAAACTGTTGTCATTGAGAGTGCCCAAGGCCAGTGTAGCTGGAGGGCTATATCTATCAAACCTGTGATTGTCAACCCCTCTCTGAGGTAATAAAAAATACAAGTATTGTTTGTTGTGATCTGAAATATCTTTAATTGTCTAAATTTGATAGAAAACATAAAGAAAGGTTAATGCATTATAATCTTTTCAATGGTAACCATAAATTTCATAAAATTAAAAAAAAACATGAAAACAAATTTGTTTCGAAATTAAAAAAAAATTAATTTAAAGATTGAAGTTTTTCATAATCACCTCTTTTTGATAAAATTGGTGTAAGAGGAAAGTAAAATTTCAGTGTATCAGCCTTTGCTAGTCCCATGAAGTCAAGCTTCCTTGATGATCTCCAAAAAAACAAAAATGGCATTCATGTGTCCTTGGAGACTGATTTTGGGAAAGTAGATGTGGGGGAGAAGCGTAAATTGACCGTGTGGGTCCAGAACAAAGGGGAGACAGAACAGGTGTTTCTGAGGGCTCATCTACCACCAGAATGTAAACAGATCAACATTGAAGGTAATATAATTTAGGAGAATATACTGATGTAGCGTGGGGCATCTTAATTGGCTAGATGCCAGTAATCCTGTTGCTTCATCCTGGAGACAATGCTTTGTTGCAATACTCTTATCTTGTATTATAATTCTTTTCAGGCAATATTGCAGCAATTCAGTCAATTAAAATCTTAAGTATTTATCTGGACAATTTTATGCTGAAATGTTTGGAATTGATTAAGAATTGATGTGCCATCTTTAAACTATTCTGGCAATAGCTGCATGTAGAGATCATTTGAAAATGACAGCATTTTTTTTATATTGATATATTAAGTCAGGATATATTATAATATTCTTGTTGTGCTGCACTAAGGGCATTGGAGGAAAAAGTTGTTTGAATAGTATGTACATGCATACATTGACCTTTTTATTTATTTTTTAGGTGTGAAATACTTAAGTGAGCATACAGCCATGATGAAATCTGGGAATGTTGAAGTCAAGAAGGGGAAGATAACTCTCTATCCAGCTATGTCCTTGTATATAAATCTATCACTAGAAGCAAAGTATGTGTAAATTTGCTATTTCGACAGTAGTTTTATAAGCACACATGAACATTCATATGCACCATGTCAGCTTTCCATGTACTACATGCATTGTGACATATTAGATATAAGTTTATGCTTAAAATTGAGCTGAAATTGAGATTAATTAATTTTCTCTAACTTTTGAAGAAATTATTAATATATTAAGATGTCAGTGTCCATTTTCTTTCATTTTCCCCTGTTGCAGATTCCCTGGAACAGAGAAACAGCTTTTGGTGGTAACTTTTGAGAAGTTCCGTATTGGACGGTACATCACCGCTGAAATCGCTGATCCATATCATAGTTTGGTACCTGTAGGGCCAGTCTACAAAAGTGAACAGAAAATGTCACCCTTCACCAGATACAGAACCTCAGCCAATGCAGGTCAAGGATGGGTGGTTCCAGGTGAACGACCACAGAGGTAAGGTCATGGGTGGTGCCAGATGAACGGCCACAAAGGTAAAAGTCATATAAAAAATTATGTCAAATGATATTAAATACTGCTGCAACACAAGAACGTGGAAACAAGTAGTCAAAAGAATCACAGTTTTAATGTTTACAGCTGTACATGTAATGACAATTGGACGAAGAAAATACATTTACATGTGTTTGTGGAAAGGGTTTGAGTATATAAATTGATTTTGTCATATTGTTCAAACTTTAGTTATGAATAAAGTCATAGGTATAGAGGAAAGGTAAAATGTCAATTTTTATATGGAATTGACCAGAGGAATAATTGTAGGGTCATGCATTTTTTGCTTTTTTAAAGGGGTGGAAGGAAACACATTTTGAAATTACCCAATCGACTACCACAATACCCTGTGCCTCAGTTACTGCGGAACTTCGTTCTCAATGGTGACCAGCTTCTGGAAATCTGCCCTGAGCTCACACAGGTTAATGTAGCTCTTGTTCTATGTGAACTAGTTGCACCCCATTGATTATGTCTGTCTTGCAATCTGTCTACAATTCTATGGATTCAAGATTTTAGATCTCTGCATGACATGTATTTATAAGCGTTAAAATATTGCAATTTTTTTGTGACCAGGCAAGAACAAGCTTAACAATTACAGATGTACCTCGTAAATATATTTGTAATATTAGTAAGAAAAGTTAATTAAAATAATTCATAAATTAAATGACCTTATGTCCTTGTAAAATTGGAAACTTAAACTGAGTCAAAATTCAGTATTAATTGTTTTCTGAAAAGCATTCGTTAGTGATCTTGACAATGCATGTACAAGAAAACCTGTTTACTTCCAGGATTTGACCACTGAGAATTATGTGAAGAAAATGAAGACCCTTCTTCATCTGGAGGAGATACAGATGGATATAGACATCAGAGAGTTTGACTTAAGCAGGGTATTTCATATCAAAAAATGAAATCCATTGAAAAATAATTTTTAAGTTTTAGAATATTATGACAGATGAACATAAAACCATGGTCCATATTTGGTTCATAAAATACTGGGACAGGCAGCTATACATGTACCGGGGTATGTAGATTGCGATCTGAAGTAAAATATATATACATATGTAGATCTGAAATAATTCATGAATTACACAGTATCAATAGAATAAATACATTGTAGGTTCCTCTTCGACCAGTAGGGGAGTTTCTGGGGTTAGGAGTACCCGGACTGGCAGAGGGACGACCCTCAGTGTTGCTAGGAGACAAGGTCATGCTCTCTGACCCCTCTGATCCTCAGGGGCCTGTTTACGAAGGTTACGTGCATGAGGTATTGAACAATTAAGTGCTTGATGTTTACATTTTAAGAAAAAAAGATGCAGCACCTGAAATTTTCAAAATATTATTATCCTTCCAAAACATACTTTCTTTTTTGAAAAAAAACCCATACAGTTCCTGAAATTTGAACTTTAATTTGGTCAATTTGATAAATATTATCCTCCTTCCAGAACAAACTTTCATATTAGAATGTTGGTGATAAAGTTGTAATATGTTACAGTACATGTATTTGTCTTAATTGTCACAGGTTTTTAGTGAAGAAGTTCTACTGAAATTTAATTCTGATTTTCACTTGGGCTACAATGGGAAAGACTATAATGTACAATTTACCTTTAACAGGTGGGTACAGTATTGTCAATTAAGTTTTAGCTAGACAATCTATTAATTGTTTTCAAACTTTACTTGATTCTCTTGATATTCTTTTTAGCTCACCTGAGCCGAAGGCTCAAGTGAGCTTTTCTGATCAAAATTTGTCCGTTGTCTGTCGTCGTTGTTGTTGTCGTTGTCGTTTTCGTCGTAAACTTTTCACATTTTCATCTTCTTCTCAAGAACCACTGGGACATTTTCAACCAAACTTGCTACAAAGTATCCTTGGGTAAAGGGGATTCAAGTTTGTTCAAATGAAGGGCCACGCCCTTTTCCAAGGGGAGATAATTATGAATTTGAGAAAAATTAATGCCATTTTTAAAAAATCTTCTTCTCAAGAACGACTGGACAAGGAAAGATGAAACTCACGTGGAATCATCCTCAGGTAGTGTAGATTCAAATTTTTCATATCATGACCCCCGGGGGTAGGGTGGGGCCAAAATGGCCGATCAAAGTTTTACATAGGAAATATAGGAAAAATCTTTAAAAATCTTCTTCTCAAGAACCACTGGGCCAGGAAAGATGAAACTCATGTGGAATCATCCTCAGATAGTGTAGATTCAAGTTTGTACAAATCATGACCCCCGGGGTAGGGTGGGGCCAAAATGGCTGATCAACGTTTTACCAAGGAATATATAGCAAAAATCTTTTAAAATATTCTTCTCAAGATCCAAAGGGCCAGGAAAGATGAAACTCATGTGGAATCATCCTCAGACAGTGTAGATTCAAATTTTTCATATCATGACCCCCGGGGGTAGGGTGGGGCCAAAATGGCCGATCAAAGTTTTACATTGGAAATATAGGAAAAATCTTTAAAAATCTTCTTCTCAAGAACCACTGGGCCAGGAAAGATGAAACTCATGTGGAATCATCCTCAGATAGTGTAGATTCAAGTTTGTACAAATCATGACCCCCGGGGGTAGGGTGGGGCCAAATTTGCCGATCAAAGTTTTACATAGGAGTATATAGCAAAAATCTTTTAAAATATTCTTCTCAAGATCCAAAGGGCCAGGAAAGATGAAACTCATGTGGAATCATCCTCAGACAGTGTAGATTCAAGTTTGTTCAAATCATGACCCCCGGGGTTAGGGTGGAGCCAAAATGGCCGATCAAAGTTTTACATAGAAGTATATAGCAAAAATCTTTAAAGATCTTCTTCTCAAGATCCAAAGGGCCAGGAAAGATGAAACTCATGTGGAATCATCCTCAGATAGTGTAGATTCAAGTTTGTTCAAATCACGACCCCCGGGGTAAGGGTGGGGCCAAAATGGCCGATCAAAGTTTCACATAGGAATATAATAGGAAAAATCTTTAAAAATCTTTTTCTCAAGAACCACTGGGCCAGGAAAGATGAAACTCATAAGGATTCATCCTCAGATAGTGTAGATTCAAGTTTCTTCAAATCACGACCCCCGGGGTAAGGGTGGGGCCAAAATGGCAGATCAAAGTTTCACATTGGAATATATTGGAAAAATCTTTAAAAATTTTCTTCTCAAGAACCACTGGGCCAGGAAAGATGAAACTCATATGGATTCATCCTCAGATAGTGTAGATTCAAGTTTGTTCAAATCATGACCCCCGGGGGTAGGGTGGGGCCAAAATGGCTGATCGAAGTTTTACCTAGGAGTATATAGGAAAAATCTTTTAAAAAATTCTTCTCAAGAACCATTGAGACAGGCAAAATGAAACTCATGTGAAATTATCCTCAGGTAGTGTAGATTCAAGTTTGTTCAAATCATGACCCCGGGGGTATGGTTTGGGCCAAAATGGCCGACCAAAAATTAATTCTCATAGGAATATAAAGGGAAACCTTTTAAAATCTTCTTTTCAAGTACTTCAAAGCCATGATTAGTAATATTTATGTAGAATTATCCTCAGGTAGTGTAGATTCTAGTTCGTCCAAATCATGATATGTGCTTTTTTCTACATGATGTGCTCAGGTGAGCGCTGTGGCCCCTGGGCCTCTTGTTAAAATTTTATTGTATTATATATGGGTAAAAAAAAAAATCCTGAATGCTACTGCATACAGTCTAAAGATATTTTTGACCAGTCCTGTATAATATATATCACAAAGTTGTACACACCATTCCCAATGATATTTTTAGCTCTACTGGTCAGAGACCAGAAGAGCTTATGCGATAGTAATGCGTCCGGCGTCCGTCCGTCTGTCCGTCTGTCTGTCCAGCTGTCCGTCTGTCCGTCTGTCTGTAAACAATTTTTCAAAATGCTACTCCTCCTACAGTTTTGGTCTGATTTCAATATAACTTGGCACACAAGTAGACTACACTAAGATACATAATTCTGTGTATCGGTTTTTGATTTCGATGAACGGTGTTGCCGTGGTTACTAAAAATAGAAATTTCGGTGAAATTCTTTCAAAACGCTACTCCTCCTACAGTTTTGGTCTGATTTCAGTATAACTTGGCACACAAGTAGACTACACTAAGATACATAATTCTGTATATTGGTTTTGATTTTGATGAACGGTGTTGCCGTGGTTACTAAAAATAGAAATTTCTGCGAAATTCTTTCAAAATGCTACTCCTCCTACAGTTTTGGTTTGATTTCATTATAACTTGGCACACAAGTAGAATACACTAAGATACATAATTCTGTTTATCGGTTTTTGATTTCGATGAACGGTGTTGCCGTGGTTACTAAAAATAGAAATTTCTGTGAAATTCTTTCAAAATGCTACTCCTCCTACAGTTTTGGTCCGATTTCAGTATTACTTGGCAAACAAGTAGAATACACTAAGATACATAATTCTGTGTATCGGTTTTTGATTTTGATGAACGGTGTTGCCGTGGTTACTAAAAACAGAAATTTCTGTGAAATTCTTTCAAAATGCTACTCCTCCTACAGTTTTGGTCTGATTTCATTATAACTTGGCACACAAGTAGAATACACTAAGATACATAATTCTATTTATCGGTTTTTGATTTTGATGAACGGTGTTGCCGTGGTTACTAAAAATAGAAATATCTGTAAAATTGTTTCAAAATGCTACTCCTCCTACAGTTTTGGTCTGATTTCAATATAACTTGGCACATAAGTAGAATACACTAAGATACATAATTCTGTGTATCGAATTTTAATTTTGGTGAACGGTGTTGCCGTGGTTACTAAAAATAGAAATGTCTGTAAAATTGTTTCAAAATGCTACTCCTCCTACAGTTTTGGTCTGATTTCAGTATAACTTGGCACACAAGTAGACTACACTAAGAACATAAAGAGACTTTATCAACGATCATTATTCTATTTAGTTTCAAATCCCAGCTGCTTAAGTACTTTTCTCTTCCTTTGCTGTAAGTTCAAACCAGTAGAGCTTCAGTCTCGACAGAGACTTCTGGTTTTAGCTGTATGTTAATATTTTTAATACAGGTCTTCTATTCGGAGATGTCATCAAGCAGTGCAGTTTGCAGCAAATTTGGATGAAAATGGTAGTTACGATATAATGCACTTTTGAATCATTAGCCTGTTTATAACCTTGCTGTAGCTGCCAAAGAGCAACCAGTTCTGTTATATGCTACAGTTGAACTTTGATATTAGATATCTCAAACACCATGGATGTCTTGGAAGTCCCAGCTACTAATTCTTTAATTATTTTACCCTGGATATCTCACAGTACTGTATAGTGCATATACACATGTATGAGTGCATACATAAATACATGTATATGAACAGAAAACCTAAAATTATACATGTACATTAATCCCCAAAAATGCATTATTATCAAATATTTACATTTCCAGTAAATTTCCCCTATGATTCTTTACAAAATAAAATGCAGTATATTTTCTCATGAACTACATTACATAAGCATGAATATAGAGCTCTACATTGTTACATCATAATACCGCATTGACATTAAAAAAATATAGTGCACACTGATTTGCTTTAAAAAGGACAGTTAAACGTCGAAAATTTATGGCAAGTCATCAGAAAAATAATGTAAATGTAAGAAATGAATTTAATTTTTGAAGATTCATGAGGTATATGAACTACAACGCTTCACGCTGGCATATTTATCATGAAGCGCTAATGCGCTTCATGAAATATAACGGCGTGAAGCGTCGTAGTTTATAACCTCATGAGTCTTCAAAAATTAAATTCATTTCTTAATTGTACTCATGTTTTTAACATATGATATGTAGATTTTGAGATTAGATTTTGCACATCATGTAAAGATAGCTATTGTGAATGACAGGTAAACCTGTCTGTTAAAAAATAGTCCAATGATTTATTTACACTGCTTCATTTAGCTTAATTAAGATTAGGTTTTTCAAGAGATAGAATGTGCTCTTATTTGTAATAAGACTGATATAATACTTGCAAATGAGGAGTCTGTGATTCCTATCCAATGCTTTCAGTTCTGTTTCCCTCCATCGTATGCCCTCGCCCGTCTCAGCTGAAGAGAACCTCCAGTGCTCAATGTCTGACCGGTCCAGTAGAAAGGAATGGTCAGAGATCTAATAGGACAATGCAGTTCTTCAATCCCAGACTAAACCAGAAACAGAAGGTGGCTGTCTCTAGGATATTACATGGACAGTCTCGACCAGTGCCTTATATACTCTTTGGACCACCAGGTATTGTAGTTAGTGCTTCTATAATCCATTGATAGAAATATTGATAAAATTTGTATGAGTCTCACTTTTTTCTAAATGTCAATTTAAATATGAAGCTTGAAATGTAACATTCTTTGTGCATGCATTTTTTTGGTAAATAATTTCATTTTTTGTGAATAGAGATTGTATGCAAATATTTGATTTGGAGATTATATTAATTTGATAAAGTATAAGAATATGATTTACAAAACTTGTCTGAAATTCCTTGATAAAAAGATTCCAAATTATGAAATTATTATGGTCCCACAAAATTGCAACATACCTAACATCTGGCATTTTCAATATTTTATGCTGAAGTAGCAATGATATTCTTAATTAATGGAAAGGAATGACTTTTAAGTCTGTTTACAGGTACTAATAAGATAAGGACAGTCTAATATGTTATTCTGTTGTAGGTACTCGTAAGACTATGACAGTCTTATATGTTATTTTGTTGTAGGTACTGGTAAGACTATGACAGTGTCTGTTATTTTGTTGTAGGTACTGGTAAGACTATGACAGTCTATGTTATTTTGTTGTAAGTACTGGTAAGACTATGACAGTCTCTGTTATTCTGTTGTAGGTATTGGTAAGACTATGACAGTCTATGTTATTTTGTTGTAGGTACTGGTAAGACTATGACAGTCTAATATGTTATTCTGTTGTAGGTACTGGTAAGACTATGACAGTCTAATATGTTATTCTGTTGTAGGTACTGGTAAGACTATGACAGTGTCTGTTATTTTGTTGTAGGTACTGGTAAGACTCTGAAAGTCTCTGTTATTCTGTTGTAGGTACTGGTAAGACTATGACAGTCTCTGTTATTCTGTTGTAGGTACTGGTAAGACTATGACAGTCTGTTATTTTGTTGTAGGTACTGGTAAGACTATGACAGAGTATGTTATTTTGTTGTAGGTACTGGTAAGACTGTGACAGTCTGTTATTTTGTTGTAGGTACTGGTAAGACTCTGACAGCCTCTGTTATTCTGTTGTAGGTACTGGTAAGACTATGACAGTCTATGTTATTTTGTTGTAGGTACTGGTAAGACTATGACAGTCTGTTATTTCTTGTAGGTACTGGTAAGACTATGACAGTCTATGTTATTTTGTTGTAGGTACTGGTAAGACTATGACAGTCTAATATGTTATTCTGTTGTAGGTACTGGTAAGACTTTGACAGTCTAATATGTTATTCTGTTGTAGGTACTGGTAAGACTATGACAGTGTCTGTTATTTTGTTGTAGGTACTGGTAAGACTATGACAGTCTATGTTATTCTGTTGTAGGTACTGGTAAGACTATGACAGTCTATGTTATTTTGTTGTAGGTACTGGTAAGACTATGACAGTCTGTTATGTTGTTGTAGGTACTGGTAAGACTATGACAGAGTATGTTATTTTGTTGTAGGTTCTGGTAAGACTATGACAGTCTGTTATTTTGTTGTAGGTACTGGTAAGACTCTGACAGTCTCTGTTATTCTGTTGTAGGTACTGGTAAGACTATTACAGTCTCTGTTATTCTGTTGTAGGTACTGGTAAGACTATGAAAGTCTGTTATTTTGTTGTAGGTACTGGTAAGACTATGACAGTGTATGTTATTCTGTTGTAGGTACTGGTAAGACTATGACAGAGTATGTTATTTTGTTGTAGGTACTGGTAAGACTATGACAGTCTATGTTATTTTGTTGTAGGTACTGGTAAGACTCTGACAGTCTCTGTTATTTTGTTGTAGGTACTGGTAAGACTATGACAGTCTCTGTTATTTTGTTGTAGGTACTGGTAAGACTATGACAGTCTCTGTTATTCTGTTGTAGGTACTGGTAAGACTATGACAGTCTCTGTTATTCTGTTGTAGGTACTGGTAAGACTATGACAGTCTCTGTTATTCTGTTGTAGGTACTGGTAAGACTATGACAGTTGTGGAGTCTATACTTCAGGTGCTGACCCAGATTTCACACAGTAGAATACTGGCCTGTACACCATCTAACAGTGCTGCAGACCTTATTGTAAGAACAATATACAGCAAATTTAATCTTTCTTGCTTATTAAAATCCCAAAAGTCTGAAATTGAGAATTTAAATACATGCTCATGTACAAGTTAATTTTACAAAGTTAAATGACACACATTGTGCATACACAGTGAAACCTGTTTAATCCGAGATGCACTATTACTGGGAGATGAATTTTGTGTCAGAATAGACAGTGTGTCGGATTGCACAGTGTAAAAAACATGAAAATAGTAAAATGGGAAGGAATTTAACCTCAGAATTCACAGTGTGTCCGATTAGACAGTTTTCACTGTATTAATAGCGAGCGCAGCGAGCGTCGCGAAGCTCTAACGACAACGTACCTGCGAGCTCTAACGACAACGCCTGGGCGAAGAGAAAATTCGGACTACTGCACATTCATTCGATAGAATTTTTTGACGCAGTAATTTTGACTCACAATGCATCACTTAGCAGAGTTGCGTTCTCGCGAGAATAACGGCAAATATTCAACAAAAAGTTTACTCGACTTGATTTAATGGATGCATATATTGAAGATAAATAGTAAACGAAACGTTCTTCATTAAATTTCAGCACTGTTCAGGTTTTTTCTTGGTTGCAACTTACATACGACGTCATGTGACGTCAGAGTCTAGACGCACCAAATGTCACGTGCGGTTTGACGATCTGATCTAAATTAAAACAATAGAGTTTGCGCTCGCTCTAACGGTCGCACCGTCAACATATTAAATTTTCCTTTTCAAATATTGTTATATTTCTTCTATTTTAAGGCAGAGAGGTTACACTTGAGTGGAGTTGTGAAGACCTGTGATATGATACGCCTCAATGCATCACAGAGGAGTCAGGAGGTTGTACCATAGACACTCACTTAGTCTTCTCATCTCATTTGATTGTATCCTGTAAACTGTAAAACAGAAGACAAAAATTTGCTAGATAGGAAATTGTGAAAAAATTACTCCTTTTTTACAAGACAGATTTCATTATAGTTTTAACATACTGTTTTCATTGAGTGACTTTAATAAAAGATCCTACATAAACAATATTTATGGTTTAGTAAGAAATAAAGATTTATTTGAGCTTTAAAGTGAGTATTAAGCAAATGGATAATGAAATTATCAAATTGTGAATTCAAAATTCTAATAGAAAACCTAGTATTTCAAATTCAGCATTCTTAAATGTACCAAGCAGACAGAAAACATTTTTGTGACCTAACATTTTGTTGATCAGGGTATACCAGCCAGTATTCTGCCATACTGTACAACTGGGGAGGATCTCGACATGGCGGCCCGATACCGTGTAGTGGTCAGTACGTGTATCACAGCCGGGTCATTGTGTATGTGTGGAATCAAGGCCGGACACTTCACACATGTGTTTGTTGATGAGGTGAGCATTAAAGGCCTGTCAGGCATGGTGGAAGCTATTTCATTTTTGGGGAGGGGCACAATCAACTAATAAATTTCCTTGACATGCACAAACATCGATCAAGTGGCCATGTTTTCTACAGTATGTATTCTATATATCGGGAAAAATATTGGGAGGGGGACACTCCCCCCTCTCCCATGGCCATGGCTGTAGTATACCTGTAAATAAAGACAATCTTTGTATTGTTAGAGGAACATCAAACAAATAGTAAAATATGATTTTTTAATGACATTTCATGAACACTGAAATTGGATGTGCTGGAAAAAAAACTTGTGCTATGTATTGAGTGATGGTATAGTCATGTATTATGCATGCATGTAACACAATGCAAACAAATAACTATCATTTTGTTGGAGAAGGCATTATAAATTTTAGGACTTTGTTTTCAATCAATTCTTTGCATCCTTTTTTTAGCGAGTCTGCATGTACATGTATATCTAACTAATGATTTTTGTATTATCTGTATATGACTACTGATTTTCTTCAGTCATCTAAAATTGGTGTAATTGGTATGCTATGTTGTTATACATTGTAATTTTCAGGCCGGCCAGGCAACAGAACCAGAGTGTTTGATCGCTGTCAACTTTGCTGCTGGGGAAAACTGTCAGGTCTGATTTGTATACATTTATTTGACCATGATTTTTTCCTAATCTGGTATTGAAGGAAAAGTTTTAAATTGACTAAATAACTGATAAAGAATCTGATACAGAACTGAAAAGGCTTAAGGGTTTGAAAGAATTTTTTTTTGGGGGGGGCTTAGTGGTGATCAGGTATAAAAGAAAATTGTTAATTTAAAACAATTGTTATACATGTAGTAATAAGAATTTGAAGCTTTTTTTTGATATGTGGATGGTGAATGTTTCAGTTTGTCCAATTAATGTAAAAATGACATTTCAAAAAGCAGAATTGCTTTGGAAAAATAAAATTATTTGTTTTTTACCATTATATGATTGATTGATTGTTTGTTGTTTAAAGCTGAGTCAGAAGTATTTTGACTTTTGTTGCTATACAAGTGTGTAGATTAAGAATAAAAAACAAAATGTTCTTCACTTAGGTAACTTTGGCTGGGGATCCCATGCAGCTGGGACCAGTCATAAGGTCAAAGTTTGCTAAAGGTTATGACCTTGACCTTTCTTTCTTGGAAAGGCTAGTGGAAACACCAATATATGCCAGAGATGAAGCCAAGTTTTCTGACCATGGGGCATATGACCCACTTCTAGTATGTTAATATTTCTCCATGCAGATGGGTAACTTAATCTCTTGGTACATTCATTATATGATATTTGAAAAATAGAAAATGCTTTATACTCTGTCTGATCCTTGGAAATATTGTGTGTCAATTTGGTGTACATGATATGTATTTTAATTTATTTGTAGGTCACAAAATTAGTAGATAATTATAGATCTCATGAAGCTATACTGACTTTGACATCAAAACTATTTTACTATGATGAGTTGAGGGAGTTAGCAGATAGAGAACTTACACATTCCCTTTGTCAATGGACAGCCCTGCCCAGAATGGGCTTCCCTGTCATATTCCATGGAGTCAGGGTAATTCTTGAAATTCAATAAATTTGTGATAGTGGTACATGTAGTAAATGTTATGTAAATAATTTATTCTAGATTCCACCTCTTCCCTAGCCAAAATTTATGATTCTGCTTCATTTCTCTACAACTCCTGGCTGAGTTAGCCTAGCTAATTTTTCAGAAAATAGCTATAGTGCACTTTAGTGTAGCTTAGATTTCAGATCGGAAAACCTTGGCTAGCAAAGATGAGATACCATTGATTGGGAAATTTGGGGAAAATAATGTGTTTTCACTGCTCCTGATTTGTATTTTTGAATGAACTTTTGAGCTAGCTTTCACACTGTTCCTTATCTCAATATATTTCCTGAAAAAAAAGAACATGTATACTAGGAAGAAAGCAAATTTGTCAAAGACAATAAATATATATAACATTTGTGGGGAAAAAAAACAAGGCAGCTAAAAAAGTTTGTCATTTACATGTCATCTTTTTTTATCAGAATTTGTAGATTAATATCCTGCTGTTTTTCAGGGTGAGGATCTGAGGGAGGGAAACAGTCCCTCCTGGTTTAACCCTGCTGAGGTTGTACAGGTTGTGAGGTACCTACAGGGGGTACAGCAGGAACAGTCAGTAGCTCCTGAGGACATTGGTATTATCACACCCTACAGAAAACAGGTATGTCACAAGGTCTGGAGAATTATTTTAATTCATGGGGCCAATCAATGTTCATTGGCAATCAAAATTTTACTTTTTTATAGGAATGTGAATTCATGAGTAATTTTTTATTCAGAGGATTCCATTACAGTAGCAAATACCTTAACAAAGTACCGGTAATAAGGGGATGTACATGTATGTATTCAAGTTTGTGGGTTAAATTGACCCACAGAATCCATGAATATTGGTCCCCCATGAACAATGTTTGATACCATTTGGTCCATGCTTTTATGCATTGTACTCTTGATCTGCAAAATAGAAGTTATTTCATTCAATAAGTTGGTGTACAAAAATAATATTTGTTTTTATTTTAATGTTGATGTTGTACATTACATTGGTAGGTGGAAAAGATTCGTCTCTTGATTGACAAGCTGGGAATGGAGAGGGTCAAAGTGGGGTCTGTAGAAGAATTTCAAGGTCAGCAGAGGAAGGTCATCATCATATCCACTGTGAGTAATATCGAAATATCTTTCAGTACAAGTAAAAAAAAATAAATGAACATTGTAATCCTTTTAAATACAAAAGTGGGAATTACTAAAAGAATTTCTTATTTTGACTGTCATTAATTTCCTTTTAGGTTCGAGCCAATGAGAGAATGATTGGGTTTGATAAGAAGCATACGCTAGGTTTCCTCAGTAACCCCAAGAGATTTAATGTTGCCATCAGTAGGGCACAGGCTCTCCTGATTATTGTAGGCAATCCTTATGTCTTAGCTCAGGTTTGTGTGTTTGATTGTGTATAGGCAGCATTAAATCAAATTGAAACATTTACAATACACGTTGAATGGAATGAATATACCAGTCAAAAAATATTTTTTTAATTACATTTACACCCGTTTTAATTTTTTTTTTTTAGGACAAATACTGGCAGGTGCTTATTCAATACTGTATTGAGAATGGTGCATATTGTGGGTGTGACATTCCAGAGCTCCTCCCACAGGACATTTCCACCAATCATATACAAAAAGATAATGAATCTGGGAAGTCAGAAGTTCAGACCTAGCCAATTAAAGTAGAAGGATATTATTTTATGACAATACAGAGTAGGCCTGAGTATCGCAAGCTATCTAACGATATGATACATATCACGATATGGTCTTGTGATACAACATGTATCATGATAAAGCTGTTAATAGTTGAATTAAATGATATCTTTAATTATTCTTGCTTGTTAACCTCCGCAGTTAAAGAAAATATAAAAAAAAATATCTTGAGACCCATAATCAAAGTTATTTATAGATGGGCATATAGTCTTAGCATTATATTTTTTCATTGTTACCTTGTTTTCAATCATTTTGTAACATTAAAATTTTCGGTTTTGATGAAGAATTTTCAAATAAGACAATGAATATTAACTTGTACTGTATCACGAAACATACATGGCGACATCGGATGTTTCCACTGTATCACCTCTAATACATAATATTAGATTTAAAAGAGGTTTATTGATTTTTTGATCTCGGGTCACTGCCAATTTCTAGTTTGGTATAAAATTGAAAAAGGATTTTATTTTTTTTGGGGTGGGGGACATATATACAAAGGAATTAAACTTAAAAGGGGTTTATTGATTTTTAATGACACATGTTAGAGTCACTGACTGTATATTGTGCCATTACTTTCTACTTATTTGTTTGCTAATTATAAGTTTGTTTTTTTATGTTTTGTTTTGTTTTTGTTTTTTTTGGGGGGGGTGCATATATTCTTTACACTATATGTGCATATTATGTGTTTTGTTAGAATGAATTATAAAGTTCATGTATTGAACAGTTATGATGATAAACTTACATGAATACTGTAGATGACTGATTGTTTTTTCATAGATGGGCCAGCTAGGATGTACATGTATTTGTATAATCTACATTCATGATAGTTTGAAATAAAATACTTTGCACACAAGTCTACAACAAGTTGATAATTCTGTGTATCGTTTTTCTCTGTTGATGAAGAAATTTAAATTCAAAATGCTACTTTCCCACAGTTTTGGACTGATTTTAATATAACTTTGCACACAAGTAGACTACACTAAGATTTATATATTTGTATATCATTTTTGATTTCCTGAATATATCTAAAAATAGAAATTTTTTTGAAATTCTTTCAAAATGCTATGTGTCTCCAACAATTTTGGTTTGATTTCAATTTAACTTGGCACAGAAGTAGTAATTCTTTTTTTTTTGTTGTTACTAAAAATAATTCACTGATTCTTTCAAATAAAACATTTTGGTCTGATTTTAATTTAACTTGGCACACAAGTAGACTACACTAAGATACACAATTCTTTGTATCAGTTTTTGATAATAACATTTAGGGTTTTTAAAAATAGAAATTTCTCTTCTCTCAAAATGAAATTACAGTATTGTCCCAGTCTGAATTGATCTTAGTTTTTGTCACTTTCCCTGAAAAACAAGTCCAAACGCGGTTATCTTTCTTTTGTTGACGGAAGAACCAAGGCTGTGCTGTTCTGTTTGGATAACTCACGCCCCCCGATAATCCGCAATTAATCGACAGTAGTAAACAATTACTATCGTGATATCGTCCAAAACAAATTTTAACTGGAAGAAAAAATAATATTCCGTTTAAAAAAGAAAAGAAAATGGAGTAAATAATCTTTGGTGAAAAACAACATCGTAGACTGACTTATTTACACGACAGTCGACAGGTGTGCGAATTGTTTATTTACAGTCACGCAAAGACAGAATTTCCTCGGTACAAGACCAATAACGATGGCAGGAAAATATTTAAAGTATACAAGTTTTCGAGTGAGGCCTTTCATATCCTTTATAACATGTTTATAGAAAGAACTAGGTTATGATGTAATAATTTAACTGTTATTTGCTGATATTTTAATGTCTTTTAAGAGGGTAAAATTAATTAATTAAATTAGGACAGAATTTGTAACCAGATCCATTCTATTTCGAAATTTGCATTGCATGACATTTGTTTAAAAAAAGTCTGCAATGTATGTATTCTGCTTTTACATAAAAACATTAGTGAACAATCAAATTCAATTTGGGAAAAATGTTTGACCAGAATATTTTGTACAGATCGAATATAATCATGATAATAAACGGGGAATGAAAAGCAGTGAGGCATAATATACAAGTGAAAGTGTCCAAATGAAAGATGATCCTGATTGATACAGTGCCAAATATAAACTACAACCTGCTTGTTAAACACAGAATTAAAAGTCTTAATTATAAGAATAAGATGATTATTTAATTGTTCATTTGAAAATTGAATTTTCATAAAAGAAATTTTAAAAAAGAATGTAAAGAATCTACAAGCATTTGACTATGAATGAAAGTTCCTTAGCATATCCTACAATGATCGTGAGAAGCAGAGAAAGGCCAAACTCATCATAGACATGAGGGGAAACAGTACGTACATCAAGAACCCAGAGGATATGGCAGCAGAGGCGCGGTCGTTTGCCTTCGATTACTCCTACTGGTCACACGATGAGTTCAAGGAAACATCAAATGGGTACTTAGAACCATCAGGGACTAGATACGCTGATCAGGTAACACATCTGATCCCCTTAATTCTTTTTTCATGTAACTGATATCTATCTATCTGGGCTGGTTGAACTTGACACTTTCAATTGTCCAATACGATGTAAATGACTAAATTTTCACACCTTATTTTTGCAAGATATACATTTGCTCTCAATTGGCTAGAAATTTTTTTTAGAAATTGTGGTTAGTGCTCTATATGAAAATTGATAATCGCAAGAATATTTTCGCGAACACACTGTCTAGCATAATTAAGTTTGAATAAAGTGATTTACAGTAGCTATATATTTTAAATTATCTCTCTGTCAGTCTGTGCTTTAGCATGTTATTTTTAACTATATAATCATACAAAATATCAAACCACTAGCAAATTTGAAATTCAAAGATATAATGTAATTCTTGAAATTTCTTTTATTTCTTGGATTTATTATACCCCCCGCAAACGAAGTTTGGGGGGTATATAGGAATCACTCTGTCCGTCTGTCTGTGCAATTGTGTCCGGTCCATATCTTTCTTACAGAGGGACATTAGAATCTAATACTCCACACTAAGATTGCTCATAACCTAAGGGTGTGTCATGACCTTGACCAAAGGTCATTTGGGGAAGTTCAAGGTCACTGGAAGAAAAATTTCATAACTCGTAATATTAGGTCCAATCTTTCTTATGGATAAACTTGGTAGGTTCTCATTTCACACAAAGATTGCCCATGACCCAAGGGTGTGTCATGACCTTGACCCAAGGTCATTTGGGAAGTTCAAGGTCACTGGAAGAAAAATTTTATAATTCGTGTTTGATACATATCTTTATTATGCAAAAACTTACTTCTGAAAAACCCAGCGGGGGGTATTTTGTCCCAATTGGACAGTTCTAGTTAACTTTTAAAAATGAATGAATTTTAAGGAAAATTTAAACTTAGCTCTGATAAAATGTTTTTTTTTGTGTTTTCATGTTTTTTACAAGAATATTTTTTCCTCCCACTCCAAATATGCATCTTATTCAAAATAAATATATAGAGCATTTTTGTGATCATAATTGTACACTTCAGAATTTGGGACATCATGAAAATATTAAATACTTGTGGCAGGGCACTGTATGTATATATATTTACTGTCATGTTTAACATGCATTCAAGCATTGTATAATTTTTATAGGGTCAGAAATATGAGGATTTAATGCCCAAATAATCCTCAATATGGGAAAGTTGTTAAAAAGTTAATTTACAGAAAATATGGAGTGTGTGCATACCAGTCATGTTTGTTGACATTAAATTACTTCTGGTGATTTAAAATTTAAAAGTTCTGTTTGTTTATTGGCTTACACCATAATAAATCTTGACCTGGTTTGCTGTAATATATAGTATCAGAAATTTAAAGGATCATTGCTTCAAGATAGGTTTAAAACTAAAGAAATACATTTCTAAGTTGAACATGGCCGGTTTTACACTATTATGATTGGGAGAGAGAAAGAGAGATTTTAATTAATATAAATACATGCAGATTGATATCAACATATTTAATAACTGATTTCATTTATCATTATGAAATATTTGTAAGTTTTGGAACATTTTCAAAGTCCAAAAAAAAAAAAAATATATCTGTTTTTGCTTGCAAGACTTTTCTGTAAAAAAAAAAAAATGAATTGCATGATATCAGTATTATCACAATGCATTGTTTGCATGCACATGCAAGCAAAAAGAATGTAAAAAGTATATGTTATAATTAAAGATGTAAGGTTCATTAATTTGATAGATTGTGTGCATGATTTCATAATTTTAAAAAAGTGCTCATTTAAATTTTTATCGTAGTTTTTAAATATGAATTTAAGTAAATTTATTAAATTAGACAATAGAAATTATTCTTATTTAATTTTTTTTTTAAATTTTTTTTTAGAGAATGGTGTTCAATGACCTTGGTCAGGGTGTCCTTGACAATGCATGGAAGGGCTACAACTGTTCCTTGTTTGCGTATGGCCAGACAGGAAGTGGTAAATCTTACTCAATGGTGGGCTACGGAAACAACAAGGGGATCGTGCCGATTTTCTGTGAGGAACTCTTCAAGGGGGTGGAGGGAAAAAAACAGACAGCAGGCGAAAACGAGGAGTACCAGGTCAGAGAAAATATTCAACTGAGTTATCTACCTTCAAAGAGTTTTTTTTTTAATTATAGCCCCACAATAACATTTTGATTGATGGGTCTTGAAAATTTGTCAATCTAGCTGTTACATATTGTGTGTACTGTTTTCAAAATCAAAATATATTGAAAAATAGACATGATAAATACAGACTTTTTTAATCTGAATTTCATTTTATATTTATTACATAATTGAAAAGTCATTTTAAAATGAAATTGTAACAGAAACTTAATTATATCATGCTTTATAAATGTTTTATATGATTGTTTATATTAATATTTGTTACACATATTGTATTTAAAGAGTTCAAAAAGGAAATTTCAATGGATTTTGCCAATGATTGGGCCTAAAATATAAAATGGTTTGTTTGCAGTTGCCGACCGACCCACTAAAAATGCACCCGACACAAACATTTTTTCAGCCGTTATTTGAGAATTTTTTTTTGGAAGTTTCAAATTTTAAGGAGATATGTTAAAACTTGTTTAATTTTTAATTTGTTAAATTTTAGTTTCAGTCGATAGGTGGCATAAAATAAGTTGACCTTTATTTACATAAAATAACCCTTTGAAAAACAGGTCATCATTTTGTAATCCAACAAAAACTTTATAAGGAAAATCTGTAAAAAAAGAAAAGAATCATACCTACCTACCGACCCATTCTAAAAATCATAGGTCAGCAACTGCAAACAAAAAATTTTTTAAGCTTGGCCTTGCTGCATTATCTAGATGAATTGTATACATAAAAGTGATGACTAGATTTTCTGTATTGTAAAATTCATATGTACACCTGTAACTTTTTGTCACTATCTTAGGTAACACTGAGTATGCTAGAGATTTACAATGAACAAGTCAGGGATCTACTGAATCCAAAGTCTATTGCAACAAAGGGAGGATTGAAAGTCAGACAGCACCCCTCTAAAGGATTCTATGGTACGTACCAAACAATAAAGTCAGACAGTACCCCTCTAAAGGATTCTATGGTACATACCAGACAGCATCCCTCTAAAGGATTCTATTGTACATACCAGACATCACCCCTCTAAAGGATTCTATGGTACGTACCAGACAGCACCCCTCTAAAGGATTCTATGGTACGTACCAGACAGCACCCCTCTAAAGGATTCTATGGTACGTACCAGGCAATAAAGTCAGACAGCACCCCTCTAAAGGATTCTATGGTACGTACCAGGCAATAAAGTCAGACAGCACCCCTCTAAAGGATTCTATGGTACGTACCAGGCAATAAAGTCAGACAGCACCCGTCTGAAGGATTTTATGGTATGTACCAGGCAATATGTTAAGTCAGACAGCACCCCTCTTAAGGATTCTATGATAGGTACCAGACCATAAAGTTATACAGCACACCTCTAAAGGATTCTATGGTACGTACCAGGCAATATGTTAAGTCAGACACCACCCCTCTAAAGGATTTTATGGTACGTACCAAACAAAAGGTTAAGTCAGGCAGCATTCCTCTAAAGGATTCTATGGTACGTACCAAACAATCAATCAACAACCAGACAGCAATTCTGAATGTATTCTTTATTAGATAATCTGTTAATATAAAAACCAACCGTCTAAAGGATTCTATGGTATGTACCAGACAATATGTTACGTCAAACAGCTACACCCCCCACCCCATCCCCCCAAAAGGATTCTATGGTGTTTACCTGACAATCAGTTTAGGTCAGCAGCAACACTTTCAAGGAACTCCAAAATAATTTCTCTATAAAAATAGGAGTCTTAAGATTGAGATGAAATGCTTCACCTTAACTATAATTAGGTCACCTGAGTTACTCAGGTGACCTATTGCCATCTGTTTTCGTCCGTCGTCGTGCGTCGTGTGTTGTGTGTCGTGCGTTAACATTTGAACATTTTCAGCTTCTTCTCTGAAACCGCTGCACCAATTTCAATGAATTTTGGCACAAAGCATCTATGGGTGGAGGGGAACAAAAATTGTGAATTTCATGGTCCCTGCCCCCCTGGGGCCTGGGGGTGGGGCCAAAACCACTAAAATTAATGCAATCTTTAAAAATCTTCTTCTTTACTCCTGGACATCAAGCAATCAAACTGTTGGTATGATTGTAATCAGCATAGAGTCCTCTACCAAAATTGTGAAATTCATGGCCCTGGGGTCAGGGGTTCTGGTGTTAGGGCGGGGCTAAATAAGTATATAGTGAAAATGCATTATTTCTTTAAAAATCTTCTTCTCTGCTCCTGGGTGTTAGATAAACTAACTAAGTACATAGTTATGATGAGCAAGAGTGCCTCTACCAAAATTGTGAATTTTATGGCCCCAGGGTCAGGGGTTCTGGTGTTAGGGCGGGGCTCTATTGATTATATTAGTGAAAATACATGAATTCTTTGAAAATCTTCTTCTCTGCTCCTAGGTATCAAATAAACTAACTAAGTATATAGTTATGATGAGCAAGAGTGCCTCTACCAAAATTGTGAATTTTATGGCCCCAGGGTCAGGGGTTCTGGTGTTAGGGTGGGGCTCTATTGATTATATTAGTGAAAATACATGAATTCTTTGAAAATCTTCTCTGCTCCTAGGTATCAAATAAACTAACTAAGTATATAGTTATGATGAGCAAGAGTGCCTCTACCAAAATTGTGAATTTTATGGCCCCAGGGTCAGGGGTTCTGGTGTTAGGGCGGGGCTCTATTGATTATACAGTGAAAATACATGAATTCTTTGAAAATCTTCTTCTCTGCTCCTAGGTATTAAATAAACTAAGTATATAGTTAAAATGACCAAGAGTGCCTCTACCAAAATTGTGAATTTTATGGCCCCAGGGTCAGGGGTTCTGGTGTTAAGGCGGGGCTCTATTGATTATATAGTGAAAATACATGAATTCTTTGAAAATCTTCTTCTCTGCTCCTAGGTTTTATATAAACTAATTAAGTACATAGTTATGATGAGCAAGAGTGCCTCTACCAAAATTGTGAATTTTATGGCCCCAGGGTCAGGGGTTCTTGTGTTAGGGCGGCGCTCTTTTGATTATACATGTATAGTGAAAAAACATTAAATCTTTGAACATTTTCTTCTCTGCTCCTGGGTATTAAGCAGATGAACTACCTATATAGTTATGAGCAAGGGCCCTAATCTTCAAGAATTGTGAATTTCAAGGCCCCAGGGTCAGTTGTACCATAGAGGGGGGGGGCTGTACTTATATACTAAAAATGAATGAATTGTTTGAAATCTGCTCCTTGGTATTAATCAAATATTTTTGAAAAGCAAGGATGCCTTTTCAAAAATTGTGCAATGTGTGGATCTAGGCCTAAGAGTCAAGGGTTCATGTGTGGTAGCGGCACTACTGATTATTGCTGAATATTACTGATTTGTTGAAATGCTTTTTTTGTTCCCCTACCCTGCCTATGGGTATTAAGTAACCAAACTAAGCAACTGCTAAGTGTATAGTTATGATGATCAAAATTGTAAATGCTATTAGCATCTGGCTTAAAACATGGATCAAATTCAATCACTGGAAAGTTGTTGCATAATGCTCAGGTGACCTATAAGGCCCATGGGCCTCTTGTTTTGTCAATCTTCCATGCCTTTAACTAATTTTGTCCATCTTCCAGTGGAGTCTTTGATATCCTGTCCTGTCAGCAGCTACACAGACATCGAGAACAAGATCAGTGAGGGAACCAGAAACCGGACAGTAGCCGCTACCAACATGAATGCCACCAGCAGGTAGGTATAATATTCCAGTGAAATTTGTGTTAAGTCAGTAAACTTGTATATTTTTCTAATTTATATGAACATGTTTTAGTGAAAGGCTGGGTAATTTTGTACAAATCATAATCAGGAATATTTTTTCAAGTAATGGTATCTGTCTGCTTTTTTTATTTTGAACAGATTCATTGATATATAAAAGAAAACTTTTGAATTCAAAAATAAGAGCAAAGGAACCAATTTAATTTTTAAAAAATCATATTTGAAGATTAAAACTTTTTTTTACAGTCGAGCTCACACGATTGTTGCCATCACATTTGTCCAGAAGACCCCTAATGAAACAGGTCAGAGCATGACAAGGTCATCTAGTGTCAACCTAGTGGATCTAGCAGGAAGGTAGCTCAGAGGTCATCTAAAACTTATGGTCGATTAAGGCGAAACAACAGTTATTTGGCAGAAATTTGATGCATTCATTGTTAATTCTCTTTAATTAATTTCTATATACTATTTGTAATTTTTAAAAAAAAAAAAAAGCCTTTTTTATATTTTATTTAATTAAAAAGTAATATTTGTTTTTATATGATATATATTAATTTGATTAATTGGTGTATTTTTTGTGCCATCTTATTTCATATTAGCGAGCGCGCAGAGTCAACAGGGGCCACAGGGGACCGTCTCAAAGAAGGATCAGCCATCAACCAATCACTGAGTACCCTGGGAAATGTGATTAGTGCTCTTGCTGACCAATCACAAGGCAAAAAGAAAGTTGTAGGTGAGTAGAACATGTACTCTTAGTCTTACATAAGATGGTAAAACTGCTTTTAAAATCTCCATCAGCATCCTTCAACTATCAAATGTCTTGCATATAAGAAAGAGGTGTGTTTTTTTTTTGACTTAGTCTATAATTGAACCTTAAACTCTAAGTAATATTGAGTGTTAAAACTTAAAACACTAAAAATGATAAAATTTACCGTAATAAACAAACATGTATCAAAATTATTAGTAGATAATCTTTATGATACTGATAATGTTTTAAATCTTTTTCTCCCAGTACCATATCGAGACTCTGTTCTGACCAAACTTCTACAGAATGCTCTGGGTGGCAACAGTAAGACCATCATGGTATGTATACTGTGGTTACTTAGTCATTAAAATTTATTTATATCCATTAAAACATATTAATATGTCAACCCTATGGTTAATAAAGACACAGAATAACTTGTCCCAGAAGCATTTTCTTTCCCTAATACTGTAAAATTATTTTATTTTGTTGTTTTATCAACGAAATTAAATCCCACACAAATTTTTATTAACCTATATATTCAGTTAGGTAACTTTTGAAACAACAAAATTTAATGCAGACAAAATCTTTTAGATGACAAATCAACGAAATTTTATCCCCATGACAGTAGTCAATCAATTATCAGAAATACCAGCAAACAAGTGAATTCAAGTCCAGCCATTTTATATTTTGTTTTGTTTGTGTTGTAGATTGCTGCACTTAGTCCAGCCGATATCAATTATGATGAGACCCTGTCTACTCTAAGATTTGGTAAGAATTATAATTATCATCATATACATATAGGTTATTTAAAGCTTGAAGCAAATTGTAACAAATTCCAAAAGGAATCGAGAATCAAAGGATGTTACTGGGATTTAAAGATTCATGGGAATATTCTTTAAGAGTCCATCCTGTTGACAATATCTGCGGCATATTGTAATACTAGAAAAAGGTGCAACAAAAACAGTTCTGTTGATATGAGGTGGTTATATTATAATTGGGCAAAAATAATTTTTCACATCTAATTTGATGTATTTTCACACCTGACTGGACGCATTTAAACAGCTGACAGAGCCAAAGCAATCAAGACAACAGCGACAGTGAACGAGAGTCCCACGGACAAACTGATCCGAGAGCTGCGAGAGGAGAACGCCAAACTCATGGAGATGTTGAAATCTGGTGGCATCTCACTAGATCAGCTGGGAGGTGGGGGTGGATCCAATGCAAATCAGGGTAAGGATCAGAGAGGTGGTGCTGTGAGGTACCACTTGTTTGAAATATACTTCAAAGTTGATTGGAAGCTTAGACATTTCTGCAAATGCTCACTTATGTTGCTTCATTAAAGTACCATTCTGTTAATTATTTAATTTAACAAATATTTTGCTTAACCCGCACATGATAATCAAGACTGTCAGTGAAATAAGCATTAATCTTAAAATCAATGATAATTTTGTTATTTGCACTATACCAAGCATTAAGATTTAATGAAATGTTTTAATTTGACAGATATTCAACCAATAATCAGTTATTATATGAATATGCATGAAAGAATTAGAAAGTTTCCAACATTTTGTATTATTTTCAAAATTGATAATTATTTAATAACCCAGGCAACTACAAAAAGTATCTGTTGCGCAGTTTATCTCGTAAAAAAGGTCAGTTAAAGAGAGGAATAATGTATGTTGTAATAGAGGCTTGAAACACAATTTGGTTTGGGGGTAGGGGTTGGGGATGCGTATTAACTTTCTAACAGAAATGAAAAAAAATGCCATAATCTTGAGATAAAAATTATTATATAATTAATTTTTCAAAATAAAGATGTTTGAAGTTGTTGCATACAAAAAAAAATGTTTAAATTTTCTAGTGTTTCAAGCTCTCGTTGAAACCAAATTTTAAGTTGAATTTCAGGGTGCAGGGAATTTGAATTGATTAATTTGAATTCAGTGTTGTCAGTTACAGATTACTGGACCAGGGGATTAGCTCACAAAATTATTGTAAGGCAATGAAATTGCTTGAAACTGTCTTAATTTATTGTCATTTCATGTAATTATACAGATCAAAATACCAATAAAAATACAGTTTCATCAATGTACAAAATTGATTAGGGTCAACAAAACCACTTTGTAGTAAACTTAACATGTAACAACTATTTCTAATAAATTTTTAAATAGCTTGAACTTTTTAGAAACAAAATATAACTGTCATTATAGGTACAGTGTATTTGCTTCAAGTTCACCTTTAGCAAGGTTTTTGTTTTAGTATAATGAAATTAATAATATACATCAGGATCAATGTCATTCGCTGGCTTCATAAACTGCTTAAAATTGCTCTCTTGCGAGGTATGGTTCTGTTTTCTGGTGTCTCGTTACCCTAAAAATGACCAGCCTGCCAGTAAACTGACTTGAATTTTTTCATGTATTATCATGATAATGTAATTTTGTTCATTATATGGCACAATGATATACTCAGACCATCTTTGTCTCACCACAGCATGCTTTTTGATGAGCACTTGTTTTGTATTTTAGAGTCATCTGAAGGTAATATCAGTTTTAGCCAGTTTCACTAGAGGTTAATATTCCCAGTTAGATATCTCAAGTCTGCTTCTCACTCTGCTTCTTCTGATATGCTAGCTATAAAAAAAATGGAAATGGGTTTTAAGCTAGGCTAGTTTAGAAGATATGAATTTGTGATGAAAGGAAGAAATACGGTATTTTATCTATCTTACAGGACTATAAGGTTAGGGTATGTGTTAATTTTTAAAATGCCTGATTGTAATCACAGCTTTGTAGTAGAAATGCATTTATATTATGCATACGGATTGGATGTGTGTCTTAATTTAAAAGAAAAAGAATTGTGACTTAGCATTTGCTGCATTTTTACATGTAGGTTAGTATGTACTATCATTTTGTAATTTAAGGACTGTGAAATATTGATGTTAGTTTATGAAAAATGAATGTATGTGGCAAAATTTGGTATGTGGATATTAGATTGTAATCTATTGTTTATACAGACCCTAAACCGTGCTACTACACCACTTGCACGGTACGGTTCGGTACGCTTTGCGAACGGAACGGTTCGCTTTGTGAACGGTACGGTACGCTTTGTGCACGGAACGGTTCGCTTTGTGCACGGAACGGTACGCTTTGGGCACGGAACGGTACGCTTTGTGCACGGTACGGTTCGCTTTATGCACGGAACGGTACGCTTTGTGGACGGTACGGTTCGCTTCTTGCACGGAACGGTACGCTTTGTGGACGGTACGCTTTGGGAAACGGTATGCAAATAAAGTGGGCGGAGCCTGTTAGTTTTGGTCCTTGATTGGCTGCTAATTTTACAATTTTATTTCTGTTATTAAAGAATGTAATTTATTTATTATTCATATCAATTGAAGTATCAATGAGTTTCTATTTATTAGAGATGTTTATTAAATGTTTTATTACATGTATGTTATTGTGTCGATCATAGTCTTGTATGCTATGTCTCGGTTTCAATTTTAAATATTAATTTACACTGCAGCAGTGATGGAAGAAATAAGAAAAAAATGAAAGGAAATAAACATCGTCCCACTGATCGTTTTCGCATTTGTATGTATATTGATATATAGAAGGTAAATATTTCCGTGCGTATTTTTTTTTCGTATGCCGAGGCTGCGTTTTAAATAGAAAAAATAAATACCTGTATATAATTTTTTTTTTCATCTTAAAATAAAGCTTTAACAGAACTGAATATATACTTGTTCTTTATATAATACTACACACGTATATAAATTATTTTTAATTGATTGATCTATAGAAAAATATTCGCGCTTATATTTTTATTCTTAGTAATAAGAAATGTACATTGTTTCTTATGTTTAAAATTGTAGATCTGTCGTTTAAACGTCTGCCTTAGAAGAGAAATATCAGCAAACAAAAAACAAATTACATGTAATTAATAAAAAAAAATGAAAGGAAAAGATTATAAAAATAATTTACAGGGCATAGAAGACCTGTTTGTTTGTTTGTTTTTCTTTTTTTCTTATGTAAATCTTTAATTATTCTGAAAATCTTTGATTATGCTGAATTTAGATACGAAAATCGGCAGCAGAAACTCGGAATCAATCAAATGACTTCCGGGCGTTTTTCTTGTAACAGAAAACATTTCTTTTCAGAAACTAGCATTATGATTTCAAAAATCTTTAAGTCTAAGTAATTATTTTAATCATTTTTTTCTTTTTTTTAATAAGTAAATAAGTGTGTAAATACATGTACAATGATGTGAGAGAGAGAGAGAGAGAGAGAGAGAGAGAGAGAGAGAGATGCAACCCCTTGTTTCTTAATCTGTAAAAAGAAAATGTATTTATTCTCATTCTCCGTTTTATTTACATCGCCAAAGTCACATTTAATCTGTCTATGATGCTATTTAATTTCCCCAACTTTCGTTCAAACTCAACCTATTTACAACTGTTGCGCAATGCATTCGTTCTCTGCACATGCACGAAATCCTTGTGCATCACTTGTCAGTCAAAATCGCATGACGCTAGGTGACCCTGAGAGTCTGTTTACGCGGAAAGAATTTCTCTTGTGATTTGAAACATTCTTATGGTCAATTCACACCTGTTTAAAAAAATATTGGGTCACAGCCAGAGGGCCGGGGTGCCGTGTGTTTAACACACCTTTCAAATTATTTAGCTCTGACCACATTAAGTGTACATGCATTTTTAAAACTCACTCAACTGACATCCAGCGAAACGCATCTTCCAGGTTTCACCACAACACTGTTTAGATATTTTCTTCCTGAAATATCCATTTCAGACACAATTAGATAAGCATGAATCCCTTAATTATCATTTTACTTTTTTTTAAAAATGTACAATAGCGTCACATAAATTCGCAGACTTTTGATGATTTTAGTAGCTGATTAGTATCGCCCTCTAGAAAGGGGGGGGGGTATCAAACTAAATGTGGCTTGAATGAGGATTGAGAAAAATCATTGTCTTTTTTATTTACATTTTATTTTGTATGTTATCCTTTTCCAGACACAAATAAGCAGGTGTCCTGTAGATTACCGGGGTATGATTTTTTTCAAAAAATTTACAACAACGTAACATTTTGAACACTTCTAAAGAACTTATAACCTGCTAATTCGTATCGTTTTCATGAAAGGGGATGGGGTACAGTGTAACAAACCTTATAATATCTATAAATTTTTTCGCAATTTTTTTTTTTTTTTTTGTATGCAGCTTGTAAGTTGATCACAATTTTATTAGTCAGATTATCATCTCTATCCGTTCAGTAGAAATCTTCCTGTTTACTGCATGTAATATTTTAATTCATATTTGACATAATTACCGATTTTCAGTGTAAGTCTAACTGCATCAATGATTCGCCGAGTAATTATCTGAGCAGAATTAATGTGCAAGTCTAAAACGGTATTTTTTTTTACTCCAGACAGTTCATATATGTTTTAAAATTCTTACAAAATTAATGATTAATTAGTAAAATCACGCATCTGATATGAACTACATATGAATGCACACTTACGGCAAAAAGGATCACGTATCTGATTCAATAATTTAAATGGGCAAAATAAAAAATAATAAGTCAAGAAAACCAGGGAATTAGTTTAAACATCTGTATAGTTTAATCACGAATATTTAAGTACAACAAATATTTCAAAAAGAAGTTGATTTGATTTGATCAAATAAAGAAAATGAAAATATTTATTATCAGATCCGTAAAGGGGAACTGTGATACACCTTGTTACATGGTGTCCACGATCGCTGACATCAAGGATGCCGACATCGAGTTCAAGGTTCACGGTGCCACGTGTTTTGCGGGAAAAACCGTGGTCTATACCGTACCTTTTATTACAAACACAACGAGTTGATCTAATTTCTAGCATATAAGGAATCGTCTCAAAACTCTGTCTAGTTGTTTTAAAGTTGTTTGTTTCGAGTAGTTTCTTTTATTTTCACAGTTAAAAGCCCAGATGCATGATACTTGATAATGGTGTTTCGAACAGCCAGACACAAACTCCCTCCTCCTTTCACGGGCGCTATTGCGAAAAATAAACCAAAATGACTTATTTAGTCATTGCACAGTTCAAAAATCATTGGGGGCGTGGTTTGCATAATTAACCAAAGAACGGTACGGTTCGTTTCTTGCACGGAACGGTATGCTTTGTGGACGGTACGGTACGCTTTGTGCACGGAACGGTTCGCTTTGTGGACGGTACGGTACGCTTTGAGCACGGAACGGTTCGCTTTGTGGACGGTACGGTACGCTTTGTGAACGGAACGGTTCGCTTTGTGCACGGAACGGTTCGCTTTGTTCACGGTACGGTACGCTTTGTGCACGGAACGGTACGGTTCGTTTCTGAGGTGTAGTAGCACGGTTTAGGGTCTGTATATTAAATGTTTCTGTAGAAAAGGAAGAGCATCTTTCTGGCATTTGATAATCACATGCATTACTTTCATACTGATCAATATCTTTTACTTCCCTTATTTCATGACCATAATCAAAACTCTTCAACTAATTTTCTATAGAGAGGAATTCCTCCTGGAAATTCTAAATGTCTGTCAAAGATTTTGGCAACTGTTAAGGGCATCTATGCCCAAGGCCAATAACTCTCACTATAAATTATTAATTGTTTCATTTGACATTTAACCACTTTTCTCTTTATAATTTTAACTTCTGCCTTTAGCCACAATTCTGGATTGATTTCCTACAGGCCCTACCACATAATTTGGTTAAATGGTTTTTCTTTGTTGTATTTCAAAATATATAATCATTGGTGTATTTTTGCCAATCATTTTAAATTTAGGTTAGTACTTATATATATATGTACAAATTCTATTCCGATTCTATTAGTAAAGTCTTCACATATTCATTAATTTCTCTGTGCCTTTTAATTTTTGAATTTACATATTATTTTGTAGATACACTGTATATGTTGTCATAGATTTATTATCAATTATTACTTTGTGGTTAATATTTCCTGTCTTTCTTATATATTATTTAGCATTAGCAAAGTAGATATTAATTAGTATTTATATACATGTATATTCAAATCAGTATGCTTTGCATCAAGCTTTAAAAAGAAAATGTGCATTAATTAAGGCAGTACCCTTTGTTAATTATTTAATGTTAATTATCAGAAATTGAGGAGATGAAAAAGGCAATGGAGGAGGAACTCCGACAAAATCAGGAAGAAATCGAGAACATGAAGAAGACATGGCAGGAACGATTAGCTGAACAAGAGTCCGCAAATAAGGTACATTACTGTAATGGCAGGAAAGATTGGCTGAACAAGAGTCTGCAAATAAGGTACGTTATTGTAATGGCAGGAAAGATTGGCTGAACAAGAGTCCGCAAATAAGGTACGTTATTGTAATGGCAGGAAAGATTGGCCGAACAAGAGTCCACAAATAAGGTACGTTATTGTAATGGCAGGAAAGATTGGCCGAACAAGAGTCCGCAAATAAGGTACGTTATTGTAATGGCAGGAAAGCTTGGCCGAACAAGAGTCCGCAAATAAGGTACGTTATTGTAATGGCAGGAAAGATTGGCCGAACAAGAGTCCGCAAATAAGGTACGTTATTGTAATGGCAGGAAAGATTGGCTGAACAAGAGTCCGCAAATAAGGTTCGTTATTGTAATGGCAGGAATGATTGGCCGAACAAGAGTCCACAAACAAGGTACGTTATTGTAATGGCAGGAAAGATTGGCCAAACAAGAGTCCGCAAATAAGGTACGTTATTGTAATGGCAGGAAAGATTGGGCCGAACAAGAGTCCGCAAATAAGGTACGTTATTGTAATGGCAGGAAAGATTGGCCGAACAAGAGTCCGCAAATAAGGTACGTTATTGTAATGGCAGGAAAGATTGGCCGAACAAGAGTCCGCAAACAAGGTACCTTATTGTATTGGCTGGAAAGATTAGCCCAGCAAGAGTCCACAAAAAAGGTACGTTCAATATTGTACTGGAAGGAAAGATTGGCCAAACAGGAATTTAAGTTGTTGTCCTGGAGGAACTACTAAGTAATGACCTTATAGAAAATAGGAGTTACTGTAATAAAAATGACATATTAATCAAATGTAATGTAACCTTGAACTTCTAGGATTAGTCCTTGACATGAAAACAGACTGGTTGCACAGATGACTTCCAGTATGTTGAGTCCTTGACCTTATAAGTATATACTTGAACTTAAAAGTTCTTGACCTGAATGGAAAACTGTCAGAACAGTCAATTCTTGTTCTGAAAACATTAAATTTTAGAAATATCTAATAAGATTTTTTTGGCAGGGTAACATGGATGCAGAGAGAAAAAAGGAGGAGGATAAAAAAGTGATTCCCCACTTCTGGAATTTACACGAAGATCCAGCTCTGACAGCCATGATTGTTCATTTTGCCAAAGAAGGTTTGTATTCAGCGAGTTAGCTCTTAATTATTAAGCAAGGTTCAAAGGAAGATCATTCTTTTCCAAATGAAAAATAAAAATTTTGTAGGAATTTTTGTTCTACAGTAAAACTCGTTTAGTACGAACACGGATATAGCGAATTCATGGATATAGTGAAGTTTTTCTGGGTCCCCGGCAAAATTCTTAACAAATTTTTGTAAAATTGAAAAAATGAACTCTGATAAAACGAACTTATGGATATAGCGAACTGATTTTGAGTCCCGTTGAGGTTAAATATAATGAAATTTACATCTTTTATAACGAACTTTCAAAGATTATAAAAAAAATGATAAATTGAACTTACTTTATTTCCTTTTAGCATTTGTATATAAAACTCAATTGACAAGAAAACCTTACCAATCGGAGATTTGTTTTGTTATATTTGCTTCACTAACATAGTTGGTAGTAATACTTGAAAGAAAACATGCATATTGCGAATTCGCTATACTGTAAAAGCACAAATATTCGTGGGGGATTAAATTTTGTTTATTTCGTTGTTAACAATATTCAACAAAATTAAATCCCACACGAAATTTTATATGACTATATATTAAATAGGGTTACTTTCAAAACAACGAAATTAAATGCCCACGAAACTATTTTTGAAGACAAAACAACGAAATTTTATGCCCACGAAAATTTGTGCTTCTACAGTATATGGTTATACGAATTCGTTATACGGATATAACGAATTACGGATATAACGAATTAAATTCACAGGTCCCAAGGACTTCGCTATAACCGAGTTTTACTGTAATATGAATGTTGTGTATTCTGAAATCTTGCCTAGTGTTTTGTTGACATTAAGTCCCTTTCATTAAATTCATTTGTTCAAAATGTTGTCTATTTTGGAAGGTTGTCTAGTCTTACTAATTTCTTTGGAATTAGTGATGTCAGAATAAACAACTTTTACTGTACATTGCATATTTTTCTCTTCTACTTTTAGTAATCATTAAGGTACATTGATACTCTGATAAGAGAGATAACTCTTAATGACACAAATATCTATTATTCCTTTATAAATTTGTCAAGTTTAAGTGCCTTTTTTGTCAAATTTTGCCCCGCAAGCCATGATATAATTGTTTGTATTTTATTCAGGATATTCATTTCCTTAGGAAAATCATAAAAGTTAAAGAAAAATTTCATATGAGTGAGCAGAGGGTTTATGAACCTTAAGCAAAAAAAAAATCTAGCATATAGAGTTTTATTAAACTTGACATTGAAAGTAATAAAATGTTGAAATATTTTTAAAGGGTCATGTAAGGTTGGAAACAAGAACGCCAGCCCTCCTGCTGAGATTACCATTAGTGGACTCAGGTTTGTCTTCATCGCACTTCTCATTTATTTATGACTTGTAAAATATACATTCTGATTTCAGGGCATAAAACATATTTAAAAGATTATGGCACCCAAATCTAATAATGCTGATAAGGTTAATTTTCATTCATTAGGTATGTGAAAGAATAATTGTTATGTACTTATAAGTTAGAATATTTGATCATATGGTTAAAGATACTTACTTCAGAAGGGTTACTAAAGGGTTAACAAAAACTGTTTGTGGGATGTGTGTCATAAAATTTTAAATTAGCATTTTATGACAGGGACATTATATACAAGTAAACCTTTAAATTTCAGCATTCAGAAGCAACATGGAGTGGTGACCAACAAAGGGGGAGTGGTGAAAATCAAACCTATTGATGGAAAAGTTCTGGTTAATGGAGCAAAGGTTACCAAGGAAACGGAGTTACATCACAATGACAGGTAAAATTTTCATACCTTCTCCAAATATTGTAATGACGGTTAAATGTTGAAATAAATCAAAGGTATGTTTTCTGTTTTGAAGGTCAAACTTTAAACAATCTAAGAATAATAAGTGTAAACTGACTGCTTATAACAGTTGTATACCACTTTTACGTACCAAATTTTTTTTAGGTAACTCTTCAGTGCAACTGAATTTATACTTGATATTTTGAATTACGTTTGCAATTACTTCTCTTCAGAGTGTTGTTTGGTCCAAATCACCTGTACGTTTTCCACCATCCACAAGACTTAGCTAAAAATGTCAAGGAGGGAAAAACTGTAGAGACCCCGACTTATGACACAGCTCAGGAAGAAATCGCCAAAAAGGCAGGATTCATGGACAAAGCTGGCAAATCAGAAGGTTGGCTTAGTTCTGTATTTTGGGGTCCCACTACATATCTTGCTGTTAGCTCATTTGTCCAAATCAAATATATATTATAAAATACAGTGAGGAAATGTAGAGTCTTCAAAGCTATGTCAGCTGATGCAACCTAGGTTTAAAACTGCTTTCGCTTCTTTCAGAGGACCTCATCCTACAGGAAGATGTGATTCAGATGTTACCAATGGTGAATGAAGCAGACGCCATGTCAGCAGAGCTGGACAAGAAAGTCAAGTTTGAATTAGCCCTAGTGTCCCCTCAGGCCCGGGGCCTCAAGGAGGGCAAAACTGAGGTCTGTTTTTCAGTAGTTGAAATTTTAACTGACTTGAGACTAAACTGGCTAAAAGTTATTTAAGACAAGGGGGCTTTGAAGAGGCAAAACTGAGGAGTGCATTCTCAATAATTGAAGCAGCTTGGTCTTTCGTTTTGAAATGCTCATCCAGGTCTGACATTAAAATGTTAAATGCAAGCAAGTTTTTCAAGTGTTCCTGGGGCCATCATATTTTATTGTTGGCCTGGATATATGGGCTATAGGTATACTTTTTCTGATACAAAATGTAGAGGCTGGAATTTTGTTTGGTGTAAACTTTATTTCTTAAGATCCAATGCTAAACAATCGATTGGCATATTTATGTTGATGAAAAAGCAGGAAATATATTCTCAGTTAAATACAATTTCATTTTATTATATTTAGGTGATGGTCAAAATGAGGAACTTGGAGAATGGAAACGAATGGTTATGGGATCGTAACAAATTCATCAACAGGAAGTTCCTGATGCAGGAAATGTACCAGAACTATGTGGAAGGGGCAGATGACTGGGATGTTCCCAAGGTAATCAATCAACAAATATGAAGCTTAATAATTCAGTATGAAACACATTGCTTTTGGCCTTTAAATTTAATGCTGTATGCATAACATGTACTGTGTATTTAGTCAATTGTAAACAAAGTCCTAGGCAATTTTATGAGATAAGTTAATCACATTCTGAAAAAAAATTATGGCTATTTAAAGAATCTCAATACTAGAAACCAAGTTCTTTTTTTAACAAAGGAAAACCCATAGGTACCTTGATCTGCAAAACATTCTATACCTGGTACACATCTTTTCAATAATATCTGACCTTTTGACCTTTTCAGGAGAAGGACCCGTTCTGGGAGGACGCTGATGTGGAGGTGTTGATCGGGACGGTCCATGTCCATCTGATGTCACTCAGTCACAAACTGGACATCGAGGAGACGCTAACAGTCACTAACTACCAGGGGAAAGAAAATGGTAGGTACTCGTGTAATGTAACGTTAAAAGTAACAGGAGTTTACAGGCTCACAGCTGTAAGATGTAATGTAAAATTTTGTTTGATTTTAAGGTAAAGTGCAGTAAATGATAAAGGATTTCATTTTATATATAGGTCACATTGAAATTGAGGCCATTCCTTGCACAGCTAAGGGAGCACAGATAGGGGAGGATGACTTTTTGGATGACCCCAAAGACTTGGTAAAGAGTACATGTACTCTGTGTTTATTATTTATGTACTTGTAAAAGAATAAATATGTGACTTGGAATATGTGTAAAATTGATGTGTATCTTCATGCATGTTCAAAATATTTGAGTCAATTGATTCAGAAATTAAAAGGACATTGGTTATTTTTGATATCATTACTAATCCAATGACATTTTATGCAACACTCACTCATTTCTTCTGCAGATTGGAAAGGAGTTAAATTTCAAATTTAAAATCAATTTTGGCCGAGGCCTTCCAGCCAACATTAGACAGGTTAGTTGATCTTGTGTTTTAAAACTAAAGAGCTTTCTTCACTCTTTACAATAATGTGTTGATTTAATTACAAAAGTTTTTTTTTTCAAATGATCTTCAAGTTATAGCTTAATTTAGTTTTGTTCATTTCATGAATATTAAGTTTACAAAAAGTAGAAAATATTCTGTCTTATTTCAGTAGATTATTTAATAGATTTTATGCATCTTAATGATACATTTATGTATATTAACTATTATTTAATTTTTTCTTCCTTGTATAGAGCTGCTGTAAGTTTAAGTTTTATCTGGACAACCAGTACACATCAACAGCCTATGTGGATGGTATGAATCCCGAGTACAAGTTTGAAAAACTCTTCAAGTTCCCCAAGTGTACTTCTGAGGTAAGTCAAGTACTGAAGTGTACCTGATATTGTAGTGTATTAATACTGAGTTAGAGATGCTAGTGCACTGATATTTACTTGAAATGCTGTTCTTATACTGAAGATTCAACACTGGTATTTAAATAGGTGTTTTTGTATTTAACATACTGTATATAATGATTTCTTCAAGATAATGTCTTATTATCCCAATAATATGTCCTTATGTTGACTTACATGTTTATAAGAAAATCCATATCTTCATCAATTTCTTATTTCTTTAGTTTGTGGACTACTTGATTGACTCTGTGGCAGTGATAGAAGTCTGGGGCAAACAGAAGGGGGTGGGGATGAAGAGTGGGGGCAACCTAGGGGTGGCTACCAAAGACCTGATGGCCAGAGAAAAATCCAACCTGGTATGTGATATTTAGTTAGTTCATGGAGGATGATGAATAATTATACCCCACGCAACTAGTTGCTTGAGGTATAATGTTTTTGACCCGTCAGTCAGTCAGTCAGTCCTTTTTTTTTTGTCAGTGCAACTCCTCATAAACTGCTGCACAGAATTTCGTCAAACTTTGCAGGTATTTAGGACGCAATGTGTAGATGTGCAAATTACCAGGAAATTCTGATTCCATTATTTTTTGCGGGAAATTCCGCACTTTTTAACTTAGGCATTTGGCCATACCTTGAATATAGAGATAAACAGTTTGTCAGCGCAACTCCTCATAAACCGCTGCACAGAATTTCGTCAAACTTTGCAGATATTTAGGACACAATATGTAGATGTGCATATTACCAGGAAATTCTGATTCCTTATTTTTTCCGGGAATTTCCGCACTAAAAACTTAGGTTTTTGGCCATACCTTTTATATAGAGATGAACAGTTTGTCAGCGTAACTCCTCATAAACCGCTGCACAGAATTTCGTCAAACTTTGCAGGTATTTAGGACACAATGTGTAGATGTGCATATTACCAAGAAATTCCGATTCCATTATTTTTTCCGGGAATTTCCGCACTAAAACTTAGGTTTTTGGCCATACCTTTTATATAGAGATGAACAGTTTGTCAGCGCAACTCCTCATAAACCGCTGCACAGAATTTCGTCAAACTTTGCAGGTATTTAGGACACAATGTGTAGATGTGCATATTACCAGGAAATTCTGATTCCTTTTTTTTCTTGGAATTTCCACACTTTTTAACTTAGATTTTTCGCCATACCTTGAATATAGAGATAAACAGTTTGTCAGCGCAACTCCTCATAAACCGCTGCACAGAATTTCGTCAAACTTTGCATATATTTAGGACACAGTGTGTAGATGTGCATATTACCAAAAAATTCGGATTCCTTTATTTTTCTGGGAATTTTGGCACTTATGAAATTAGATTTTTGGCCATACCTTTAATATACAGATGAACATTTTGTCAGTGCGACCCCTCATAAACCGCTGCACAGAATTTTGTCAGACTTTGCAGATATTTAGGACACAATGTATAGATGTGCATTTTACCAGGAAATTCCGAATCCTTTATTTTTCTGGGAATTTCCACACTTTACAACTTAGATTTTTGGGGATATCTTGAATATAGTGATTAACAGTTTGTCAGCAAAACTCCTCATAAACTGGATATCTTGAATATAGTGATTAACAGTTTGTCAGCGAAACTCCTCATAAACTGCTGCACAGAATTTCATCAAACTTTGCAGATATTTAGGACACAATGTGTAGATGTGCATATTACCGGAAAATTCTGATTCTTTCATTTTTTCTGGGATTTTCAGCACTTTGAGTTTTGGGGGAGCGTGGGGTATGTGAGCTTGCTCACTTTTTCTTTCATTTAAAATCAAATTAAATGTGAATTTTCTTGATTGAATGCAAGGAGTAATGCTCTCTGTAATTATAATTTAGTACCATCTAGCTACACATTGAATGACAGCATGTTCATTTCAGTTTTAACTTTGGAGTGATAATGCATCTTTTGTGTAGTGCATGATCTTTTCAGCTTAAAAGTCTTGATGTTGCTGCATGAAATTGATTTTCTAATAGAGTATATGCTTAGTACTATAACATGTGCATGTAATAATCATAGGAAAAGGATATTGGCAAACATTTTATCTGAGTATAAAATACTCATATCTTACATCAATTAACTGCAGAAAATAATGGAAAAGTTTCAGGTTGATCTCTACTGCTGACTTTTGGTGAATCTAACTGAAACTTCTTAATATTTGGAAAGACAGTCCAATATGTTATTTTTAACTCACCTGAGTTGAAAGCTCAAGTGAGCATCTCTGACCCTAATAAGGTAGAGAGGGGCCACTGTTCAGAATAACATGATGAAGATGATTCAGGTGAGCATTGAGGCCCATGGGCTGCTTTGGACAGTGATTTGCAGTTTCTGTTTATTTTGGCTCTTATTTTCAGTTTGGTTTAAGTACTTTTGAGGAGGAACAGTCCAAATTAAAGAAAAGAGTAATGTCTCATTTAGTCTGTCCTCTCTTTTCCCTTTATTTATCATCAGTTTTTATAGATCTCCAATTTACATATTCTCTGCTTGTAGCAAATCTAGTAAAAATTTTGTCATTAAATTCACACTAATAAGAAATAACAAGATAAAATGAGATTCATCTCTATATTTTATGTTTCTTTAGACTGCATATCTCTAAGTTTTACCATTAATATCTGTTTTCATTCGATATTTATAAGAACTTCAGTTAATTGAAGTGTATTTTGATATTTCTATACATTTCAATATGCTCTAAGTAACATCATAGAACTTTGAAGACAGAAGTATGCACACAATCTTTTACATCCTCATATACCTACTTGTTGTTTATTAGAACATACTCTTCATATTTAAATTGATTCAATTCTGTATGTCTCTAAAAGTAGAATATAAATTACCTTTACTTTCTTGTACTGACATTTCTGAAAATGTTAACTTTCCTATTCATGACAATTTATACATGCATTCTCATTAAAATTACTTCATTGAATACACAACAGTAATTTAATAAAAACAACTACAGCATGATTTATTGTAATATATTGCATGCTCATATATTAGTATATAATATGTATTATTTTATTTGCACCGGGTTCACAGGTGCATATATAGCTCAGTATATAATATGTATATGTATTGTGTTTATACTTTACCATTATCATTAGATTTTTGTAGATTTCAAGCATATTGTGATAGAAACTGTTTAGATAATAGTACAGTGTATATCTTCATTACTGTAAATCCATCCTATATAAAATGATGTGGGTTTTTTCATGGATTTATTAAGTTGTTAATGGTAAAAATTATTTATTCATAATAGATTTCTACTTTTGGTATTCATTGTCCTTGTAAAAAGTAACAAACACCAAACAGAGTTATTTCTCTTTCATTAAATTCACAAAGACCTATTAGAGTTAATGCCCTTTTATAAATATGCCTATGGTTTCCTATAGGGTGAAAACAAGCCAGCACCAGCACCAGCAAAAAAGAAGAATGACCCCCCAGCCAAGGCCACAGACAACGGAGTGGTGATTCCAGTCCCTCCCCCACCGTCAGACAAAAAGCAGAATGACCAACAGATGAATGCCTACAAAAAACAAGCAGATGATGCAGAGAAGAGGGCCAAGGCTGCAGAACAGAGGGCAACAAGCTCCGAGAACATGGTGGTGAGTAATTATCTGAGATAATGTACTTGTCTAGTCATAAATGTCTGGGCATCTGAGCAAAATGCAAAATAATGTATTAAGTACAGTAATCTTCTTTTATGTTTTTGTATATGGTTTTGTATATGTTTATAGTTCATATATTTTATTGTTTGTTTTACAGTCTAATGTCAGAAATCATCTCAATCAGATGAAGAGAGCTGGAAACAGCACAGTTTCTGTAAGTTTTTTTAAGAGAATTTTTATCTAATCATAAAGATAAAAAAGGAAAGAATATAAATATTGATTAATATGAGTAAACATAATTAATATTTTTTTAATAAAGAAAAAAGCATAGACATATTGTTAACCAATACTTTTCACACCAAGAATAAAATAATTTGCTTAATTGATGAACTTTCTTGTTGACACAGATTGCTGAGATTGAGGCTATGCTGGCTAGAGGTAACTCGAGTTCAGCGCGGCAGGAGCAAATGGGGGACAATGCATCAAAGGCCTGTACAATACAGTAATATCACACACGAAACAGTGTACAGTACAGTAATATCATACACAGTATGGTGTACATGTGTACCTCAGAAACTGGTAACTTTATGTACTAGATTTCTAAAATTTCAGTTTGAGGAATCAACTTATACAAGGTTTTCTTGGTGTAATCAGATAAAATCAAATTTGAAACTTTTGCAATAACTGTTTTCCAGTGATTTTTCTTATGAGGAAGATGTGTAGTATGAAGGTAGATCTGATTTGTTTATTATCTTGTTCTGAGATTTCTATTTTTTATCAAATTAATTTTCTTATTTATATTTGTTCCAATCAAATTTTATATGTCTTCTTTTTTTCTAAAATCTTGCCTTATAATTACATATTAATAAGTGCATTTGCATATTGATCATTAATTGTTGTAATGTATACATGTAGTCATTAAGGTTGTAAATTAATGACTTAATTGTGTTATTTTGTTTAAGGAACTATATACATTGGTATAGGTTATGATTAACCATGTGCTCTTCTATGATGTTCTGACTTTAGAATCTATGTAAAAATTACAGAGAAATGAATATTGTTTTTAAGGTTACATCTATTTCTTGAAATGAGAAATGTAGAGAAACATGTAGTTTCATCATGATATTGTGTAAAAAATGCAAGTTTGTGAAGATCTTGATTTGTTTCAGGGTTTTTAGATTTTGTACATCCATTTTACTTAATTTGTTGTAGTATGTACAGTGTATTACATAAATTTGTGCATGTAGTACATGTACTATCAGGTATCCACTTATCATACTTACTGTAAACCAACTTTTATTTGCTCACAAGAAACAGCAGCTGATGTTTTCCACTTTCTTTGGTAAAATTTCTCACAATTACTTTCATTGTGTTTTAAGTATGCAAACTGTTTTCATGCAATTTAATTAAATATGGATTTGAAATTGATAAATAACAAATAAAAGTTGTCTTCAGTTATAGTTTGTTTACAGTATATAAAATAAAATAGCTGAAGAGATTTTGTATTCATTGAAAACTTAATAATTTATTACTACATGTACTAAGTTTTTAGCAAATGAAACTTTGTATTATAGACTGTGATAATTTTTAATTTTTTCTAAAACATGATTATATTTTTTTTAAAAGAAGCATCTCTACAATCAATCCTTATATATCCGTCCATATAAAATATTTGTAATTTTCCAAAAATAAATTCTTTTTTTATTCAGGATAGAAAATAAATTAAAAAAATTTGATTTGTTTTTTATTTTTTAAATAAGAATTTTTGTGCAATACAAATTAAAGCTGGTCTTTTCTTATTATGTTTGATTTCTAGTATTCATTATACTCTTTTTAAATATAATTTACATCATTTTGAAGTACTATCAATATTAAATTCAGATTTATAAATGATTGGATTTGCTTAATCATATCGCTATCAGATTTATTTTTGAAATTTATAATTTTATATAAAACCATTGGTGTTTGATATATTTTTATCTGTTATTTGTCACACTCAAAATCATTATATTTTGCAACCTTGAATAATGACCTATCATAATATCAAATTCATATTTGTGACAATGAAAGCTGGATTTGCAAATAAATAATTTAAATCAAAAAATGTGGGTTTTTTTTTTAAATTTAGATTTATTTTTGAAAGTTAAACCTTTTTTTTTAAGAAAAAGAAAACCCTTAAAATATTACATTAAATATATATAAAATCATTGGTGTTTTATGATGTCATATTTATACTTTTTCAATTGCTGTGTTATTTGTCACACATTTCTGTACAAGTTTTCTTTATGGGGACTTTGTATTTATATTTTGTCAGTCAGTTGTAATGGCCTCCTTTAGCTGTATAATTATTTATGTATGTCATAAAGTCTCAATTCCTGTTCATGTTCTACACAATCAAAGCTGGTCTTGCAAATAAATAATTTAAATAGAAAAATGTTTGTTTTCTCATTTATTTAAAAACTTGTATTTGGAAATACAGTGTAGTAATATGCTAAACTATATAATTTTATATGATAATTGACATTAAACCTTTTTTTTTAAAGAAAAAGGAGTAATTATTCGTGTAAATTCATTACAACATAATAATAATACGTTAATGTTCAAAGATATATTCACATACATGTACTATGGATTTATTTTTTCTAAATACATAGTGTAATATATAAAAGTAACTTGATCAGAGTTTCATGCACATACAAATACGAAACACATGACAAAGGTTATGACAATGTTCAGCATAATTTAGCTAATCAGGTTACTTTTAGCTTAATAATTATTATTACCGAATCTTGACCACATTCTATACTGAACATTGACAGTGTTTTTAGTTTTACATCTACACCCCGACACTTGTGTAAACAGCCGAGTATGGAGGAGGGGGTTCCACTCCACCAGGAAGGTCGATCTCTGGTCGAACCAATAACCGAAATCTCTGGAAGTAATTTAATTAAACATTTTATTTTTAACAAATTGAGAACTCAAAAAGTAACTGGATTTAAATTTAAAGAAAACACTGAATTATTCAAGGAGAGAGAAACGGAATTTTTCTTACATTGATAAAGGTTGACTAACCTGGCTTATCGATCCTGATGTAGTGAGTAGCTTAAAGATCATATAAATAGGAATCAGAGAAACAGACGACAGAGCCATGATACCGCCAATCACGTGAGCCCACGTGGGAAATTCATACTCCAAATACGTCACGGGTTTAAACTTGATGAAGCGGAATAGTAGGATACCCTGAAATGAGTTGCTCTATTCACTATGGTACCAGACAGTGAATGAATTGGCGTTTGCAAAGCAATATTTGTGAAGATAAAGATCATGATTGAAAAAAGTAGTAATAGTGAAACAAATGTATTTTTTATCTTGTAAATAAAAGCAATATTACTTGTACTTACTGCCGTCAGTGCAGGTGTAGAAACTACCCATGTGAATTTCCAGAATGATCTTGGATAATAACCCAACATACTATGGAGGTTTTCGTAGTACCGCTTCACACCTAATTAAAGACAAGCTTTTTATAAAAAAAAAATATATTTAAAACAATTAATTTTCATGACCTGGATTAAAAAAAAATGTTTTTGTCCCGTCTGTCTGATTGTCTGTTTGTTGTCAACTTTAACCTAGTCCATAACCATTGTGCTGTCAAGGGTAAGTGTATACCACTTCAGTCTACACCCCACTCCAGAAATGCTTTACCATCGGAGACATAGTGTTTCAGAAGCACATCTTGTTAAACCTAATTTAGTTGTAATTTAAAATAAAGCACCCTTTAATAGTAAAACCATTAATCTTGTTATAAAATGATACAATGTATTAGAGAAATAAAAAAATGTGCATGTACTGTGGTGCCACATGAAGCACTAATACCGTACCGTATCCCCAAGAAACCGCTGTACATTCGAAGAAAATGAGGACAAGAAGACATAGTCCGCTGGCGGAGTAGTTATCAAACAACTGGAACACGTACATACCGCCCTATATTGACAAAAAAGAAAAAAAAGTAACATCGTAGTGACATGGCATGCAACTAGTTTGAAGCCAAAAAAGGAAAATTCAAGTGAAACCTTGGAAAATCAGTGAAAATACAGCTTTGACACTTCTTTAAATGTTGTCGTAACACTGTAAGCTTGATTTAATTCTAATCTGGATAAATACTACATGTTGTTATACTGGTGATAAGAAATGTATGTCTATGTATTATGTTTTATTTTATTCAAATGTATGTTGTTGCAGGATTATTTCAGTATGGTTGTTGTAAAGAAAATACTGCAAAGAAAAAACCTTTCTATCAGAAAATCTGAATCACCTCGGTAACCATAGACAACCCAATCAAGTATGAGAGGAAACAGAATACACCGATAAAGATTTCCCGCCTTTTTTTCAAAAGTCCCGGATATTCGTCTATCACAGCCGTAAAGAAACCCTCCATAGTGCAGAACTTGTTAGAAATGGAAAAAAAAAATACATCAATATGCTGCTGGATGCTGTTGAAATAGGAATTCACATTATTCAGGTTTTAATACAATGTATTCAATAATTGGATTTTTCTATAGTAAAATGAGACTTCGTATCTATGGGATTTTTCACTTATATTGATGTAATTTACCTGACTGTCCATTCCCAAAATTAACAGCATCAAGAAGAAGAGAACGGCCCAGACTGGTGATACTGGAAGCTGAACTACAGCATTAGGATAGGCAAGGAAAGCCAAACCAGGTCCTGGATTACAATAAAGCAAGACGAAACAGGTCAATTTCTTCATAAGGTAAATACATGTAATTAGCACTCAGTATACATGCATAGGAACTTTTAAAAAAGAAATTTTATAAAGGTAGGGATATCTTCTCCTTTGTGAATAATATGAATTAGTCTTCAAACGTCCACTTTAGCAACACACATTTCAAAGTCTATGCATCACGCGATTTGCAACAGTAGTATTCGATCCATGATCATTTTCACATTTATTTAAATTGGTACCTGAAGCTGCAACGTCGCTGACCGGTTTCTTCTGCTCGTACGCCATGAAACCGATGACAGAGAAGATGACGAAGCCAGAGAAAACACTGGTGGCACTGTTCAGGAGAGATATACAAATAGCATCTCTGTTAAGTAAGAAAAATTAACGATTTCACACATCATCTAACATGTCTAAAGGAGCTTGTTTTGTTTTCTTTGATGCAAAGGAAAGTTTGAGGTTGAGTTTAATCTTTTCTATTTTCAATTTTAACATTAAATCATGCATGGATATATTAGGAATCTTTATTCTTGCTTAAATTTATTTGCATTGTAATGTCTTTTCACCATTTTATAAGAATCCCTTGCTTAGTATACTATCGTGATGAAAGAATTTTATTTGGGTTGGTTTTTGAAATTGAAAAAAAATGCTGAAATATTTCTCCATGAACTTACTTGCAGACATTGTTATTATACTTGTTGTAACTTCCCAATGCGATTAGTGTTCCCAAACCCAAGCCATAGGAAAAGAAAATCTGAGTGACAGCATCTATCCACACCTGTGATAAATTTTAACTTCATTAATAATGACCAATGAAAATATATGAAAATTTCCGAATTCAATTTTCATTGAAGAAGCGGTTCTCTGTAAAATCAAATAGGCTACATGATAGTTTTAGTTTACCATGAGTAAGGTTGTATTAAGTGTATAAAAATCGTACATGTAATTTTTGAAGTTATTGACTCTCCAAAAATTAAGAGATTTTAAATTTTCTTTTATAGTTTTCTTGAGTTTTTTGAGAATCCACATTCAATTTCCCCACTTCTAAATTATGCTGTGACACAGTACATTTGAGGTTTCTCCTTTACAGCAGTTAATATTTTTGTAAGGAATAAAGATACCCAATTATGACTCCTATCAGGAATAATCATGTTTATGTTCTATCATCTCTTCTCTCTCTTTACACCTTGTTTTTGCAATTGTTTTGTAAGAGTGTTTTTTTTTTCAAATATATACTGTGAGTACCTGTGATTCGGAGAGTTTTTCTAGATCTGGATATACATAGAATTTGATTCCTTCCAGAGCACCTGGAAGCGTTACTCCTCGAATTAGGAGGATGAACATGAGAACATAGGGAAAACATGCCGTGAAATAAACAACCTACAACAAAAACAACAGCACATATATAATTTACAATTTTATTGATATGATTTTTAAAAAAAATTAGCAACTAAATACACCTTTGACGTTTGATCTCAAAGATCAGTAAAGAGTATATGCATGGGGTTATAATACTTTTTAGTAGTATTGATAAATGAATTGAGTCATTTTAGACGTAAAAATATTTACTGATAGATTACCTGGTTATTTTAGATGTAAAATATTTGATTGAGAAGGAAGAAAATAATCCATACCCTTCCAGAACATTTTACTCCTTTCCAAATGCAAAAATAGCACAATATCCACACAGCTAACAGACAGATGGACAACTCTGCACGCAGCTTCCCAGGTTCACCAACATCACTAGTTATTCGTAAAGTATTGCGTCTTGAAAGAAATGAGCTCTGGTTAATAGAGGTTGTAATACTATATACATTTTGTATAGTATTCTGAATGCATTTATCAACTGCTCAAGCAATATGAGCTGCGACTTTCATGTCGGAATTTTTTGTTGCAAAATTGTAAATAACTACATGTGTATATCAATGTTCATACTTGCGATGGAAGAACTATTTATAAGCTATTTATAAGCTTCGATTGAATCAAAAGTACATTATTGTCGTCCTGTACAATAATGATTTCTTATATAAATTGTATATTGGAAATGTATATAGAAGTCTTTCTTTTGCTTTATTTAAGTCTAATTGATGATAAAAGGTTTAACTTACAAATTTATCAAAATAACACATTTTAACAGCAAAACAAAATTTTCAAAAAATGCAGTTCACATTGCTTTCAGTATAATTATATTTGATATACATGTATTTCATTTTTTTTTTAACTTTTCTAGCATTTAATTTTAAGCTTACTCCCAGAATTCCCGTACTGGAGAAGTGTACACGATAGAGGAACAATTCGTCCCAACTTTTGCCCAAAGTGTTGAGTTTTTGCCATTATTCGATAAATTCTGAGAATACCAAGATGTCCCATTAGAACAGTTGTAATCTTTGAATTCCCTTTTGTAGTCGGACAGGCAGAAGGGAGTGTTCCAAGGGTTGTTACAGGTAGCCCAGGGAAGAGGGTCAGAAAACGAGTGGTACAGGTAGTAAACAGCCCAGGCCAGAATAACGATGTAGTATATGTTCAACCACGCTGCTATAACAGCAGAAGCATAACCAACACCTAAAGAAAGGAAGACCGTTAGAATTTTACGATACATTAACTCCTCAAACGTGAAGAATTGAATTGTGAATGAAAAAAAATGGCTAAACAAAGAAATGCGTATTTGATATTGTAAAAATTGGAGCAAGCAGGTGAATATCATAAGCCACTTCTTTGATTGAATGGAAATATTTTAAAATTTGCTTTTCCATATAATTTTAAAATTGTCTGATGCATAATTTTATGTTTTATTGACATTTGGATCTTTTGATACTTATTACTAGTTGAGGACGATTTATTTTACCTGAAAATTTGCAGAATTGAAGCTCATGTCTTAATATGTCAGAGAACTGCAGTTATATATTCTCATACCTTTGAAAAGTGGACTTATTTTCCATACACTGAGTCCACCCGTACTTAACCATTGCCCCAAAGATAGTTCCAAGAAGTACATAGGTATACCAGCGAATATTGCCGTCAGCAGGTATGGAACAAGGAAAGCACCTTTTAATATATAAAATAAATGTTTTCTCTCTTAATTCCTTTAAGGAAACGGAATACTCTAACAGATCTTAACAAAAAAAATATTTATCAAAAATATCCTTTTCATGACCTGATCTCAGAATGCGTGAAAATAATTGGCTTCCATGACAAACAATTTTTGTCAACAAATCTTGTTTGCATAAGCAAAACGCGATTAATGATGCATATTATTTTCAAATCTGCTCTTGATCAATCGTTCACCCGTGGATTATTGTTCTCGCGATTTGACGTTTAGATACTATTTTGCGATTATATGTTCACGCGAAAAACCAGGAATCTATAGACATTGCCTACATTTAACTCTATACCAGGTTTTCTTAAACAAGGATACAAGGATCACAGCTTCAATTTAAATTTTAACTTTTAAAAGAAATTATATTTATGGCTTTAAATAATGTATTATACCTCCACCATTCTTGTAACAGAGGTAGGGAAATCTGACCACATTTCCCAGTCCTATACATTGTCCAACACAAGACAAAACGAACTCTATCTTTCCATTCCATTTTTCCCGCGCACAATCGTCTGTCGTCTGCTTGGTTGTCTGAGTTTGTTGTTGTGGACGAAATGCACGAAGAATTCGGTCTTCCGCAGGCAGTGACGGTACTTCTAAAAGATTCTGTCTGTACTTGCTTGATTGCACATTTAGATTTTCACTCGAAGAGGTAACATTTTCTTTCATTGTAGAGATATTACTACAGTAACCATTAATCAAAGTAAAAGTAAAGACTGTCGTCTCTACTTTCTTTGTTTGAGATAATATACTTAACTCAGTCGCACTGGCTATGTTAATTACTCAGCAGTCCAAAGAATTGATCTTTTTTTAATGAAAAAATAGCCGTTTTTATATTAAATGTGCCAATCTTGTTTGACGTATAATTTTGTGCCAATTTACATATCTACATACAACTGTACTCCAAATTAAAACAAACCAATTTTTCATGTCTATCACCTAACTCCACTTCCGATTCACTACAAGCCACAGCTTTGTGTATAAATTGGTTCATTCTACCTATTCCCACTTTTTGAAAATCAGGTAGAAAAAGGTAAGATTTTATGTTCGAATATGTGGAATTTTTGTGTAAACAAATAATTAACTATGAAAACATATTATTACTGTATAAATAATGATTAATGAACACCTATTGGAATAGAGGACAGGTATATTTGCTTTATTAAATTATAAATCAGACTTTTTACTAATATTTGAAAGAAAAACTGGATTTTTAATAGAATTAAATTATATTTTTTCTCCGTTAATATATTCATTCTAAAATCCACCTATTTGAATGCATCCTTTTCAATAAATCTATTTATTTTATGTTCTTAAATTAAGATATAAAGTTGCATTTTCTTGTAAGACCTTTTTATTAATTCAAAAATCCGAAATAAATCATATTTTCTTATATAATTCATTATTTTCCGTCTTAAAATGTACAAAATACAGTAAATCTAAAGAGCAGATGTAATTAGTCTAGTTACTGTAAAAAATAAATTATCTAAACAACTGTTGTTATTTGCAAGTGGGAATAGGTGGAATTGAGATTTTTGAAGAGTGGGAAAAGGTAGAAGACACCGAAATTGCCTTCATTTAATATTCGTTAATTCGAGAGAGGACTTGAACTACTTATATGTAGTTTCCCACCTGTGCTTTCATGCTTCAGTGGACGTTGGAGCTTGATTACTTTTGTTATCTTCATTTTTCATGAAATTATAAACATGATAAACTATAGTTAATATATATATTTTCTGATAGGGCATATCTGGATTCTCTAAAAGTATGCATTATCATTAGTCTGGTGTTACTTGAAAATCATACACTTTCAATTAGGAAGAGTTACATTTAAAGCAAAAGACATCGTGATTAGCTATAGGCAGTTTTGAATAGTAAAAAAAAAACGTGTATTTAATTCATTTTGAATTAGTTCATTCAAAAGCCTAAAGCTATTAATTTTCAATCTATTGGGGAGAAAAAATGAGTATTTACATCTTTTTAAAATGCAAAATAATGCTTCAAGGCAAAACAATACGGCATTATTAAGAAAAACTCCAAAAAAAAATGCCAAGAAATGAGAAAAAGGTTTGTTACTCCCTTTTTGAAAGCCATCGAAACTTTGAAAGGCGTAATAATGCTTTTATATATATATATATATATATATATATATATATATATATATATATATATATATATATATATATATATATATATATATATATATATACATATATATACATACATATATATATATATATATATATATATATATATATATATATATATATATATATATATATATATATATATATATATGTTGATAAATTCTCAATTAAAAAATTCATAGATGTTGATTTTATTCGTGTTTTCCGAAAATTCATTTGAGATTTAATAATTTTCCTATATTATATGAAGGAATACAATTAGAATATACACATTACTCATTCAATTATAGGCTTTTAATGAGCATTTTCAATTTCCCATATCTGATGATTTTTGAACCCGAAGATTGACGGTTACAATGTAATTCGATTTGCTTGCAAGATATCAAAGGGATATGTTGTACCATTTAAGTACATGTTCTTTGCATTGAACTTTTTAACAAATAATGAAAAAAAAATTGAAATTGAAGACTTTTTTGACACTCCTTTCTTTCATTATGCCCGAAGTCTGACTCATACAGTTCAAACAGTATTTTTTTCTGAAACAAGATATATGATCAGGGAGCAATGACAGTGAAACATTCTTATAGAAGACACACAATGACATGTTTACAATAGATCAGATTAAAGACATTTCGCTACGACAAATGGCCGTATTGTTCTTTTCTTTTTGCTGTCCTTTTAATTATGACGGTAATCTTTGTTACTTATTCCCCTTAAACGAACTGACTTACTTTTTTAAACGAACCTATGAGCATTGGGAGCATGATTATATAGCACTAATCACACAGAAAAAAAAAGAACAGAGGGACAAAAGCAGTAAATCATGACATGTAAGTATTAATTCATAATTATAATGAAAGTCATATAATGATAATTAACTAAGGCCTGTTCATCTGAATAATTACAAGAGATCTTTATGGTTTTCGTTATCATCAGTAAATGGGATACTAGTAGATAAAAGTACATAAAGTAAAGAAACTTATTAGTACTCTTATTTCATTGCAAATGATGCCTTTTGATTATTAATTATTGTTATTTATCTGTTATATTCTATCCATTTCTTTATTATTATTATTATTATTATTATTATTATTATTTACAGGTCGTGTTCGATCTGCAAAGTCTCGGATGAAGTCCCCGAGAATTTCTGTCAATTCACTGTCTCTGGGTATCAACCAACTCTCTGTTAGCCGACCAAGGACAGGTGTGTATGTTTCTTATTTTAAATTAAAATACAAATAAGATCGGTACCGTCAGGAAGGTACAATAATTTTACCGTGTTTTTAAACATAGGACCTTGAGTACAAGAAGAAACCTTAGAAACCCCCTGTACAACCACTGAGCAAAATGGCTTCAATTTTAATCAGTCTGTGACTGACAATTATTTCAAAACTGAATTTTGAATAATAATTGAATCATTTTAATGATTTTTATTTGTATTGTTTGTTTGGTAAGTTTTGTGGTTTTAGTTTGTTTCCTTTTTTTATGAATCATTATGTCATAGAAAACAATACATTTCTTACATATTCATTAAAATGTCAATGTTTTTACAGCTCAGTTTGAAGCCATGGTAACACCAAGATCCTCCAAGGAAAGAGAAAAACCTATCAGACTTCCTGTCTGTCGCCCAAAGTCCGGTAAGGGCTATATAATTATATTACACCAGTAAGGCGTTAAATTGTAAACGGAATTGACAACAAATCCACAGATTATGAGAAAAGTAGAAATATACAGGTTTATGACAAGTTTGTGAGACACTATGCTTACACCCTATTAAATGCCCAGATCTGATAGTTATTGATTACACATGTAAGTCATATTTCTATAAATTATGTTACAGAGTTAAGTTCAATTGATATAAAAAAAATCATACATTTAGGCTTACTAAGCAGCAGAACTAATAGTAAGAACCCCTGCAAGGCAATAGAACAAATAGACTGCGAGGAGGAAATCATTCTTCCAGAATGTTCCAACAGTCGTCCTGTCACTGGTATCTGTCCTTTTTGTTTATATTTTCTTTAAAAATACAAGACACACCAAAGATTTTAAACAATCATCTTTTACAATTAAAAAATCGTTACGTAATTGTAAAGAAGGATTTCTTTAAAATCAAATTTTAAAAAAATAAATAAACAATTAAAGTAAACTTTAAAAAACCTCCGAGAAAGTGTACAATATGATTAACCTAAAACATAACTATCCTAGAATGATTTATAAAAAATCTTGTCAGTTAATTGCCTTCTACTATCTTCCTGAAGACTAAGGTACTAGTATCGTTTTTGTACAAATATTTTTCTTTCTTTGACCCAGCGCCTGTTCCAGCAACCAATGGCTGGACCCGGATGTTTATGTCAACAACACAGAGAGACGAATTTGAGGTACCCAATCTCGAGGACCTACGATTGGAGATACCAGGTATAGTTCATCTAAATAAACTGTTTCTGAAACAAGGCGTGAGATAAATAGAGAGAGAATACATATACATATGCACTTCATACATTCAACATTTTTATCTATTCAGAGGTGTACATGTGTTATCGAATCATCTTTCTTAACCTTGTCTCAAAGTTAATGATATAGTATCTGTTGAAACTTTATATAACTTTTTGATTGTTAAATAAGTACATATGTCAATGCAAATATTTATGTCAAGTTGATAATGCTACATGTATTTTGTGTTGGGGCTAAGATCTAAAATAAGATCTTATGATAACCCACACATGTCTGTTTGCTACATGTAACTCTTGTATCTTATTTACCAGGCGCAAAAGTAACATACATACACTGTACAAATGGAAGTGCTTGTATACAACTTAAAATTTTGCAAATCAACTTTTCGAATTTATAGATGACGTCAGCAGAGCTTGGGAGGACATAGCCGAAGAGAACGAAGAAATAAGAATAATTTTGATCGGAAAGAGAAATTCTGGGAAAACAGCCACAGCTAACACTATCCTTGGGAAGTCTGCGTTTAATAACACCTCGAATTCACATATTCAGAAATGTCGTTATGGAACTTGTGTGCGTTTTGATAGACGATTGGTTGTCGTTGATACACCAGATATCTGTAATCTCGATAATGAAGAGGAACTACTGAAAGCAATTGCTCTCTCATCCCCAGGTCCTCACGTGTTTATTTTTGTGCTGGGGATTGGAATCATTAATAATGATGATGAACATACATACTTGAAAATGATTCAAACATTTGGCAAAGAAGTTCCACATCACCTTATTATTTTATTTACAAGGAAGGATGATTTGATATACGAAGGGGTTACAATATTTGGATACGTCAATGAGGTTCCAGAGAAAATTCAAGAAGCACTGACAGCTTGTAATCGAAGGTACATTGCTTTTGATAACAACTGCACAGGAAGAGAGTCTGAGGTACAAGTTCGCAAACTCCTCGACATGATTGATAACATTCTGATTTTAAACCGAAATCACTTTTCCAACCACGTTTTTGTTCAAGTAGAAAAACAGCTTGAGAAAAGGTCCCATATCATTCGGGAAAAGTTTGAAGAGAGGTATAAAGAGAATGTTAGAAACATGGAAAATGATTTTGCAAAGACAAATGCGAATAATGTAAACGACAAAAACGTGGATGAACACAGTTTACTGACATTTCATCAAATGGACTCGGTTTATTTTGCTGAACGCAGAATGTCGTTTAGTAGCATGGAAACTTCTAAAGTACCACAAAAACGTCCTCATTCCTCAAGGAATCGAAAGTATCAGCAAGTGAAAAGAAAGTACAAACCTTCATTATACCGCAAGAAAACTGCTCGAACACCCTCACTGTCTCCAATAGAGTCCATTGATTGCGATTCAGAGAGTGAACTTATAGATTGTGGAAAAGTTAATATTCCCATTTCCCAGTATGAAATCAAATTGAAAGAACTTAAAGAAGATTTTGAAAGAGAAACAGAAAGAATCCAACTTCGTGAGAAAATTCGAATGGAACTGGAACACGATGTAGATGAAGTTTACAAGCTTCTTCGAAGAATAGTTGTCAAGTTATAATCTGGTTTATTAAAATAAATCACAATATAATAATGTTGGGGTAGTTAACTTACGAAAGCCTGTTGGGAACAAATAAATGGTGTAATAAAGCCTTGTTTAATAAAGTAACAACGCAAAAAATGTTATTACGTGAAAATAAAGGCGTTCAAACGCCGTCGCCAGAAAGGGAAAATGCATATATATATATATATATATATATATATATATATATATATATATATATATATATATATATATATATATATATATATATATATATTTATAACGGCATCCGAAATAAATTGGCATGCATGTTTTTAGCTGACCTAAGATTTGCTGATCTCATTTTGTCCGGAGTTCGTCCGTCTATCTGTAAACTTTTCACATTTTCAACTTCTCCAGATCCACTGGGCCAATATCATCCAAACTTACCACAAAGCATCCTTTAGTGAAGGGGATTCATTTTTTTCAATTCAAGGGCCACGTATATCTTTAGTCAGGGAAGATTATTTAGAAATAGTGAAAATTTGGAAGGACGTTTTTAAAATTTTCTTTTCAAGAAGCACTGGGCCATAAAAGTTTAAACTTATACAAAACTTTCTTTACGTAGTGAAGATTCCATTTTGATCAATCATAGACCCGAGGTTATGGTGGGGCCACAGTGGGTGATCAAAGTTTTGCATAGGAATATATAGAAAATATATTTTAAAATCTTCTTTTCAAGAACAGCAAAGCATGGGCCTGGGGAGTATAGTCGATACACAATGGGAGATCAAACTTTTACATGGGAATATATCGAAAAAAAATCTTTAAAATCTTTTTCTCATAGCCATGTTTTGTCATATTGATATAAAAGCAATCCCAGATAGTGAAGATTCAAGTGTGTGAAATCATGACCCCTTATGAGAAGAGAGGGATCAGAGTTTTATATAGGAATACATAGAAATAAATATCAGAAACAGAGAAGCCATGTTTAATAATATTCATATGGAAACATCCTGAGGTTGTATAGATTCAAGTTTGTTCAAATCAGCGAGGTGCCACAATGGGGATCAAAGTTTTAAAAAGGAACATATTGGTAAAAATCTTCTCAAGATTAGCTAAGCCATGGAATTGTGATTTTGAAATTGAAGATCAAAATTTTACATAGGAATATATAGCTAAAAATCCTCTCAGAAAAGCCACAGTTAGTTAAATTTATATGGAAGAATCCTAAGGTAGAGATGATTCAAGTTTTTTTTCAAATTACAAACCCTGGAGGGTAAGATGGAGGCCACTATGGAGGATCAAATGTTTACCTTTTAATGCTCTCATTTTTTAATTTTCGTTACACGTGAAGGAGCGGATCGAGGATCCTGTTTGAATCGGGTCGATATAATCGCCTAACGATTTATATGAAAAAAATGTTAGTCAGCATACAACATACTTTATGATGGAGTGTATTTGCTAACAATGCTATTGTATTGACCATATAACTTGCAAAATGATGCCTTCTGACGAGAATCTTGATTCATCATCTTGTTTGTGCTGGCCTCGTCAGGTGATAAGAGTGTATTGCTACATATGTAAGGGAATTTGAGTTAGTTGACAATTAAAAGGATAAATTCATCACGTTTATCATTACGATTTTTCCCCTAGTAAAATATACCAATATGCCACAGATGTGTCATACGTTATGGTTTCTTTTATATCGGGCTCACTGGGATATATCGAGTCGACATATGAATTGAGGTAGACATATCTATTGTAAATTGACAATATGTATGAAGAAAAAACGGCTGTTTGTAATTTTAAAAAGCTTAGATTTAGAATTCTAAAATAATCCTGGGGATGGTTGTATTCAAAGTAGAGAAGTCGTCGTTTTGATGTTTTATTTTTAATTTTGGTAAAGTTTTCTTGATTTCAATTTTTCTAAAAGGGGTTCTTAAGTATCTACATCTGATTTATATATCTCAGTTGATTCTCTACGCAAGAGCATGTTCTACGAATGAAAATTTCTAAAAGGAGGTAAATTATTGTCAAACAAGTTGACGAAACAAGAACATCAGCAGTCTCGTTTAAAGTCATCATTTCGTAAGTTCTATGGTCGATACAGTGACCTTGTCAGCAAATACATTCATTGAGTCAATTACTGACTGACGTGTTTCATACTTACTGTTAGTCTACTATTTATACTCTGAATTGACGACGAAGTTTTCGTTATTCCCCGATCATAACAAGGATCACACGGCGGGTGTGACCGGTCGGCAGGGGATGCTCACTCCTGCATGGCACCTGATCCCACCTCTGATGTTTTAGAGGTCCGTGTTTGCTCTGCTCCTATTTTGTATTTTTTATAGACTTTTGATTTTGGATACTGTTCGTTATCTCGATCCATGTGTTTCATCTCTATATCCTTCATTACACCACTTCTCGAATATAATTTTGTACATCACTCCTTAAGTTTTTCCTTCATTGCTTTAAATATTTAACTTAGGAGTAAAGGAAGGTTTGGATCATTTACTTATATCTGCTATGTTTCTTTGTTTGTAAGGATGTTTTTTTGAGCATTGGAATCCAGTAAAGGTTTGAAAATTCAAATGCATTTTGTTTGTTGGGGATATTTGATGAAATCAAAAAATGCAAAATTCATATACGTATATACGTTAAAGGGAAATGAAGACAGTTTCAGCTAAAAATGTCCAAATATATTTTCTTTTCTTTTTTTATTTAACTAAGGAATTTCTATTGGTCATCAAAAATTTGAATATAAGTTGTCGAGATATAAAACAGATTTAGAACTCCAAACCTTTGTTATATAAAGAGGGCTTGTGCCATGTTTTTGTTTACATTGGTTAAATATACTAATATTTGTCGGTTGAAAGCAGATTTTTCTCAATAAAGAAGTTAATTCTAAATACGATTAAACCATCTCCAATGATTTGATAAAACTTTTTTGTAATAAATATGATATTTTCTATATATGTAAACAAAAACAAGGCACGAGCCTTGTTTACCTTATGAAGAATTTTAAAGTTTTGTATCTCCTTTGTAAATCAACAAATAATGTTCAAATGTTTGCTAATCATTAGAAATGCCTTAGTAAGGAATTGTAAACATTAAAATTGGTTTTATAAAATCTGTTGAAACTGTGTCAATGTCCCTTTGAAATTAAAGTTCTTAACATTAAGTTTTATCAGCACTGTTTGAACAATCATATTGGAGAATTTTATAAGCAGTCTTCATAGCGAAGTTGCTTATTGAATTAGCAACAAACACTCATTCCAAAGCCTGTTTTGTGAATACGTTTTTCTACTTAAAGAAGTTAATACTTCAAAATTCTAGGAAAAAAAGTCAGAATACGGATTGTTTTTATCAGACAGCTTTATTGTTAGAATATTTTTAACGTCTTTTTCTAGCAAAATATCCATATGCATGTATAAAAATACGTAAATGATATTAAAATTTAAAGACGCCAATTTTATGGCATAGGATTTCATTTGACAAAGCCAGTCTGATCAAAGAGTGTAATCATAACATTTCTAGTGGTAATTTTAACAAGAGGCCCAGGGGCCACAGCGCTCACCCGAGCACATCGGGCTTGAATTTACTGCCCCCCCCCCTTCAAGGCGTTCATCATTTGAACAAACTAGAATCTACACTACCTGAGGATGATTCCATATAAATACCCCAGGTATCACTAATCATAGCTTTGAAGTACTTGAAAAGAAGATTTTAAAAGGTTTCCCTATATATCCCTAAGTAAAACTTGGGTCGGCCATTTTGGCCCCACCCTATCCCCAGGGCCGGGGGTTATGATTTGAAAAAACTTGAACTAAACACTACACTACCTGAGGATGGCTTCCCTATCAGTTTCATCTTTCCTGGCCAAGTGGTAATTAAGAAGGATTTTTAAAGATATTTCCTATATATTCCTATGTAAAACTTGGGTCGGCCATTTTGGCCCCATCCTTGCCCCGGGGGTCATGATTTGAACAAACTTGAATCTACACTACCTGAGGATGATTCCACATGAGTTTCATCTTTCCTGACCCAGTGGTTCTGGAGAAGAAGATTTTTAAAGATTTTTCCTATATATTCCTACGTAAAATGTGGGTCGGCCATTTTGGCCCCACCCTTGCCCTGGGGTCATGATTTGAACAAACTTGAATCTACACTACCTGAGGATGATTCCACATGAGTTTCATCTTTCCTGGCCCAGTGGTTCTGGAGAAGAAGATTTTTAAAGATTTTTCTTATATATTCCTATGAAAAACTTAGGTCGGCCATTTTGGCCCCACCCTTTCCCCTGGGGTCATGATTTGAACAAACTTGAATCTACACTACCTGAGGATGATTCCACATGAGTTTCATCTTTCCTGTCCTAGTGGTTCTGGAGAAGAAGATTTTTAAAGATTTTTCCTATATATTCCTATGTAAATCTTGGGTCGGCCATTTTGGCCCCACCCTTGCCCCGGGGGTCATGATTTGAACAAACTTGAATCTACACTACCTGAGGATGATTCCACATGAGTTTCATCTTTCCTAGCCCAGTGGTTCTGGAGAAGAAGATTTTTAAAGATATTTCCTATATATTCCTATGTAAAACATGGGTCGGCCATTTTGGCCCCATCCTTGCCCCGGGGGGTCATGATTTGAACAAACTTGAATCTACTCTACCTGAGGATGATTCCACCTGAGTTTCATCTTTCCTAGCTTAGTGGTTCTGGAGAAGAAGATTTTTAAAGATTTTTCCTATATATTCCTATGTAAATCTTGGGTCGGCCATTTTGGCCCCACCCTTGCCCCGGGGGTCATGATTTGAACAAACTTTAATCTACACTACCTGAGGATGCTTCCACATGAGTTTCATCTTTCCTGGCCCAGCGGTTCTAGAGAAGAAGATTTTTTAAAAATGCCATTAATTTTTAACAAATTCATGATTATCTCCCCTTGGAAAAGGGCGTGGCCCTTCATTTGAACAAACTTGAATCCCCTTCACCCAAGGATACTTTGTGCTAAGTTTGGTTAAAATTGGCCCAGCGGTTCTTGAGAAGAAGATGAAAATGTGAAAAGTTTACAGACAGACAGACAGACGGACAGCTAGACAGACGGACAGACAGACGGACGCCGGACAAAATGTGATCAGAAAAGCTCACTTGAGCTTTCAGCTCAGGTGAGCTAAAAACTATATAAGAGACAAGATACTCACTAATAAAGATTACAATTTTGACTTACTCATAGAGTATCGATTCTACTTATTTTAGTCTTGTATTGTATACAAGTTTGGGCCTGGTTAAAGCTGAACAAATTCGAATATTTGCATTATATAAAATTAAAATTTAATATAAAAGAAAGAGAACAAAATATACAGTTAAAGTAAAGTAAATAGAAGTGGTATAGTTCATGTTATCTCTAACTTAAGCAAGGTATGGCTGTTGTAAATTTCAATAGATCCATAACGCGGACGTACTTTAGAAAACTTATTTTTGTATTTATAAGAAGCAAAGTTTGTCTAAATCCCATATGGCCTACATGGGAAAAAACCGCTAGCTGTGGTCTTCACCTCGACATTTAGATATATTGACGAGGTAATTGTCAATTGTTTAACAATGGTTATTTCCATTATTTTGTCGATACGATTTATCCCCATGAGCTTGAAATAAAAGAATACTACAGAGTATGACACAAATCTGCTTCATATCTGGATATTTTACTTGAAAAAGACATTAATGGTAATCTAACAACCAAGCTTTATGATAAACGTGATGAATATTTTTTTTCAATCGTCAACTTCCCTTACTTATATGTGCAGCAACAGGCAGGTAGCATCGTTTTTGAAAGTGGGGGGGGGGGGGCAGTCAAAGAATTTTTTTTACTGACCTGGAAGAGGCCAGCTTTTTCCAGGTGCCGACTTCAATTATTCAGCATACAAAACTATATTTTCCTTATATTACTTAACCATAGTTAAAACGGGGGGGGGGGGGGCACTCCGCCTTTCAATGAACATTTTTAATAGTAAAAGTAATGTTGAGGGAAAAAACGGGAGGATTCGATACACAAGACCATGCTTTACATATGAACAATTTAAAAAACGAGGTAAGTAATTGACAAACAAACAAGTTGATGAAACAATTTCTACATTCACAAATTTATTTGTTCAAATTAATGCAATTATTTTAAGAGCACGTATAAACTGATGCAAAAGACATAAAATGTATAACACTTACGGGAAAAATATGTTTAAAAAAATATGTAGAATTTAAATTGTTATTAAAAAAAACAAAATGCTTGTCATATACTGATGATACGTATAATATATTTATATACTTTTCTTTTCTTCTCTATAGAAGCAATATAACTACTCTGATTATGAACATAAAAAATATTAATTGTGATGTGTGTTATAATTTATATCCAATATGTTGTATATTGCATATGCTTTTAATAAAAGAAAAAATGTTGCTGAAACAAGAATACCAACATTCTCGTTTAAAGTCATTAATTCGTAGGTCCTATGGTCAATACATTTATCTTATCAGAATTACAATTTATCATTGATTTGAATACTGATTGACGCTTTTCATACTACATGTATTTGTAAGGCTCTTATTTACACCCTGAATTGTCGACGGATTTTTTCCCGTTCTTTCCCGATCATGACAAGGAGCATATGGCGGGTGTGACCAGTCGGCATGCAGGGGATGCTCACTCCTCTCTGATGTTTTGGGGGTCTGTGTTTGCTCTGTTCCAAATTTATACTATTAAATATGAACTTCTGAACTTGAATACTGTTTGTTATCTCAATGTATACATTGTAATATTTTACAAATGAAGATAACTAATTGACGTAATAATATGGTTCAATATCAAATGATTTTAAAAACTAAGCGCCCTCATGACATGCATCTTCTTCGTTATGCCTATATGGGGAATTGTATAGATCGCAATTCGAGAAAGCAAAAAAGTTATTATTATTGTGTCGGATCACCCGATGCTTCAAAATAGTTCTTTTAAAACATGCACTGCATATGTAAGAGTTTTCGATCTCTTCAATCCTTAACATAAATTATGGATGTAGTGCACAAATTTATCTAATCCTCTAAATTGACATCAAATACATGTGCATTGTAATATTTATTTTGTGTGCTAAAACGCAGACATTTAGGTGCCTCGCCGAGTAACAAGCATGTCACAGTAGCTTCTGTATGCATGTTAGTACTAGGATTAATACTAGAAGACGGATGATGATAGCATGTATTCACGCATTCCTTAGATCTCCGAGTTCCTTGCTTACGCGTCATTACCACCCATAAAAATTTGGATCGTTCTATATCTTTATTAATGTGGTCTTATTTGATTTGGAAGAGAGAAATACCTTGATCCGCCAAGTCGTTTTTTTCCTCCTTAATCATTAAGAAAATGTAGCCAGAGATATTTTAAGCTCAGTTTGTATTATATCCATTAACGCCAATACTATCGATCTAAACATTTAAACAAACTACATCTGGCTTAATGTTTTATACACGTGACAGACACCCTTAAATTCTCTCGAGGCACGTGCAGAGATCGAGCTGCACCGAACGCTTTCCCACCGGCTTTTTTCCTCCTCCATACCTGTCATAACTTGTCGTCAACAACAGCATCTTAAAGTGATTCACGGCCTTGTAAGAGCTGCAGGGTTTGTGAGGAATCAGGAAGCATTCCTTGTTTTTCACGGAAGTCTAGCCTATCTGTTTGCCATGGCCGAGGATCTTCCAGGCTCGCTTTCGGGGCCTTCTAAACGCCCGGGATGTACCGTTGTGATCGCTATGGATGGAAGTTTATATTCCCAACATGCATTTGAATGTAAGTTAAAAGTTTGGGGTCAAAGAAATTACGCAGTTTATATATAAGCTGCCATGCATTTCATTCAAACGTGCACGTTTTAAGTCGTAGTTTGTTCATTGTTTACTATTGACACGTTCATTGACATGACCTGATTTAGCCTTTTAAATATTATGGTGCTCTATGAGTGACAAAATTAAGGCATTTCGTTTCAAATGAAAGTACTCTGTAACCCATTTATTGTGTTTTTTCTGGAATTTGCGTAATAATATGCGTTTTCTATTTTTAATCTTTTAGGGTATGTTGAAAACATGTACAAAAAATAGCGGACTAACTTTAATGTAATAAAACGACAACAAATTCACTTAAAATCATCATTTTCATGAAAGTGCGACAAAGTTGTATTAGTTCACTGTCCAGATATTTTACACACACCGTCCAGAATTTTTCTGGCACATAAATTAAAATACAATGTACCAAAATCCTAAAAAAAAAAAAAAAAAAAAAGCCTGGAAAAACAAGTCTCGGCGACGTCAAATCCCACATATACAGGCCAAATAGAAAATATTTCAATAAATCTAAAAAAAAAATCTGCATTTGCCATCTTTTCATTTACACATCAACTCACGTAAGTAAGCCCGGCTGAGCACTTGTTTGTACACTATCTACTAAGTATTTTACAAATTTTACTTTGATCACCATTGGATGACTTTTTCCACCACTATATGTTAGCAGGGTTAGAATCTCTCAGAGACACAAATACCACTCTCTCTGGCACTCTAGAAAGATACTTTTTTCATCATAGTGAAAGTTTAAGTTGAAGTACATGACTGTATGTTTCAACTTACAGAAAAGACTCACATAAGAAACCACGTAAGTAAGATGGGACATAAAGCATGCATTAAAGCATTGCATTTACCCCTCTATGGTCTTAAGAATGCCGCAGTTAAAATGATTTTCAAAACAAACATCAGTGGATGTTTACTACTTTCTGCATGGCCGTAGGAACCGGCCCATATGATTTTGCCGATATATATATACTTCTATAGAAAACGTAGCTACTACATGCTGATCTCTTTTTATTTGCTTGTCAAGGAATTTTTGATAGTTGATAGTGTCAACCCCCTCCCCCCGGGAAAATATATGACTGCCCCCCCCCCCCCCCCTGAAATTGCCTCCTTCTGACCTGTTCTGCATCATGCTTAATTACAGACTGCTGATGAACTCTTAATATCATAGTTAGCTATTAATATTTTTCTTTTAATTTACAAAAAAATATAGAAATGTGATAACAAGGTTAATAAAGGATTTCTAAGAGCTGTCAAGTTCATTTCTTTGTATTCAGTGTCTCTATAAATATAGGGTTTCCCGAAACAACATTACGGAGGAACTCTACAGATACGTCATTGTCTGGTTAAAGAAACGTGAAGCTTAGACCACACAAAATTGATTTTCATGAAAGAAAACCCATAGCTCGCCATTGTATGCAATAAATTACATTTAGAACGTCTTTATCATAGCTAGCTTGCACGTCTATTGAAATACCGTAAATGCCGAGCTTGACATATTGAGATCCTAGTAGATTTTGTAGTGAGTCACTGCTGCTTTCAAACTGAATTACAGGATCAGATTGTCATTGAAAACCCAATTTACTAGGAATTTTTGAATACGCAGGTGGCATAAATGAAGTACAGCATAACACCCTTAAAGCGAACATGCTTTTAATGACTTGATGCTTACAGTGAAGAGATTTTCATTCCTCTGACTATGCATTGTACGCTTAGAGGGTAGAGAGTATATCTTAATTATCTTTATATTATAACAAAGCAAAAATGTCTATCCCTAGCACTTTGGCATAAGAATATCTTACAGTAATTAGCTTATGAATTTCATAATAAATTGGCATGCTACATGTATTCATAAAAAATGATCTTTTTTTGGAACGCATACGTCATGGACATTTCAGTATAACCCGGACAAAATTCTAATATTGGAAAGTAGGTTTTTTCCCCTTCTCGAAAGCTCTAGACCTTGTAGGTACATGACTTTAATTCTTGGAATAAGATTGTCTTGGAAATGCTGATGATAAATCATTTCTTATCACGTAACTTTGCTTTCTAAGTCGGATTTGTTTGAATAATAGATGAAGTACGCTGTAGTATTATCTTTGCATTCAGTCCACAACCCTTTATCATTATAGTCAGGTTGTCTTTTTTTCCCAAACACATGCAATGACAATAACGCCATAAACGAGCTATTAGAAAGATATAATTATAAGATTTTCAACGTCTCTCAAGATGTAGCCGAATTATAATCTTGTGAATATTATTGAAATTAAAGTTTTATTTATATTTTAAGTTCATCAGTTTTCATATCTTTCCTATGAGACATGTTTTTATATCAGTTACAGAAGCATTATTTTTTATAATAGACTTGAAAATTAAAATAACTTTAAAATTGTTACATGCGCTAGAGACTTAATGTCAAGGTATTTGTGTTTTTGGATGCTTCGACGATAAGGAAAAACGACACGGCTTCAAGACTTTAATACACAATTTTAGTTGATTTTTTTTTTGATAGTGGGATATAGTCATAGTAAGCAGAAAAAAAGATGACGACACGTTCCTCCTCTTATGCAGGAAAGCAATCTTAGTTGTACTCAAATAGCAGAACAGTTGAATTTAAAAAAAGATGATCGAAAAGTTTTGTAAGCAGATCTGAGAACCATATTAAATGGTTTTCTATTGAACAAAGCAGCATTACATATGTAGCTAGTGCAGGAATAACAACAGTGACGGTCAAAAGAGTAAATACACATACATGTATGCGACGAGAAAAACATTCTGCTCATATAAAAACTTTTAGTAACTCTTGCTTTTGGTTGGTATTTTTGAGACATGTTAAAGCAAATATAAACATACACGAACATGAAATATGGATAAATAAAAATTTCCGAGGCCCTGATCCAGATAGGATACTAGTATACTGACAGACAGACGAACTGCTAAAAAGTGATCATAACAAAGCCACTTTATGTTTTTAATGTGAGGCATAATTAAGTAAAACAATTTCCAGAACCAGCGCAAGAAGATGAGTTTTTAGCTCACCTCAACGAAGTTGGGGGAGCTTATGTAATACCCTCGATGTCGGTGTCGGTGTCGGCGTCGGCGTCCCGGGTTAAGTTTTTTGGAGCAGTTTTCTTTTTAAGTACTTCTGTGTCCTATATTGATTAGACATGCATGGAAGATGTTTCTTGTGTGTTTCATTGTACCAGTCAAAGTTTCAGATGCTGCAATTTCAGCAAAGGAATGACCAGGTTAATGTTTTTGAAGCAGGGTAACATTTTTGGTGCAGTTTTTGGTGTAGGTCTCATTTCCGACGAGTAACTAAAAGCCCTATGTTGACCAAACTTGCATGGATGGTACATCTTAGGATGCACACTAGGCTTTCTTCGGATGCTGAATCTGACCTACATTTTCCGGTTGAGTGAACAGGTTTATGTTTCGGTGCAGGTCTCATTTCCAAGTAACTATGAGCACTAAGTGACACTTGCATAAATGATACATCCTAGGATGCATACTACCAGACTTGCTTCGGATGCTGAATCTGACCTACATTTTCCGGTTGAATGAACAGGTTTATGTTTCGATGCAGGTCTCATTTCCAAGTAACTATGAGCACTATAGTGACATTTGCATGAATGATACATCTTAGGATGCATACTACCAGACTTGCTTCGGATGCTGAATCTGACCTACATTTTCCGGTTGAATGAACAGGTTAAAGAATTTGGTGCCGGTTTCATTTCCAAGTTACTATGAGCCCTATAATGACCAAACTTGCATGGATGGTACATCTTAGGATGCATACTACCAGACTTGCTTTGGATGCTGAATCTGACCTACATTTTCCAGTTGAGTGAACAGGTTAAAGTATTTGGTGCAGGTTTCATTTCCAAGTTACTATGAGCCCTAATGACCAAACTTGCATGGATGGTACATCTTAGGATGCATACTACCAGACTTGCTTTGGATGCTGAATCTGACCTACATTTTCCGGTTGAGTGAACAGGTTAATGTATTTGGTGCAGGTTTCATTTCCAAGTTACTATGAGCCCTATAATGACCAAACTTGCATGGATGGTACATCTTAGGATGCATACTACCAGACTTGCTTTGGATTCTGAATCATACTACCAGACTTGCTTTGGATTCTGAATCTGACCTACATTTTCCGGTTGAGTGAACAGGTTAAAGTTTTTGGTGCAGGTTTCATTTCCAAGTTACTATGAGCCCTATATTGACCAAACTTGCATGGATGATCTTAGGGTGCATACTACCAGACTTGCTTCAGATGCTGAATCTGACCTACATTTTCTGGACGAGTGTACAGGTTCAAGTTTTTGGTGCAGGATTCATTTCCAAGTAACTTTGAGCCCTATAATGACCAAACTTGCATCTAAGGGTGCATTCTACTAGGCTGGCTTCGGATGCTGAATCTGACCTACATTTTCTGGATTAGTGGAAAGGTTAGTTTTTTTATACAGGTTTCATTTCCAAGTAACTTTGAGCTCTATGTTGAGCAAACTTGCATGGATGATACATCTTAGGATGCACACTAATGGACTTGCTTCAGATGCTGAATTTGACACACATTTTCCAGATAATGGACCTCGTAAAAGTTATGGGTGCAGGTCTATTACCAAGAAACTTGAAGACTTATGTAAACCAAACTTGCACAAATGATGCATAAAGGGATAAAACTCTCAAACTTGCTTCAGATGCTGGATTTTAATTACGTTTTCATGGTGAAGTACTAGTTTGAAGTTTTTATATAGGTCTATTCCAAACTATCAAATCAAAATTGCATAAATTTGGCATTTTTTGGATGTACAATTTTTGTTGGTTAATTGTGTGACTTTGCCTTACTTAAAGACAACATTCGTTGAGGTGAGCTCTGTAATCTCTGATTGCCTATGTTTTTTTTTAAAAAGTGATAAACTAATAACAGCTTATCGATGAGGACATGTATCTCTTCTTATACAGGAAAGTCATCTTAGTTGTTCTCAAATAGCAGCATAATTAAATTTAAAAAAAATTTAATCGATAGGTTTTGTAAGAAGATCTAGATCTACAACCAGAAATGGTTTTTTCTCTTGAACAAAGTGGCATTAGCTAGTACAGGAATAATAGCATCGCAAAAAGTAAATGTGACGAGAAAACATCCTGCCCATAAAGTAACTTTCGCCTTTGATTGTGATTTGTGAGTAATGTTAAAATATAAACAGCAACAGGAAATATGGATGAATAAAATGAAGCCATGATCCAGATAGGATTTTTGACTAACAGATCTATATAGCTAAAAAGTGATCATAACAAAGCTAGTTTGTGTTTCTGATGGGAGGGCATATACATCTACAAACACGTACATCATGTTAACGAAGTTGGATCCTGATATTTAAAGTCTTGAACTTTTTTTGCCAAGTATATTTTTAGTTTCTACATACACGGGGGTCGACACGCTTCTTTTGGCGCTACAGTACATTTAATATGGCATTTTTGCACTGAAATTTGTGTCTTAATTAAAAATTATATTTTTGACGTTTTCCCTCCAATATTTTTATTCAATAAAAGCATGAAACAAAATGAACTCTACGTTTGTTTAAAAAAAAGACACTTAAAAATTGTGACTAAGAAAAAGTTTTAAATAGCTTCGCATAATCAATTATTTGACCTTTCTGCACTAATAAAAAGTGATTTTTCTGGCATTGAAAATTTAACTAGTGCTAATTGTAACGGGGACCGTTACAGATGTTCCCCAAACGCTCCCCAACTCCCTTTTGGTGCCATATTCCCTGTTATCTCTATTAGATAAGAAATACTTTATGGAATTTAGACTTAATCAAGGTCTTCCAAGAAAAATACAAAATATATTTTAAAAAATAGGCATTGCACGCGTGTTCATGTGCATAACGACCATCTTATCTTGTCTACACTATCTAAAATTTTAATAATATCAAAGCATTTAATCCAAAAGTATTAAAAAATGCACTCATTCGAGTGTATTTTTTATTTTACTCATTTCACGTGCACGCACGTGCATAATGACTACACCTTCTTGTAGGAGTCCCTTATATTTATCCAAGTTCTAAATCCCATCCTGTTTGGTTGAAAAACAAGAGAGTTATAGCCATTTGAAGTTTCAGCCAATCAGATTGCAGCACACGTGAATGCGCGTGATTTCATGAATATTTTCTATATCATATTTTAGGATATCGTAATGCATGACTATGTTTTAAATTTCAAAGCATTTCGTCAAAAAACAAAGGAGATATAGCCATTTAAAGTTTTAGCCAATCAGATTACAGCACGCGCGCATGCGCATGCTTTTATTAAAATTTTGATATATCATGCTCTAGATCTTCATAATGTAGGACCATGTTCAAAATTTCAAAAGATTATGACAAGAAACAAGAAAGATATTGAGACTTTAGTTTCAGCCAATCAGAGCGAAGCGCACGTGCATGCGCGTGAGATCTTGCTATTTTGACCATGCCATCTTGTCTATACTACTAATGTATCCTTACATTATGAGTTTCAAAGCATTTTATCACAAAATAGAAAAGTTCCGACTATATCTATTATATTGGTTATTTCAAGTGTTGCACGTGCGCGCTCTTGCAAGCACGTGCGCGCAAAATGACCTTGATTCCGCAAATCTGCATAACATGTCTACTTACCCTAAAAAGGTTTTACCTACCTCGGACGAACAGTTTACAAGATCATTCCCGGACAAAAAAGTACCCAGGAAGAAGAAGAAAAATAATAATAATAATAATAATAATAATAATAAGAAACAGAGTAAAAACAATATGTTCCCCAACTTCGTTTGGGGAACATAATAAGCAGGAAAATTATTTCAAAGTCTTAAACTTTTTCTGATTTTAAGCAAATAGGCCAAATTTATCTTGAATATTTAGAAAAGAACATCAAAAGCGGGGGTATGATGTAAATTTTCAGATATTACTAAAAAAAGTGTCAATTTTACGTTAAAATTGGCTCAATTTTTTCCCGGATTTTCAGAATATATTTACTATATATGTCACACTTTGTTGATAGAATTCATAAGAAATAATTTAATAGATATTTCAGAACCAGCATAACAAATTTAACTGCAAAAAAAACAAACAGCTTTTTGTGCAACCAGGAAGGAAAAATAGGAATCCAAAATTAACAGTACTGTTATAGTTCAAAATGGAAAAACTGATCATTTTCGTCTAAAAAATCTTCCGCCACAAAATATAGTCCCTATCTTAATTCTAGTTGAATGGAATTTAATCGATGTTTTTCACTGAATATAGTTAAATTTGTACTGTAGAAGTCAAATTTAATGTTAGAACTTAAAAATGGTGCATAATTTTATAAATAAAGGACCTGACCAAATTACGCTCAAAATCTCAGGATCGAACGTCCTTAAACAACAACATATACAAAATCTTTAGGAAACGCACTATCAGTTGAATATATCTTTGCAAAGTGACACCCTGTAAATTCATTATGAAGAATTTTCCTGTAAAATCTATAGTAGAGGCTTTCCAGAGCCAATTGTTTAGCGCTATACTTGATTCATACAAAAATCGTTTGGAATATTTACTGAATGTTTAAGAATAGTAATATTATCGAGGAGCTTTCTGCCTTTTAACTCGAATAACTGCGTGTTTGTGTCAAATGTTAGGGTGAATTGTATTGTTAAGTAGAATATACTTGTCATAGTTATTTAGAGATAGAAGTGAAGGAAGATGATGCTATCACTTTTTCCTTGACAGCGCAGAGGAAGTCGACTATTTTTGTATATATATTTATGAGTAGTCTCATCAAGTGTTACGTGGATGTACCAACTTTTCTATAACATACAACACGATGAAAAGTTCATTACTGATTACTATTCTTCTAAAACAAAATGAAAACAAATTGACACATTCTTGTCATCGTATGTCATCTGTGATGTTCGTCGTGTCATCCTTTGTCAGCTTTGATGTTCTTTGTAACGATGATGATGTCCACTCTTGTTAAGTCTTGTATGAGGGTATATAACTACATGTTGTATGGTACAGGAGCTGTCGTTCAGGATTGGTTTAGTATGGGTCAGGAATGGGTCATCATTGCAGCAATCAAAAGGGAAACATACATGTTTTAGATTGGAGCATATATTTTGATCTAAGGAACATGAGTGTAGAAAAAGAATTGTGATCCATACATTTGTACATTGTCATTAGATGTGTTATGTCTTTAAAAAGCACAAGTGTGACAGCAAATACTATACTTCCTTTCACTGAAAACTGATTTGCTAACTATATTGACGACTGGAGGTATCATAATTGCACAGACAGGAATACTTAGTATGAATTGATTATTGTGAAGTATAATCGGAGGTATATCAAAGAATACGTAACAAAATGTTGGAACTAACCTCTATTGAATCATAAGCAAAACTATGCAGAACATATGTTTATTGTTTACATGTAAAAGAAGATTCCATGTTTTATTCGGCCGCTCAGAATCTCTTATAGCTTGTAGAATATTGAGTATAAATTTCATTTCATTCTTTAGTGTCCTTGATACATGTACCGGTAGCTCTTACCCTTTGCAGGGTTAAAAAAGGCGATATGTAAATGTACCAAAAAATACAAAAACATCAAAGAATTTCAGTGTAATTTGTTAATGGCATAAAAGTATTTTCGAAATGATTTTTTTCAAAAATAATAAATATAACATGTATAACAATTTATGTTTAGCATACTTGACCACAGACCCTTCTAAGGCCTCGGAGTTGGCAAATGAAGAGGAGAGAAAAATCAAAGAAATGTTTGCTGATTGGAAAGATCAAATTAAACAAGCAGGGGTAAAAAACACTTACAAATTAATATGATAGTAATGAACAAATACACATTATAATATAAATATTGTACATATGTATATACATTTAGCTGAGGGCAACGTTGAAAATTTTCACCCCATGAAAGGGTCTGATAATGTTTTTTTAGGGATGAAAAATTTTATAGTTGTACTCAGCTACTAAATATATGTAGTACTTATCAAATATATTTTTAATGATTGCATAAAATTTATAGGTGTTGTTTATTAGGTGCTAAACTTTTATAGTTTCTTTTCTCTATTCAAGATTGATGGATGTGTAGTTAGAACATCCGGGGAACCTGGACGAGCTATCATCAAAATTGCGCGTGGAGAAGGCGCTGATTTTATCGTAATGGGATCACGTGGTCTTGGTACGCTACGCAAAACGTTTATGGGAAGCGTTAGTGATTACATCGTGCACCATGCGCATATACCAGTGACTGTTGTTCGAAATCGTGATGAAGATAATCAATGATAAAAATTTAACTTGTCTGCAAGTTATGTTTGAGCTCTATTTATTTTCGATATTTTTTCTTTCATTAAATTTTGTACATACCATATTGTTTAATTTAATAATGATTAACAAACTAACGTTCGATGAACATGTTGAAGATATCTTAAGTGGGAGGGGGCTACAAGCATAAAAGAATGAGTAAAGATAAGACCTTTGCTACGGTTTGTAGCAAAATTATAAGACATAAAGTTTAAAGAAACAAGCTGATTAAACAAAATTGGAGTATGAATGTAGAATACTAGCTTGGCTTAGACGCTTAAATGTGAGCAATATTTAGGGCTAACTAACAAATGCTAAAGAAAAAATTATAGACAATGTTTGAAAATGTTACAAATTTCCTAGGTGACGTGATATATGAAATATGGAAATAACAGCAGATATCATTTAATCTCGGAAGTTTATCGAAACAATACAATTCGGAAGCAAAGCAAACACAGACGTCTAAAAAAACATCAGAGGTGGAATCAGGTGCAAGGGGGATGAAGCAATCCAGTATTGAAAAAGAAGTCGATCAGAGTTTGACTTAAGGTAGGATTCTTCTCATATTTCTAATAATTAAAAATTAATGAAACTTTCACAGAATATGGAAGACAATATCAATAAGTGATAGTATCAGTGAAATTAAATTTGACCGTTTTATATTAGAGGCAAGGTCAGGTCAAGGTCATTATCTTTTTCCTTGACATTAAGAATAAGAAATACCTGTTGCCAATCATGTGATACCTACTTCTATTTCAAAAGTTAAATGATTGTTCTTTTTGCATAAAAACATATCACTATATCGGGACTATAGCATGATATTACCAAATTTACATAAATAATTTAACTTAACTGGATATTGGCTAATCCGAATTTTCTCTGTTTTTCTTATTTTTTTAGGATATATTAGTTATTTTCATATGCTTCCTATATTTAACTTTTTCTTATTTTCACATATAATAAAGTAGTCTTATAAATATACAAAATGATACAAAAACAAAAAATTTTGATCGTTTGCTTAGAGAGAAAAAATACTTTTTATGGATTTTTGGCTCAAATCTGCACTTTGATAGGAAGCATTTAAAAGCTAATAAAGCTCTAGTTTGATTGAGAAATCATATTTATTTGATATATTTTGAAAGTTTAGTCCCTCATTATTAATCTAACTTACATTTGATAATTTCTCCAAGTCTTCGACTGTGTAAAAATTATAACTAAATTCATTGTTCTATTATAATTTTGAGAGGCAGAAAAGATGATATTTTCATACGCCACCATTCCGCCAAAAATATAGTCCCTGCTAGTTTTCAAATGCAGTTTACCATTTCTATTTAAAGTTGTACAATTGTGATGAGGAAAGAAAAATATGGTCTTTTAAATTCCTTACACCTCAATATAAAAGACATATAAGCAAATATACTTTGAATGTTTCATCTAGTCAGAAACCAGAGAAGAATCCTACCTTAATGTAAGATTGTATTCGCTGACAAATTTATTATGGGTCATACAACTTGCTAGCTGCTGACTTTAAACAAGACTGCTTATATCTTTTCTTCAACTTATTTGTCAATATCTTGCCTCATTTTAGAAATTGTTCTTAAATTGCATGTACAAAAATGGTTCTCTTGCGTATCGAATCAGAGGGACAAACCCTGTGAGCAGACAAAATGGGTAGGTGGCGGGAAAAAATGGTGAAATCACGTTTATCATAAAGTCTCTTTGCAAGGTTACCATTAACGCCTTTCTAATAAAATATCCAAATATGAAACATGATCTGTTAATTAATGTTGTATCTTTCATTTTAAGCTCTCTGGTATATATATCGTCAATTGAAGTAACTATTGTTAAGTGATAATAAATCGCCGATATATCTAAATCTCGAGCAGTAGACAACAGCAGTGAAGTATTTTCTTCTTTTTTAAAATAGGAGTACAAAAAGGCCTCATTCAAAAGACGAAGGATTTTCACGTGTAGAACAGGGTGCTTTATGCTATGAATACCATATAAGAGGGTTGTTCGAAAAGTTCGTGGACTTATGTCATATCTTTTTTATTTCACGTCATATGTTAGCCAAATTTGGTTGAAATATTTTAACAATAAATCCAAATAATTCGTTTTTTTTTTTTTAAATATCACGATTTATTCAAAACTTATCCAGATCTTAAAAACGCAAAAATCGGATCAAAGAAATACGCACGCTAACTCGAGATTCCCGCCTACATTTTGGAACCATTTAATTCAAAATGAATAGCAATTTGGCCGTAAAATCTTTGTTTAATACAAAGAACAGTTCAATGGTAATTGATGAATTGTCTTAATACCAGCGCTAAACAGTAAATTATCCATAATTCCAGCTCTTGAAAAGAGGGGGGTAGACGATATTTTCCATTGAAATCGGAGTTTCAGGCATCACCATATTCTGAAATAGTCTTGGATATGATTAAATGTTCCTTATATCTTTTCTTCTGTCTTAGGCAAATAAATAAAACATGAATACCGTGGTATATCAATAAAATATTATGTTTCAGTTGTAAATCGCTTTGAAATTGGTGGAAAATAAACATTTTTATCGTTTTTTTTTTTGTCAATAAACGTATGTTCCCCCCTGTGTCACACAAAAAGCTTTGGTATGAATTTGTGAAATAACATTCCATATTACCTGTAAAAAGGAATTTTTGTGACACGGGGGGAAAGATGTTTTAAAAATATTTTCCGTTTTCCGTTGATTTCTATAGTGAAAAACACAAGTTTTACCAAAATTTTAGAGTTATCTCTCTTTGTTTTCCCAAATAAGTAACCATATAATTATCTATAAAAAATATTAAAAATTCATCAAATATGTTAACCTTTGAAAATTGACTCGGAGGTAGGCGGGAGAACAATACTATCGTTCGCAGTTCTTCAGTAAGTTACAAACAATTCACCCAATAGTATCTTGGGTCAAATTCTCTATAAAATAGAACAAAACGAAAAACAAACTAGAAATTCAAATTAGGATTTGTTACATCGATTCGTATTCCAAATTATGACTTAATATTTTGCTTTGTTGAAAAGAAATTGAAAACGACAGAAACGATGACGTTTTAGAACGTCACGGAGCGGCATATAACAACGCAATTTTGTGTTTTACTCAGGAAAAATCCTGAATAAACTCTAAAAATGTTGGAGGAATCAAAAAAATATGTCACAAGCGAATTGTGCATGTGTGTACAAATGGTACAGGCAGTATTTGAATGACACTCTGAGACTCTGTGTCGGGTGAAGACAATCTGTAAAGGAACTGTTTTACTGTAAAACTCTGAACAAAATCTTTGAAAAGTTGGAACGTCAAGGAAAGGCCTAGGCGCTTCAGATTTGCTTATCCTTTTAAAGCAGATTTAAGCAATAAAGGAAATGAAAGCCTAACAAAAATTAAAGGAAATTATACAATGAGAGCAATTCTTAAATGTCAAGTATTAGAAAAAGGATTTAACGAGTGGGCATTGGATTACTAAAGTAAACTGTGTGAAATGTATTGAGATAGTATTTTTTTATTTTATTATTTTTTTTTTTTTTTAGAAATTCTTGACGCTATGTTTTGACTTACGTTGTCGTTAGGTATGCTCCGCGGGTACAAATCATCTTGATTTTCAAATGAAGTACAAGTGTAAATTGATTTCTATTAAATCGAATGGAATGAAACTTCACACATCAACAAAACAATTTTTTTGTGCTTATTTTAAATTTCTAGTGCGTAATATAACGGAGATTGTCATCTTCCACGAACGTTTCGAACAACCCTCGTAATGTATAAACATTTATCAAATAAAGCATACAAGCAAATTCAAGGAATTGTGGTCCCCCGCTTTCAGTGCCATTGTGGGTGAGATGTCATTTTTATGACGTATTGTGTGTAATATGAACACCCTATCATATGTCATTTATTTAGAAATCATCACTGAACCCAAGGTCAAAGGGTTAAAGTTCTTGGTATCCAATCTAAAGTCTTCTCATAAGGATTACATATTTGAAGTATGAAAGCCCTAGCCCTTACCATTCAAAAGTTATAGTCAAGGTTTAAGTTTTTTATTAGTACAAAAAATGTACAAGGTCAAGGTCAAAAGGTCAAGGTTGTTGGTATCAAATGAAAGGTCTTGCCAAAAAGAATGCATATGTGAAATATGAAAGTCCCAGTATCTACTGTTCCAAAGTTGTGGCCAAGGTCAAAGTTTTTGAAAAGTAGGTCAGACTCCAAGGTCAAGGCCAAAGGATCAAAGTTCTTGGTATTTAATGAAAGGTCTTTTCACAAGGATTACATATGTGAAGTATGAAAGCCCTAGCCCCTACCATTCAAAAGTTTTGGTCAAGGTTAAAGTTTTTTCATAAGTACATAAATCGTCAAGGTCAAAAGTCAAAATTGTTGGTATCCAATGAAAGGTCTTGGCACAAAGAATACATATGTGAAATATGAAAGTCCTATAGTATCCACCGTTCAAAAGTTGTAACCAAGGTTATATACCGGTAGTTTTTAAAAAGTAGGTCAAACTCCAAGGTCAAGGTCAAAGGATCAAAGTCCTTGGTATCTAATGAAAGTTCTTTTCTAAAGGATTACATACATGAAGTATGAAATCCTTAGCTCTTACCAATATATATACCATTGGTAAAAGTTTTTTCATAAGTACATAAATCTCCAAGGTCAAAGTCAAAAGGTCAAAGTTGTTGGTATCCAATGAAAGGTCTTGCTACAAACAATACATATGTGATATATAAAAGTCCTAGTACCTACCATTCAAAAGTTAAGGCCAAAGTAAAAGTTTGGAATTTTTGTGTAAAAGTGGGTCAAACTCCAAGGTCAAGGTCAAAGGGTCAAATTTGGTGGTACCCAAAGAAAGGTCTTGTCACAAGGAATATACATGTGAAATATGAAAGTCATAGCTCCACTAAATCAAAAGTTATCGGCAAGGTTAAAGTTTTTGTGACGGACGGACGGACAGACAGACGGACGGAGGGACAGACGGACAGACGAATGAGATTTAATGTCCCCTCGCTTTCGCGAAAGCGGGGGACAAAAATATACTGGTACATGCTGATTATGACCATGGACCTCTGTGAGTATTTAAAAAATAAATTTTAACTAAGCTTTGAAATCCAAGTCCATTGTACTTTTAGAAGAGGAAATTTCAACTTTTTTCTTTAAGGAATTAAAATTAAAATCTTTTATAAATTAAAATTTAAAAAGGTCATTGATTTACCCCCACCTTTCACCCCTAGGGTGAAAATGAAAATTTGGAAACCTTATTACACATCTGCAGGACTCATATTTGCAATATCATCTTGAAAAAGAGGAAACTGCTACTGTGTATGATATATAAGGAGTTCTGGGAAACATTTTTTTGAAAATAAAAACGCCGTTTTTCAAACCCATATTTTGTTGCAATTGAAATTTCCAAAACCTCATTACATTGAATCAATCTACAGAATTTTACCAATTATCTCGCAGCAGGTAAATTGCTGCTTACAATATTGAAAAGAACTTATGGAATCCAGGTTGTTGTTAAATTGGCCTTCAACTTGACATTTAGATCTATCGAAGAGGTATTGTCAATTAACAATGGTTATTTTCATTCCTATGTCGGTACGATATATCCCGATGAGATTGAGATTAAAGATACCACAGGGTCTGACACACCTGCCTCATATGTAAATATCTTACTTGAAAAATACATTAATGGTAATCTAGCAAGCCAGCTCTATGATAAAAGCGATGACTTTAACTATGCTATCGTCAACTTCCCTTACTTGTGCAGCAATATACCTTCATCACCTGCACACGGAGTTTATATATCTCAGTTTATTCAATACGCAAGAGCAGTCTCTATGTATGAACAATTTCTAAAACGAGGTAAATTATTGACAAACAAGTTGGTGAAACAAGCATATCAGCAGTCTCATTTAAAGAATCATTTCGTAAGTTCTACGAGTATGGTCGATACAATGACCTTGTCAGCAAAAACAATTTATCATTGAGTCAAATGCTGACAGCTGTTTTTCATACTGTTAGTCCATTATTAATTGACGACGGATTTTTCCGTTATTCCCGATCATGGCAAGGAGTACAGGATGTTCAATTCTCCATGGCATCTGATCCCACCTCTGATTTTTTGGAGGTCTGTGTTTGCTCTGCTCCTATTTTTGTTTTGTTTTATGGACTTTTGAGCTTGAATACTGTTCTTTATCTCCACTTTATTTCATGCATAGATGCCGAAAGCATTGAAAAAATTCGTTATCTGTAAAGCAGCCATAATTTCAGAAAGGAAGTTAAATACATTCAATCAACCAACAATGAAGATAATTTCAACTTACATGATACATGATTTTGAGGAAAAAGTACATGTAAGCATGCAAATATGTTTTATTTTGTGCCGACTAATCTTCTATTTCTATACATCTTGTTCTTTTTATCAACACAATCTTCTACGGATTTCAGCTTTAGAAGAGAATTTTTCATATAATGCTGAAAACCTATTATTCAAATCACTTGAAATTTTTGTAGGAAACAAAAGGGTCCTTACTTAAGGAGGCTTGGGGGGGGGGGGGGGGTAAACAAATTAACCACCAGATTTAACTTATTTTTCAAGATACGGTATCTTAAGCTGTCAACTATCATTTGGCAAAGAAAAAAATCACACATTTTAGTTTTAAAATGTAATAATTTTTGTATATCTTTATATGGAGCTCTTCTTTTAAAGGAGATCAAAATAGTCGGAAAATGGCTGCCACCCCCAGCCTCTTTAAATTTTCACTTTTTCGGTGAAAGATGAAACCCGAGCATGTTCCTTCAAACCATACTAAATCCATATAATGGTTTGGATCGACCAGCAAGCAAATTCTTTTGAGCCCTCTTCTAGTTTGATTTTGAGTCTTGTATGTAGTATGGCAACTAAAATAGTAAAGAAAAGGTTCAGCTAAATATGAATGAGACAGCGATCTCCGTTAATACTATAAATCAAGCTATGAAAAGAACAATTTAAAAAATCGGTTTGACCTTGAATGATGACCTCGTTCATACAATGGAAATCTTTTTTACTACCGTACATTTATTTCACAAATTGTGTTTTTTATATCTTCGTTTGGCTTAGTGTCCCCTGGAATGTGATGGGCTAATCTCCCTGTTTCTATCAAGAAAGACAAAACTTTTTTTAAGATTCGTAGTGACTCAGATCAAAGGAGCGATCTTCCGTGAACTTTGCCGGAGAGTGTCACCCAGTTTGGTATTATTAATTTCATCACCTGAAATAAGTATTTATGTGGAGTTGAAATTGAAACATTGCGTCCTTATCTTGACCTGGTATACATTTTTTTGTTTCACATAATGTTTTATGACGCGATGTAAAGGTATTAGATTAATTCACTTTTGTTCGCTGCTGATTGTTTGAAAATCTTCGGCGACTTATCCAGATTATGGCATATTCAAATAAATGGGGGTATTTATTGATCCAAAAATGTATTTAACAGTTGATCTTGTTTATTTCGCTTTAAAAAATCGGACAAGAGAGACGAAAAGAAAAGTTCAGGTTTTTTTTTTACATAATATGGGCGAATTTAAAAATATATAATTCGAAAAGAAAATGTCAGCATTGGTACCGAAGTTATCCCTTACGCCGGTGAAGTTTAACCGTTTGGAATCACTGACAGAAGGAGCAGTGAGTACTCATCGTCTGACAGAAACAGACAGACCAAGTGATGAGAAATCTCCAAAGAAGAAGAAATCAAAGAAGCGTCTGAGTAGACGTGATTCGATGATGAACGCTCTCAGGGATGAACTCAAAAACATGGAGTCTCTTCCGGCGCTAAAGACTCACAGACCACCAAGTGTGATGGACGAATGGATGAACACGGAAGAAGAAAAAGATGAAGATGCTTATTTAACAGATAGAGGGACACAACGGAGACGATTTAGTAGTGTCGGAGACGATTTCATGCGCGGGAACTTGTCAACTCGACGTAGCATCTCCGGCGGCTCCGAAGACATTATTGTTTCTGGATACGAGTTGAAGAAAATTCGAATGTTGCAATCCTTAGAGTCAATGGGAGTCACGCTACCGAGAAAAAGAATACAATCTTCAGACGAGCGAGAGATTTTACAAAGTATGGAGTTTGCCAAACGCCAAAGTTTGTCAACAAGACTCTTACAAACTGTAAACAAGAAGCCTCGGTTTAGACATCGGTCGCGATCTAGATCACGAGAAGCGACTGTCCGTTCTTCGCCGGAAGAGGCTTCCACAGGGACCGATGATGAGAGTAGGGATAAACTGGACAACATGTTACACGCAATTACAAAGAAAGTGGTGGATCCCAAAAACCCGGTGGTGTTTGGGAACACAGGATTAAACTTTATGAAGAATGATCTAGGCAATGACGTTATTGGAACTTTCAGAAGAAAAATACGAAGAAGAAAGGTAAGACATTTTAATATTACTTTTGATGGCGATCAGACTTAGGACAGGTTGTACATGTTATGTTACCAGTATAAATAAGAATATAATTAAAAGACTCGGGAGTGGTCTAATTGAATTTCCGGTATGTTCCTTTACTTCATATCTGGAATAAAATTGGTAGACAGTGAAAATGGAATTTTTTTTTTTAAATTCTTTTATTTGATTTGAATACTGATTTCTAGTTAATAGCACCCTAAATTCATCATATGCAGAAAATGAATTCATTCATACGTATATATTTTCTAGAGGTACTAATTTTTATCTTTCCTTATTTAGTATTTCAAAGATGTTCACTTGTTTGATATCACCGAGCATACACATTCTACCAAGCAAGGACACAATTGTAATTCATTCAAAAGTAATGATAACTTTAATTTCATTAAATCTGTATTAGCTTAAAATTTCGTTCATATGCTCTTGTTCTAATAAATATTGCTTATAGGCTTAAATTATAAATGTATCGTATATTATAATATTTTTAAAAAATAAATATAAAGAATGGAATTTTATTGCAAATAAATTGTAATTATATACAGAATGGTTGAAATTTTATTTCAAATCAAAGTGAATCAAATACAGAGAGATATTTTTAAACTTACATATAAAAGGTTTAATCAAGACCAATACAATTTCAAAGAAAAAAAAAACAGAAAAATATATCATTCAATTTATTAACATTAAGATAACGGAAATTGAAATATTGTCTAATCTCTGGGTTAAAAAACTACTTGAAACTATTTCAAATTTAAAAATTCACCTGTTAAAATATGCATTTTAAAACATAAAACTTTATAATACATTTGGAAATGAGGAAGTTAATTCAAGAAATGGAAAGTCGGAAGAGGCAGAGAGAAATTACTTTAAAATGAAATTCTTTCCACTTTTGATCATATTTGTGAAGTAGCAGTGAAAGACTAATATCTGGAGGTGTTTTGTAAACGTTTATGTTTTCGGCAGTTTGAATAGTGCGATCGTGCCACTTATCGCTATTTTGTATGCAATAATGTTTATAATACATCATAGTAAAACAAGCTCTTAAGATGAAAGAGAAGAAATACCTTTCAATTTCCACGTCTGTCAAACGCGTTAAAGATGTGGTTAAGTTTGATATATCGAGTTCTTGAATTTAATATATATTTTTCCGGAGGTAAATTTCTCCAGGGTTTGAGATTAAGGTAAGGAGTTTGTGTGCAAGGCTTGGTTTGTTTGCCGAAACAAATTATGACTTGATAACACCTTGGATGGTTATTCGTAAGTCAACAGCATTTTTCTCGAACATGTCAAAATGAAAATATTTCTACTATCAACTGTTCTTGTAAGTCGATTAAAACAAATATAGGGATATGGAATAAATTATATTTAATGAGAAATATTTTTCTGTTGGATTTACCATGCTTCAAGACCACAAAATGAAAACAGACCTAAGTCAAAGTTTTGTTTTTTAGGACATGAGTTTTATTGAAAGATTTTGCTTAAAACTTTGCAGTTTTGAATAACATGCTATATTTTCAATATTTTATTAATAATTCAAACATAATTATGATGAAAATTTTGTTTCATTATCTTTTTTTTTCTGAAAAGAATTTATAGTCTTTGATATGAAAATATTTTAAGGTCATGATTTTAATTGTTTCCTTAAAAAGTTTCTTTGTCTAAGAACGCATGTACGTGGGCCCATTCTCCATATGAAACCTTTTTATGAAATAATCCATTTAAACTTGACACGGTGAGGAGAGCGATATCCGGATTAGTATAAATCTAATTTCAGGTCATTAACAAGTGTTCAAAGGGGTTTGCACTCTCAGCGACTACTACTTACTATATCGAGCTTTTGCGTTCAGCATAATAGTTAAATGACCGAACTACTTGATGTGAATTTTTGTGACATTCACTTGCTGTATATTTTAAGTTATTTTTAATAATTAGATTAAAAGATATATAAGAGTCCCTCAATTATAAATAAGATACAATTATTCTGTTCAAATGCAATATTCAATTTCTTATTAGAAAATACAAAAATACAATACAATGTTTATATTCAATATGTTATAATTTTTGTATTTGAAAAAAAAAAAATCCATAAAGCAGTTACATTAATATTGGTAAGACATTTCTATTTGATAATGGAACTAATTGTTATATTTATGGAACTAATTATAGAAGTTAATTTTAATTTCAGGTCCGGCCATACATAAAGTGGAAACGTCTATCAAAATTCATAGTAATCTTACTCCGCGCCTGGAAGATCCACTCTCAGTCGTGAGTATCCCTATGAATCGGATGAAATGTTTTCCTGCTTATAATATATATATATATATATATAGTTGATATATATATATATATATATATATATATATATATATATATATATATATATATATATATATATATATATATATATATATATATATATATATATATATATATAATCAAAATCCAAGTTATAAATCTTAAAACTGCTTAGAACACCATTTCTTTTATTCATTTTTTTATACATCTATCCATGTTTTCTGATGTTTATTTTTTGCTATTTTTTTTTTATCTTTCCATTATCATTATTTAAACGATACTTTACTGCATGTATGAATTCTACGTCTGGAATAATTTTTGGCTCGCCAGATAACACCATCGTACATGTACCTGAAAACGAATTCCAGAAAGAAGGCTTAAAGGATTATTCAATCCTAAAATAGAACCCCAACAAAGTTCAAAACGGAATTTAATTTGTATCAGTATATTACTGGGTTATTAGAGTGTATACACACACTCTGTAAAGGACATGGGAATGTTTCCAAACGAAAAAAATTAAATACTTTCATTTGTGTAATGATAAAATTATCATGTACCCTTTCACTTAAGTCTTATCAGTTAATTTCTTCTAGGAAGTTTATTTTTTATTTTATAGATATCAAATACAAATGTTTGTTTGAGAGAAAGAATCCAAAATTTGCAGAAAAACAGTCGCACTCCTTTTCCCTTAATGTAAATGGTTGAGAAGCAAAATCAATAACACGTGGTTATCATTCGTCATCTTAAAAAGATAAGAAGTTTCTGTTGCCTAAAATTGATATTTTTTTTCATAAATAGGGAACTTCAAAGAGGAGAAAAAAAAATAAAATATAAGTTACAACATAAAAATGCTTCATCTTTACTGAATAAAATTTAAAAGAAGTGTATTGCAAAATATTTGATATAGGAACCAATTTCAAATTTGTCCCTTTTATAGCAGAGCTACTCTTCTAAGATGGATATAAATATAATACAAATTGATTTGTAACAATGAATCTACTGATTTTTAACTCTTGCTTTCAGGGTAAATTCTATTCTTGGATTATTTGAATCTTTGGACGCTTTAACAAACTCGTATGAGACTAAGGACTTAATGTTCAATGTCACAGATTTCAAAGCGGGAAAAGAGGTAACGAAATCATCGTCTGCAACTTATATGTCCGCTATAAAATAAATGCGATACTTCTCATTATTTTTCATAATTCAGTAATGCACTAAAGACGAATTTTCATATTAAATCAATTGAAACTCATTTGTCTTAATTTATTTCGTAATGCAATAAAAAGAAGATTAAGAATCGCCTTTCAAAAATACAAGTATTTTCCAAGCATATAAAATGTTTGTTTACCTGTGCACTTTACCTAGATTTTCAATTTCTGTACATAATTAACACACCCTGCTTGTGTTTTTCTTTGATCGGTATGTTCTTATCTTTTTGTAAGGGTATGATATCTTCAGAAGTGCGGCGGATCCTAGAAAAGAAACCGAAAACGCGGACTCTGGAAGAAATACATTATGTACGTTACCTGTATAAAATATGGAATATTTATTAAAGCATTAAAAAAAAATTATGCGTGGTGCATTCGTAGTTGTTTACTTTATGCTGCATAAATTAATATGTTCTATACAATATAAACATTTTTTCTCCTTTCCAGATACGCTTAAAGTGTCGCCTTTGTTTAATTTTCTTATTCCACTGTAAAATACTAGTTAAATAAAACCAATACTGTATTCATTCGTGAGATAATTTACGAGAAAATGATTTAAAAGTGTGTTTCATGTAAAAAATAATTTACTTTAAAATAAAATGTTATATTACCTTCAGGTGCAAATTGCCTTGCGAAACTACAAGTCGATAGCTGAATATCCCGTGGACATGCAGAAGAAAATAGCTTCCAGGGGCTGGTATGAAACGTAAGTATCTTAGAAAGGAAGGTACAATGAGGTCTGAAGTACGCCTAAAATATATATATATATAATCAATCATAAAATATTCATCTGTTGATATAATTAAACATACATTTAATATATTATGATAGGTTTGAAGGTAAATATTACATTTTTGTAAACCTTTCCTATTTCAGATATGATGCAAAACGAGTGATTGTTAGAGAGGGTCACTTACCTATCTGTTTCTACTTCGTCCTGACGGGATCAGGTAGAGACTGGGTATTTCTGACATGTATAAATATAACTAAATAAAACTTACATAAACGTTAATTACAAGAATTTTATATGGATGGAACAGCATAATTATGGAAAAAGTTCCCTTTTTACAGTCCCTTTATCACAGAAAGAAAAATAATGCTTTTTCAGAAATGTTACTTTCTAAGGAACTACTCAACAAAAATCATTTTCCTAAATAATTCTTAAATTTTAATGAATAATAATTACCTTTTGTAGCTGTTGTGTCATTTTTGGATGTCCAGTCCAACGCAAATAAAACCGTTCTCTTCCTTCATCGAGGTGACAGCTTCGGTGAACAGGCGATAATGACGAGAACACTGCGGCAGACGACAGTTATTTCCCGCGAAAAAATCGAACTTCTAGTCATGTCTGACGAAGTAAGCACGCTATCTGGGGCTATTTACATGTTTTACCTTTCATTAGTACTTCTGAAATATATGATTTTTTATGTTATCTACTGAGTGATAATAAGCACAAAGTTTTGACCTTCTATTACCTGTTAAATTGTAAGTTGCTTTTTGACACTGAATGGAAGAAATCTGAAATATTAAGAAAATGCTTCAAAAAGTAGTTTGATTAATTTGCATATATTGCGAAATTTGCATAAATATCAGAAATGAAAACTTTGTTAATATCAATATTGGATCATTTGCATGAATACTACAATTTAATTTAAAGAGTTGTAAACTTGTACTTTTAATATTTCATCGCTTCTGAATTAAAGGATTTTATTGATATCTTTATGTCTGGTGGTCTACGGGATGTCAACGATCCCTTTATAAAGTAAGTTTCCTCTATTTTTACCAAATTTTAGATGAAACAAAAAAGGATAAAATTGTTTGTATATTTTGAAATATTTTTTTCTATGTTTCATACAGATCTCTGAAGTTTCTAGAAGAATGGCCTGTAGAGAAATTGGCAGACAATCCAAAGAAAGCAATTTTCAGTTTTTTCAAGTATGTTCTTGTAGATGAATGGATTCTTATCACAGAAAACTTGTAATCAAAAGTTTATCCAAGTCTTTTATCTTTTCACTTTACACCTGGAATTAAATTTTTGGGTTTATTAACATTATACATGTACGAGTCTCGTACATTAAAAAGTCTTTGGAAGAGACTTGAAACGTAGTAATGTATGAATAAGTAATTTTATTGTACATATTACCAAAGAAGAAAATGTAATTTATTAAATTATTATGGCAGTAAATTGCATTTTGATAATTATACTATATCTAAGTAACATGGTTCATATTTTCAGACGAGGAAAAGTTCTCATAAAAGATACATCACAGAGCGACTGGATATTTGTCGTCAAATCTGTAAGCTCTTTTTCTTCCTCCATGCTTATTTTTTTGTGTTTTTTTTATTTTAACTTTTTATTTTTATATTCTAATTCCGTTGGATGGGACGTTAAATGGTTTTCCGTTTCAAGGATGACAACCCCCTCGGCATAATAAGGATCGATACTCTGGTTTCCAAAAAAAGAGTAGGCTCACTGGGGGCCGCCAGAGAAATCCACAAATTTTCAAATCCCTTCATACCGTATTTAAATTTCCCCACCGAAATATGGCTGAAATATTGCCGGCGTAAAAAGCAATAATCAATGAATCAGTCCTCCATTTTTATCGACATAATCCAGCGTAAATTTGGTATAAATGGCCCCTAAAAAATCTTGATCATGTACATTATGTAATGACTATAATGTCACTTTATAGGGTAGCTGCAGTTTGTTGAAGAGACTACAATTAATCGACCCCACAAAGAGACCTCGAAAAAGCAGGAAAAAAGAATGGCGAGAGAAAGGTATTGTTCAAATAATTAAAACATTTCATTGATGAGCTTAACTGCTTAAATTACAAAATATGCCCTCCTGATCTTGGAAAAAAAAGCCAACACACGATTATGCAATATCAAAACCTCATATCCAGATTTAAGTGTTACTAGTATATCTGTATTTTGAAAACGAATATTGTGTGTGTGAGCTTAGAAAGAAAATACCAGAAAGCAATTACTTTTTTAAATAATCATCATTAACCTGTTCCTTAATTGCTGACCTTTTCAGTTGAAGAGTGTTTAAAAATTGGTGCAACGTTGTCCCACGAGGATCAGGTGACGTTACTTTTTGATGAGGAGGTGAAGAAACTGGAGCAGCAGAACGTTACGTTGAGATACTATGCTCTTCCTGAAATCAACATAGCGACGAATGAGGCCTACAACGACCTACGTCAATTACATGATGAGGTTTGTTAAATTACATCTATAAATACAAATCATGGTCTCTGATTTAGTATCTGTTAGATAAAACTAACCATAACATGTCTGTGTGACGTCACAAAATTCGAAATTAGTGTAAAGCAACTGAAATAGGGGATAAAATAATTCAAGTAAACATTTCCAAATGATATACCGGGTATATATCACCACTAAGAACCGATATTGAATCAAACGTTTTTGGCCCAGGCATAATATACAGTATAGTTCAAGTTGGAATGATTTGAATGTAAAATCTTGTTAGAAAAAAAATATCTGAAAGGAATGTAAGAGAATAAATATTGAAACACATGTATAACCAAACCAAATTCTTCATGTTCATTAATAAACCCAAGAATCATTCGTATTACAAACAGTCTGAAAACTCTTTTTAATTGATTAAAAATGTATAATAAAGATCTCTTTCAATGTTTCTTAAAAAATATTGCGCTTAGAAAATAGAAAGTTTCTCAAAACTTCAGAAATCTGATTGTTTATATATATATATTACATGTATTTATTACATTTATAAAATGTCACTAATAAGAATTAAGTAACATTTTATTGACATAAAAATATAATTCAGACTTGAAATATTTATAATAGGAAAAGCAAACGGTGAGTACTATTTGAAACATCTTAAACCGATGTGTCCTACAGTTTGTGTCTTCTTTTGCAATGTTTTCCTTATATTTGAGCTAATGTTCTTGTAAATTTAAAACATAAAAGCCCTAAAAACCAAGTTAACATATCGTGTTTAAAATAAAATTACTCTATATTATATTCAGTTTGAATGGACATGCTTATTAACTAGATACGAAATCATCCCTTCCATTTTCTTGGTTTCTACTTTAGATTTAGTGTTGCAGTGCATTGTTTTGTTTTTCTTTTCTATATTAATACCAGTATAGTATTGTTTAAGTCATATTCTCTTAAACACATGTAACAATCAGAATTTTTCTCCGGTTATCATTCAATTCCATCATTGATGGTATACCGGGTATATAATCTTTTTTTTCAAAGTTTTATTTTCTTACATATTCAGATGATAGAGAATAATTTCATCAAAAGAACGATTGAAGATTTAAAACAGCGGGCGGCAAATGAGGGCTCGATAATAACAGAAACAGACCTAGAACTTGATGAAGAAGAAAAGATTAACCAAGAAGCGAGGAAATACCGACGAATGTCTCTTGTGGATCTGACCAACCTTGTCTCAAAAGTAAATAGAAAAAGAAAAGTTTATTATTCTCTTACTTTTTTAATCGGTTTTAGAATTTAATTATCAGAAAGAAATATTAAAAAGATCACATAATAATAAATTTGTAAAGCAGACCTGTTTACTCTTACGATTTCACCGTATTTTGTACGAATTTTTAGTTTGAAATACGTCCCACGTTTTGCTATTATGAAAATACGGAAATCGGAAATACGTTTGTTTGGAATTAAGCTGTTAGTTATCGTTATTATCTGTCTTCGTTTCACGCCTTTGAACCGCTAAAAAGGAGAAAAATTTCAAACACTAAAGTGATGTCGGGTTGCCAAAACGCTCTGGTATTATAAAATGATAATGACCATGTTGCTAAACCAAGTTTTTGTAATTATACCCCCGCTCCGAAGGAGAGGGGGGTATACTGTTTTACCCTTGTGTGTGTGTGTCTGTCTGTCTGTCCGTAACAAATTTTCCGTCGCAGTTTTCTCAGCAACTACTTATTGCAGATGCTTGAAATTTTAACACAATCTTTTCTGAGACATGCCATATGGTCGGATACACTTTTGTTCAAATCCGATGTCAACTTCCTGTTTATCTGTGCGTCTGTCCGTTTCATACATAACAACTTTTTGTCGCAGTTTTCTCAGCAACTACTCATCGCAGATGCTTGAAATTTTAGTACACTCTATGTTGAGGCATGCCATTTGTTGGATTAATTTTGATATGAATCTGATGTCAACTTCCTGTTTGTCTGTGCATCTGTCCGTAATGGAACTTGTGTATATTAACATGATAGTGTTTATTCACATTAGAGCGGGGGTATTCCTAGTGAGCATTGGCTCACAGATTTCTTGTTAGAAAAGCAGTTGTTCTCTTTTAATATAATCAAAATTGCTTGAAAGTTAAATCTTACTGGCAAATGCCAAATCTCACGGAGAAATCTGATCAAAAATACTGAGAGACGACGATTTGGGTAAACAGGTCTGGTAAAGGGAAAACTGTTTTATTCTCTATCAATAATAATATTTTTCTTCTTTAATATATCTAAAAGAATTTTTTTGCATTCACACTAACGTCTTATGATTTTTTTTTTTCAAATACAGGGTCCATTTATGACGAAACCCAAAAAGACAGATACTTCCAAGTCTGCAACTACAGGTAATTGCTATTTTTAAATAGAAAATTGATGGATATAATCTGTACAAACTAGAAAAAAAATCAGAAATTTTAATACATTAAATTTGTTACCACTAATCTGGTCATCTATTATACAAATCTTTACTTCGAACTCAACATTAAAATTTTTAGTCCGCACAACGACCGAAATGACGGTGACGGTAGAGGATGAGACCATTAATGACTACACACTGACCGGAGGTGACGTCACTCAAGAAAGGATGTCTAATCACCCACCTTCTTCAAAAGCCGTAAGTGAGAACTGATAGACTATGGTATTAAATGGAATCGAGATTTGCTGTAGAAATAATAAATTTTATTATTTGTTTCAGGATGAACCGTCCACCATTGAAAATGATGGAGGGGATTATGTTTTTGTTAACTGTCACACCCTCACAAAAGGGCAGATCTTTGTAAGTTGTATTTTATAGTAAAATGTTCATCTATTTTGGTTATCTGTTCACAGTTTTATATAATAACAAACATTTGATATTTTTTAAATACATCATTCATGCATGTGTACAAGAATATATTTCCCAAATACAGCCTTTGATATCTCTTCATGGAAATCAATCTTTTACGAATTAAGTTAACAGAAGCATACATCATTATGAACTGCCTCAATTTACAAAAAAATGAGACAATAATTAATTTGTAAAATTTTGTAACTTTTTAGGGTTTGCAGGATATTTGTTTTGAGAATCAGCCCAGTTTTAGTCTAGTCAGTAATGGAGTTGAAGTAATCATGATACATAAGAAATTTTACACCGAGAATATGACCAACAATCAACTGGTCAGGCTGAGGGAGCATGTGAGTAATGTTTATCAAGAGTTTAATTTTATTTATTAATAATTATAATTTTTTAGGTCACCTGAGTAAACTCAGGTGACCTATTGCTATCCGTTTTCGTCCGTCGTCGTCCGTCGTGTGTCGTGTGTTGTGTGTCGTGTGTCGTGTGTTAACATTTGAACATTTTCAGCTTCTTCTCTGCATCCACTGAACCAATTTCAACCAAATTTGGCACAAAGCATCTATGGGTCAAGGGGAACAAAAATTGTGAATTTCATGATCCCTGCCCCCCTGGGGCCTGAGGGGTGGGGCCAAAACCACTAAAATTAATGCAATCTTTAAAAATCTTCTTCTTTACTCCTGGACATCGAGCAGTCAAACTATTTGCATGATTGTAATCAGCATTGAGTCCTCTACCAAAATTGTGAAATTCATGGCCCTGGGGTCAGGGGTTCTAGTGCTAGGGTGGGGCTAAATAAGTATATAGTGAAAATGCATTATTTCTTTGAAAATCTTCTTCTCTGCTCCTGGGTATTAAATAAACCAACTAAGTACATAGTTATGATGAGCAAGAGTGCCTCTACCAAAATTGTGAATTTTATGGCCCCAGCATCAATGGTTCTGGTGGGGTAGATGGGGGGGGGGGCTTTATTGATTATAAAGTGAAAATACATGAATTCTTTGAAAATCTTCTTCTCTGCTCCTAGGTATTAAATAAACTAAGTAAGTGCATAGTTATGATGAGCAAGAATGCCTCTTCTAAAATTATGAATTTCATTGCCCCAGGGTCTGGGGTTCTGGTGTTAGGGTGGGCTCTATTGATTACATAGTGAAAATACATTAAATCTTTGAAAATTTTCTTCTCTGTCTCTGGGTATGAAGCAGGTGAACTACCTACATAGTTATGATGAGCAAGGACCCAAATCTTGCAGAATTGTGAATTTCAAGGCCCCAGGGTCAGTGGTGGGGGCTCTACTTATATACTTAAAATGAATTAATTGTTTGAAATCTGGTCCTTTGTATTTATAAAACATTTATTTACTTTTTGATAGGCAATTTTAAGGGTGCCTTTTAAAAATTTATGCAACCTAGGGTTAGGGGTTTATGTCAGAGTGTTAGGGGCACTACTGATTATTGATGAATATTACTGATTAGTTGGAGTGCATTTTTGTTCCCCTACCTTGCGTATTGGTATTCAGTAACCAAGCTAAGCAACTGCTAAGTTTATTGTTATGATGATCAATGGTGCCCTTTCAAAATTGTGAATGCCATATAGCATCTGGCTTAAAACATGAATCAAATTCAATACACTGTAACTGGAAAGTTGTTGCATAATGCTCAGGTGACCTATAAGGCCCGTGGGCCTCTTGTATTTCATGTTTTTTAAACCATTTAAAAAAATCACAGCTTTTTGTTTATTTTCAAAATATGGCGAAACCTTCAAAAATGAGTAACTATATGAAAAAGATGTTATACAAATACATGAAGCAAAAATGATCTATAAATAAGTTTTACTTTTTGTAAAACTGAAAGCTGGTTGATTACATACATTTCATATCAAAATTTTAGGTATGGCCATATCCAAGTTCCGAAGAACTCCAAGCAACATTAGATAGTCACATTCGATGGGACTACCATAAAAAATTAAACATGAAGAAATCTCTGAGAGACGTTAGAATGCGGAACCTTCCACCCAGTGACTCAAGGGCTCATTTAAATGTGCCCAAAGTTGGAAAGGAAAATAGTTACTAGATTTTTCTCTAACTTGGGAACACAACCCATTTTAATAATAAACTTACTTGTATATAAAAATAGAGGATCGGCATTCTTCAAAATTTTTATCAGATGTTTATTTAAGGAATGAAGCTTACTTTGCTTCATTCTTTGTAATTTAATTTCAGTGTAGACAATAAGACATTTTTCCTTTCCGAAAATAGCTTCAAATTGATTATATTTTAGAAGTAACAACAAGCGGAGTAATACGTTTTTGGCATAACTCATTGTGACGTAGGTAACTTATGTTATACAATATGAAATAAATCTTTTATCCAATCAAATGACGTATTAAAGCTAAAATTAAATTATATTGGATTGTGATATTATATTATACAATTATGATTGTAAAGCCTTTAGCATTCATATAAACATAAAACATCATCTAGTGCTTAATCTTGGTGCACTTGTTTAAAGTTTTCTACAAATATCATTTAATATTAATTATTTTGAAGCTTAAATAGCAAAAAGTCCATCGTCTGATAGATTTTGTAGTATTGTACATTCTGTTTCATTACATTTATTTTGTGAACAGCTTTGCTTATTTCATTTATTTGTTAACTTTTCATTTTGTTTTAATTTTATGTCTAAATTGAGCTAATTGTTTATTTCTCAGTTACCAAAATTCAAATTCAAATATAATGATATTAAAAGGTCTGTATATTTCATGGATAAAACAAGACTTGTATAGAATTTTTTTTTTCATTCGTAAAATTATCATACATTTACCTTTACTTATTTTGTTAAACATACATGTATTTTTAAATTACATTATTAAAAACAGTCTCATTGTTTTTTAATGTACGAGAATTTATCTTTCTTTAATATTACATTAACATGAAGGTCTAAAATACATGTATGAAATAAATAACAGTATTTTTGCTCAAGAGTCCATTGGTACAATGCATATAGGGAAAGCATAATGGACCCCTAAATATGTCATAGATAGGACCTGGCGCATTAAGGAGTAGACATCCCCTGTTGACCGGTGTCACCACTTTTTAGCGTTTTCCCTACGTGACGTCATACATTGTACGTTTGAGTAATTCTGAACACTGATTTTGGTTTATCTGACCAATTTTCGTAATTTTCGGTCATGCGGTCAAAAAAAAGTTCAAAAATTGTGCTATGCTGCTTTTTTTTTCTATTGGTCAAAATGAATCAACGTAGGGTTGTAAAAATTGTTAATTGATGAAACGCCATTGATATATCTGAAAATATTGAAGACCTTAGCTAGTGTATTTAGTGGTACAGTATTATGCAATCCTCAATTAGAGACCATTTTACTTGGTATTGAATATTAACCTCTTAGATAAGGATTTATATAGTATAAATCTACAAGGGAACCTACATGCACATTGTGTTTTGATAACGGAAAACGAAGCGTTCCTGGGGCATTGATAGTGTACAGAACCATGTGCTCTGTTCGTATATTTGTGTTTATCCTGAGTTTTTTCTGTCTTTCACATCATGTTTTGTCTTCGCAAAACGAATTGGAACAGCTCAAACTCATAATCAATCAGATGCAGGAACATCAAAAAATTCTTGAAGCTAAGTAAAGATTGGAGACCAGGAGAAACGAATTAAATTTCTAGAAAACAGTGTTGAGAATTGTCAATGTCAAAGAGACCACTCGGCAGATGTATACTTTGACGGTTCCAGGACTTTAAACAACGACCTATCAGAAAACATTCAAAACAGAAGCACCTCAGATGAATTAACTGTGCTGAAAGCTGAGTCAGGAGCAGTAGAATCTGCATCTAAAAGAAATTGGAGAAGATTGTCAGGTGGGTACATGGATTTATTAGTGTCTTTTTTATTTAGTTGCACAGTCAGTTAGGGACCTTATACGGCGTCAAATAGGGAGTGAAATTCAAATCCGTATTCAAAACTGTAATTTTAAAATTACTCGGCGACGTAATTCACAGAAAATTTCAGGGCGCCATGTGATAAACATTTATTCAATCAGTAATCTACAATTTTAGCTGAAGCGGGATAAATATGTATTTAAATTTATGTGATTTTGGTTTTTGAAACCTGTGAATAAAATTGAAAGTTCGTTAAACTTTGACCTCAGAGATATAATCTTCGATCAGCTCATACAGTGACAACAACTGAGAAACAAAACAGATAACTTGTTATTTTGACACTTAGAGAATAAAATCACTCAAATTCTACATAAATTTTTCAAGCAGAATGTTTAGTTAAAGAAGTGTTTATTTATTTTTAGCTTCGGCTCAAGTGAGCTTTTCTGATCAAAATTTGTCCGTTGTCTGTCGGGGTCGGCGTCGTCGTTGTTGTCGTTAACTTTTCACATTTTGATCTTCTTCTCAAGAACCTCTGGGCAAATTTAACCCAAACTTTCCACAAAGTGTTTTTGGTTAGAGGGGATTCAAGTTTGTTCAAATGAAGGGCAATGCCCTCTTCCAAGGGGAGATAATTACGAATTAGTGAAAAATTATTGGCATCTTTAAAAAATCTTCTCACGAACCACACGGCCGGGAAATATGAAACTCATGTGGATGCATCATCAGGTAGTGTAGATTCAAATTTGTTCAAATCATGACACCCCCCCCCCCCTAGGTAGGGTAGGGCCTCAATAGGTGGTCAAAGTTAAAATAGGAATACATAGTAAAAATCTTCTTCTCAAGAACAACCGAGCCAGGAAAGATGAAACTCAAGTTGAAGCATCCCCTGGTAGTATAGATTCAAGTTCGTTCAAATCATGACCCCGGTGGGTAGGGTGTTGCCACAATGGGGTATCAACGTTTAACATAAGAATACGAAGAAAAAAATCTTAAAAAATCTTCTCAAGAACAACCGGGTCAGGAAAGATGAAACTCAAGTGGAAGCATCCTCTTGTTGTATACATTCAAGTTAGTTTAAATCATGACCCCTGGGGGTAGGGTGGGGCCACAATGGGGTATCAATGTTTAACATAGGAATATATAGGAAAATTCTTAAAAATCTTCCCTTCAAGCACAGAAACACCATAGTTATATGAAAGCATCCTCAGGTAGTGTAGATTCAAGTTGTTCAAATTATGACTCTTGGGGCAAGGGTGGGGCCACAATGGTTGATAACGTTTTTAGAAGGATAACATAGAAAAAAAATCTTTAAAATTCTTCTTCTCGAGAACAGCAAAGCTGTGATTATTCATATTTATATGGAAGCATCCTCGGGCATAGTAGATTCAAGGTTGTTCAAATCATGACCCAGGTAATAGAGTAGAACCAAAATGTGTGATCAAGGTTTTGTGTAGGAATGCACAGAAAAAATCGTTAAAATTCTTCACAAGAACAACAAAGCCTTGATTGATCATCAACATAAAAGCATCAAAAAAGTATAGATTTAAGTTTGTCCAAATACCCCCCCCCCCCGGAACCTGTTTTTATATTTCTGTTTTAAACTTTCCAATACTGAACTGATTTTTGCTTTACCTTGCTAGTTGCTGAGAAAAGCGATGTGGCCTTTGGTTAATTTGCTACTTTTTATTCTCTCTTTTAGGGACAGATGGTAATATTGCGTTTTTCGCCAAGCTGACTCATACGGAAACCCAGCCTAGCACTCTTCACACATTCGTGTTCGATTCGGCACCAACTAATATTGGCGGTCATTACAACAGGTACTCCGGTATGTTCACTGCTCCTCGTCATGGCACTTATGTCTTCAGCTGGACCATGTTCTGTTCTGAAGGTGCCCATATCAGCTCCCAACTCATTAAAAACGCTGATTACATTGACGCCACTCTTTGTAATGCAGAGGGGGCAACTTATATAAGGTCGACAACGGGTGTTTCTGTTTTGGAACTAAATCAGGGTGATGTTGTCTTTATCCGCACTCATCCAACTAGCGGACATAGAGGTGACATCAAGAGCAACGAGTATCACCTGTCAACATTCAGTGGATGGCTTCTGTAAAAAAAATCATAAAATGGATAATTTTTTAAATATTAAGCTTGAAAAATCTTTGCAAATCTTGTTTGTATCTTAAATTCAACTTTAATGCAATGAGAATCCATGAAAACACTTTTTGCGCATTTAAAGTAAACATTCTATTTTGGAGGGATGTTGGTAATTTGAAAATGTTTTAAAAGAATCGTTTTACGTCATTGAATCTCCATTGACATGTTAACAAAATCATTCGTTTATTTTAAATGCTGATTATATATTTACATAACCGACTTAGCCCAAGACAAAGTAAAATGCCACGTAATAATTTTGAAAAATCCACTCCCGAGTATACAAATATTTCTTATGCTCGAGAAATAATATTCATATTTTGCGTTTTTCAAACTTCTGCTTATTATCCTCTATATAAGTATAGTTCATCTTTATAAAAGCCCCTCCACCCGACAATGTTCTTCTGAGCGTAAATTTTTACTTTTAATTTAGACCAAAACTACTCATTACGAGGGGCTATCAAAAAGTTCGTGGACTATCGCCATTAAATTAAAACCGCTTTAATTACATAAGTGAAGTTTAAAATATCTATTCAGCATCATCCTTTCTATCTAAAGAATAAACCATGAATCATAAATTTTAATTTTCAATAAATTAGTAATGGTTTTGTAAGCAAAGGTATGTCCAGTCGGCGCAACCTCCAAAATGACGTTTTTGCGACCTATGTTTGACTGAGAAAAACTCTTTTGATACGATCATTTGAATCCAAAAATCCCATTACACTAATTCAGGTGTGTGTTGGGACACAATTGTTCCATAAGATATGAAACTTTTACTTAATTCTCGAAGTTCTATGAAATTTTGTCGTAAATTTTACATGAAGTGACCAAACAAATGAAGCCTTGAAAATGACGTCAAAAGGGGGAGGGGTTTCCTTTTCCAACATTCTATAAGGTTCTGCCCCTAAAAACTGGTATATACCTAAGAAATGTTTAAACTGGCTACAAAGAAATAATATGCATTCAGAGCACTTGTCTTTTAATGTTAATATAGATTCGGAGAGAGATAGGGTGTACAGTTAATGTCGATTTGTAGTCAAGGTATGAAAAAATCAATCACGTCAAAAAATGACGTTGATCATGTGTTGTTGATATTGAACTCCCAAAAGCAATATATGCTGGCACAATCAAGGGAGGATCTCTCCCAATGTAGATATTCATTTGGAATTTTATATTTATTGAAAGCCGTTGTTCATGACATTGTAAAGTCATTTAAGCAAGACAGGTTTTTGTCCTTACTCAGCTCCAGGGAATCTCATCAAAATAAGTGTATGAGGTGGAAGAGGCGGACATTGAAAAACAATGACGTAGTCGGACGTCATGAAACTAAACGGCGACAGGCCCTGGGTGATCATATAATGTCGTTTTTATTATGCCCCCCACCCTTCGAAGAAGGGAGACCATATTGCTTTGCTGCTGTCTGTCGGTATGTCAGTCCACTTAGTTTCCGTTCAATTTCTTCGCAACTGTTTCACATACTGAAATGAAATTTGGTATACAGATATATCACATGAATATCTAGGTCAAGATCTGTTTTGGGTACGATCGCACCATTTTTGACAGAGTTATGCCCCTTGGACTTAGAAAAATTTCAATTATTTGCAGTTTCCGTTCATTTTCTTCGCAACCGTTGCACATACTGAAATGGAATTTGGTATACTGATATATTACCTGAATGTCTAGGCCAAGTTCTGTTTTGGGTACGATCGCACCATTTTTGACAGAGTTATGTCCCTTGGACTTATTTGCAGTTTCCGTTCATTTTCTTTTCAGAGGTTGCACATACTGAGATGAAATTTGGTATACAGATTTATCAGATAAATATCTTGGTCGAGTTCTGTTTTGGGTACAATTGCGCCATTTTTGACAGAGTTATGCCCTTTTGGATTTAGAAAAATTCCACTTGGGGGGGGGGGCATAAGTGTTTAACAAACATCTCCTTTTTTATATATAATAATTTGGCAAATAATGAACGTATCAAGCTAAAATTTTCAACATTTCTTTATTTTTTGTTTTATTTTCCATATAAAATTCAAAGGCACAGACTACATAGCTCCAATTTTATAGCCTTAGTCCACGAACTTTTTGAGACTTCAACCCTCACCCAAACCCCACTGCGACCAAAAACAATATTGTAGTGAAGAGAATTATCCTCTCATTCAGCACGATTTTTTCAGTCGTCGTTTCTCTTCAAAACATTTTCCTTTAAAGAGCCCGACTTATTCCTTTTTTTCATAGCAACTAAAGTATACTAAAAAGAATTGCAGGATAATATAATTCTTTAATTTTTTTTTTTTGTTTGACCGCATGGCTGAAAATTAAGAAAATTGGTCAGATGAAAATGTTAGTTACCATGCACCAAAATCAGTGTTTAGAATTACTCAACCGTAAAATGTATGACGTCACGTAGGGAAAAGCTAAAAGGTCTAAAGCACATGCAAATTGATGACGACGAGTTTGTCAACACAATTTGTACCATTTGATGCACTTGAAGTAGATATATACACATTGTGTTGTTTTTTTTTCAATATTTAAAGACGATATGAATTTCTTGCAATCTTGGTACAGTTACGGAAGTTCTATGGGGTCTGGTTTTCGAATTGCCTAAGTAAGGAAAAAAGCAACAGCGAACTACTGAGCAGTTTCTTGTAAATTTTCAACCATAGAACGTGTTATCCGTTGTCAGAGAAAGCTCAGAATTGTTTTCAACCAACCTTGCCGATGACGTTAACGTGATACAGAGTCGCGTTAAGATCGGGTTTTTATTCGTCCTCCCACCTGTTTCATGTGTTTAATCACCAACTTACTACCACAAAAACCGCTATTCACAAAATAGACAATCATAACATTCACCCCAAAATACCGTTATACATATGCATACCGTTATACATATGCATACAGCAAGGAATTGATCTTTAACGAAGTTTTCATTGTTGTTAAATTAAAAGCAGGTTGATTTAAAATTTTTCAAATAAAAATTTTAGGTATGGCCTTATCCAAGTGGTGAAGGACTCAAGGCAACTCTAGAAAGCCATATTCGTTGGAACTACATGTACTATAAGAAATTAAACATGAAAAATCTCTGAGAGACATCAGAATGCAAAACCTTCCAGCGAGTGACTTAAGGGTTCATTGCCCAAAGTCGGAAAGGTTAATAGTTACTAGATTTCTCTCTGGTTTGTGAAAAAAATTATTTTAATAATAAACATAAATGTGTATAAAAATAGTGGATTGACATTCTTCAAAACTTTTATCAGCAGTTTATATTGGATTGTGACATTAAATTATGCAAAATTATAATTGTATAGACTTGAACAAAACATTTTCATTTACTTATTTGTTAAATATATTTTTAATGACATTATTAAAGACAGTCTAATTTTTTATGTATTTATCTTTCTGTAATATATAACCATGGATAGCTAAATGTGAGGAAAATAAACAGTATTATTGCTCAAAGGTCCATCTGAACAATGCATTTAGGGAGCAGAGCATACATGGATCCCTAAATATGTCATGATGAAAATATCACACTTAAATATGTGACCGACAAACGTGAATTTTAACAAAGACAGTATAACTGGATTAATAGGGAAGTTTCAGAAAGCGTTTTACCAGTCTGTGACTTGCTACTTCTGCAGTGAACATGGACACACATCGCGCCACTGTAACACGGACGAAAGCTTGCCTTTGAAAGTAGGCATCCCCTGTCGACCAGTGACACCTGCCGTGTGATTGTGCATTGACTGGGCAAAATAAAATAAACCATCGACAATGCAACGTTAAATTAATAGGGTTTGCGAAATGTTTATGACATTGGCATAGTTTCTGGGTTTAGTATAGAAATTTTCAAGAACTTTTAAACAAGTTTAATGGTACCAAACACGTTTAATTTTGGTTCGTATAACCCACCAAGCCAGTCTTAATTTTTAGATTTTGTCGGATCAATGTGTTCACAATTCTCAATGAATTTCCTATGTAAAATGTAGATAAAAAGGACTCACCTTATTTTAACCATACGATTTCTCTACAACCCATATATTTTACAGACGTTTCTGAATAAGTATATATTTTAGCTGAAAATGCAAATATAAAAACAAGACACAGAAATTCCTGAACAGTTCTTTAGTTTTGATTTGCTTCCCTTAACATCTAACAATTATTCATAATGATCAAGGTGAAACATTTCTTCTAAAGCAGATATCTGTTATAAAATCTATTACACATCTTATGAAATTTCAATAAACTAGTTTTTATCCTGTAATTTACGTTATTGTATACAAACTGTCATAAACATATTTTGCATTAATTTATTATAACTTTTATTAGTAGTTAGTAAACGGTACCTTCTTCTGTTCTGAGATCATAACTGTTACCTAGCTTTCACCACTTTCAGCATATGTCACATCTTTGCCCTTCCCAGCATTGCTATGGTAAATGACGACCTGTTGACTGTCTACCCCTTTAGTTTACACAATGTACAACAAAGCCATCACTGCTTTTCTTTCTTACTGTATAGTTGATTCTATCAGTTAAAACAACACATGTGCTTTTGTTTATAAGTAACATACGCATTATGATTTTCATCGCCTGGAGAATTCCAAACGGGAGATCACTCTTAGTGACTGTTTTTATAAGGAAAACACCTATTGTTAAACCTTTTTTCTCCGGAAACCTTGCCTTTCCAATAACCTTAATGAGACTTTAATTCCATTGTATCATCAACTTTTTTGTCAAACACGATTTATAAGTTATTGTATACATATATATGTCATAAATTGCAAAAAAGACAAGAAATTCATATTTTGATGCATTATTTGAAAAACTTGATCTTTTTATCCTTAATTGATTTTCATTGTATACACTTCATGGTAAACATATTTTGAGACATTATAGTTTGCCTTGTTTTAGAAATGATTTATGCATAGAGTATGTTTTTGTGTATCGATTCAACTGGCCATAGGGGACAAAACCTCCACGCATAAGCAGGTGATAATGGTAAATAGTCACAAAAAGAATTGATTTTTCCGATAAAAAAAAGATGAAAACATGAAGTTTATCATAAAGTTTATTGTTAGGTGGCCATTATTGTCTTTTCTAGTAAAATATCCAAATAGGAATAAGATTTAGCTCAGTTCTTGGTGTACTATTTAGAGATCAAATGAATAATCAACGTAGGATTGTAGTAACTGCTAATTGTGTAACGCCGTTGATATATCTGAAAATATTGAAGACCATAGCTAGTGTACGTAGTGGTACAATATTATGCAATCTTCAGTTAGAGACCATTTCACTTGGTATTGAATGTTAACCTCTTAGATAAGGATTAATATAACAAATCTACAAGAGAACCTACGTATGCATTGTGTTTCGATAACAGAACGTTCCTGAATCAAACAACATGTACTCTGTTCGTATATTTGTGTTTATCCTGATTTTTTTCTGTCTGTCACATCATGTTATGTCTTCGGATAATGAATTGAAACAGCTTAAACTCATAGTCACTCAGATGCAGGAAAATCAAAAACTTCTTGAAGCTAAAATTGGAGACTAGAAGAAACGAATTAATTTTCTGGAAGACTGTATAGAGAAATGTCAATGTCAAAGAGACAACTCAGCAGATGAATACTTTGACGGTTTCAGGACTTTAAACAACGACCTGTCAAAAAACATTCAAAACAGCAGCACTCCACATGAATTAACTGAGATGAAAAGTCACAAGCAGTAAAATCTGCATCTAAAAGATTTTGGAGAAGATTGTCTGGTGAGAACATGTATTTATTAAGTGATTTTGGTTTTGAAATCGGCGAATGAAGCCAGACGCTCTTTCAAACCTCAGAGGTATCCCCATCTATCAATCTGTACTGTGACTATCAGAATGTCGGTGTCTAACAGTCTGATTTTAATCAGATTACCCCATCGATGAGGTCAAAAAGTAAAATGATAACAACTGTGAAACAAAACATACAACATTTTATTTTGACAACAAGAGAATTCAAATTAGTCTAATTCTACATAGCTACATTTATAAAGTAAAGTATTTATTTATTTTTATTTTCTCCTTCAGGGTCAGATGGTAATATTGCATTTTTCGCCAAGCTGACTCATACTGAAACCGCACCAAGCACTCTTCACATATTCGTGTTCGATTCGGCACCAACGAATATCGGTAATCATTACACACGCATTCTCAATTTATAGTGCCAAATCGACTTTGGGAAAAGTCCAAAAATTTTGTGAACTGAAACTAACAATTTTATATGTCATTTGAAACACGAAGGTGTATAGTTATTAAAAATCACAATTTGATTTACATACTTCATGCTGTGTTTTGTTGACCTCCTTCGAAATGAATGCGGTTGGAGGGCTAATTTACACCAAGATATTTGCGTTATGTTGAAAATCCATATGTGGAAACGAAAGAATTTTTTTGAAAAATACAAAATTAAGATAATACACATCAATTTTGTTAACTATAAACATTTATGAAACCGTTTAAGCACATTTGTAAAAGGGTGTGAAATCTTTGATTCAATTATTAGTAAAAACAAAACAGGCATAATTTTCGTTTAAATGAAATTATTTTCTTTTTATTTTAAAAAGTTTTTATCAAATCTGACGATAAGCTAAATGATGACAATATTCCCTAAAATGCTTCATTATTTGATTCTTTATTAATCTGTTCAGAGAAACGCACATTATTTAAAATATCAGAAGGTAAAATATTTCGCCATTACCTGATTACGAAGTGTTTGTTAAATATCACGTAAATATCGCACAAAGATATCATACAAAAATAAAAGTATATTCGGGCAAAAATGAATATATTATTTCAAATTATTGAATTTTATGAATTTCCTTATCTGTGTTCTTGACAAAGGGTTGCATTGAAAATTCAAGTTATGACTTATCTATAGAGGATTCATTTAATTTATGACACCCTCCCCCCTTCCACCATTTAATCTTTTGATTATTTTAAATGCTTAATTGCTTGTGAAAACTTTATCGTCAAATCTCAAAAATAAAACAAAGTTACCCCCACCCCCTTAAAAAGGTTTGTTAATAATTACAGTTGCATATTATATGTGCTCTGTAGAGCAATATACGTACATTCTATATTAATTTAACGTAAATTGAATTTTCAGTACCAACGCATAGGCGCATACGTTCTAAGTTCTATGTCTAAGCAACAATTTAAATGGGAAAATAAGGTGCACAATTTAATATATGTATTTCTTGCAAAGCACCAAAATGGAAATGGATTCAATTTCGACCAGTTTCTTGACACCCAACACCCACAGTCGTCTTTTTTCTTTAACGCGATGTGGACCCCCCCCCCCCCCCCTCTTACATGCAGCGCAGCGCCTATTTTCATTATATTTCCTACGAAAAATGATATTTTCTTCTTCGAAATGTTTAGCTTGGTATACAATTTAGGTGTACATAACGATTTTTTAAGTTGACGATACACTATCAGTTCAAACAAACAGCAAAATACAAACTTTAAGAAAGTTTTGTTTCACCTAGATTTACGTTCCGAATGATAACGTGCATTACACTTAAAACTATGCAATATTAACCAATTGCTCAAAATGGAAACATTCGATCATTAAACCACTATTCTACTTGTGAATAATATTATGTCAATTCAATTTTCAAATCACACGGATGCACAAGATATTGTGTAAAATATATTCACCTTTGCATGTGCACTTCCATTTGCACTTCTGCACTCTTGTTACAGAAAAAAATGTCATTTTAAGAAACAGTGTATTTCTTCATGTTTTTAGGTTTTAGATCATTAAGATTCACTCGCAAATATGTTCAAACAGCTTTAGAATTTAATTCTAATTTACTTTAAAACATGGTAACGTAAATATTGGTAACGTAAATATCGGTAACGTAAATATCTTTCTGAGATTTATCGTAACTTTTAATGCTGTTGTTTAATTATTCCACCTTTAATTAAAGGCATATTCTAGTGCTTGAGTGTATGGCAATTTGACCCATAGGAAACAGTGTATTTCTCTTACTTAATTTGTGAATAAATACTAACACGTAAATATCGATGAATTTTTTAACCATTGGACTCATAAGAAAAGGAGGGCTATATTTTATAAATACAGATAAACAGTGTTTTTTTACTATTCCATACAATAGAACAGGTGTTCATGATGTTAAAAAGTTACAACTTAATCTTATTGAGTCGGTTCAGCAATCCTTCCAGTTCTTTTGAATTTCCAAATAGAAAAGTAATAATTTTGCGGTGACATCAAAATTTGATAAATATATTAAATTTTTTAAAAAATTGTGCCACGCATATGTGTGAAGGGTGTGATATTCAGAAAATATATCTCAAATGTAGGACAATCTTACTAAGAAAAAGATATGTAAGTGATTACAAACTTCTTTTTGGTTTAAAATAAAAAACTACACTTTGATCGGCGACAGTAACGTAAATATCGATTTCTGCTATAAAATGCGATTTTCGCCTAAGACAATCATTCAAGTTACAACAAACAATTGTTGTATTTTAATCAACAACCAACAATGGTTCATATGACTGGCAGAAAATAAAATTTATTAGAAATATTATATTACTTAAAACACGGTACATTATTTAAAGCGAATTGAGACTATAATTTGAGAATCAGTGTACAACAGGTACTCCGGTATGTTCACTGCTCCTCGCCATGGCACCTACGTCTTTAGCTGGACCGTGTTTTGTACTCCAGGTGCCCATATCAGCTCGCAGCTAATTAAGAATGTGGATTTTATTGACGCTGCACATTGTAATGGAGAAGGGGCAGATTTTATAAGGTCAACCACCGGTGTTTCTGTTTTTCAACTTAATCAAAATTATGTTGTCTTTATCCGTACTCATCCAAATGGCTTTCTTAGAGGTGACATCATCAGCAATGATTATCATACGACAACATTCAGTGGATGCCTTTTATAAAAAATATCATTCAAATCTGAATAATTTTTGGCAATATGAAACCTAACATTCTATGTTTCTTTTCAAGATATAGTTATCCTATGAGCTCCTCTGTAAATACTTATGACTGATAAATATTTAATAATTTAAAAGGATCGTTATTCATTTGCAAAAAGAACTTTTTCACATCATTAAATTATAAATGATACATATCCACGAAAAGGACTTTATTGAATGTACACCGATTTGACGCAAATGAACTCAAATCGAATTCACGGATTTACTGATATTTCGCTTAAATTCTGCATTGCTTCATTCCTAATCGTATTTCATTACCTCAGCCTGCCTTTGGAGATTATGAAGATCTTGAGGGAGTTAAAAAAAATTCATGTTCTTGAAGAAGAAGCCTATTTCCTGAGGCACTTTTCCCAAACTTTTTTTTTCAAGCATTTTAAAAAAGTTATAGGTTTGAGTAAATAGTCGGAAACATTCCTCGAAAGAAAAATTCATCAAGTTCTAAATCTTAGTAGTTATATGCAATTATTTTAAAATATTTTAATAGCTAAGAGTGTCCAAATGTAATGCACAAATACGAACATTTCCTCTTATTGAAAGTGTACAATTGCAACAATCGACAGCAGACACAAAGCATCTAAAACCAGTTTAGAGTCGCCTTGCACATTGGTTTCCAAGAGCTTTAGCTTGAGAGTCGCTCAGAAAGGAGTCTCGAGTCTAAATATCGCTGCCGGACGTGGACATCGGTTCTGGGATGAGACCAAAATTAATATACCAAGACCTTGTGTCAAAGTAGGTGTTGATACGAATATGATACCTGACTGCTTGTGTGTTGAGTTTAAGTTGCAATTCTTTATCCGCAAGTGAGCGATAAGCTTTCTAAGGAGCATTACACAAACGATAAAATACATCATAGGTAGAACCAGGTTTCATGAAGGAGCAAGCATGTAACCAGTCATGTGCTTGTAATCATTCGGCAAACTGAAAAATACGATATAGGAATCCATCATATGTATATACCAGTGGTTATTACAGTTGAGTGTAATTGTTGAAAAAATTTCGAATATTTAAACTTGAAACAAAATTCTAACGAATTTCTACCATAGAATGATGTTTCTTATAGATAAAAAGATCAGTAAACAGATATTAGGAAATTAATTACCCCAAACAAGGAAAGAAAATAGCACATATTGCAAAATAAAAAGACATTTCAGCCTTCTATAAAATGCAAATGTCTCTCTTTGATTTCCTTACTCACATGTTTTACTGGGTCTTAACCGGTTACCAGTATATAATGTCTAAATATATACCTTTACTGGTCTAGATCTTTTTACCACGAGAGAGAGAGAGGATGAAACATAATACACACTCTTCATAATATCCCTGCTCTTAAATAAGTTAAAGAAAAATTTATGGAAAAATTGTGGAATTTACAGAATTCCATAAACTTTGAAAGAGCACATCTCGACTCATTATAGAACTTCAAGCTGATAAGACTAGTTCTCTTGTACTGAAATATAATTATGTAACTAGCCTTTATGACAATGCTATATGGAATTATCATACAGTACAGTTATGTTGAATGTGCACTTTTTCGATTTTTTTCTCTGCTTTCTATCTAACGAGTCAGTCGCCCGCGTGGCGCAGTGGTTAGAGCGTCTGCTCTAGAGTTGCGAAGTAAGGAGTCAATCCTTACGTTGTGGGTTCAAATCCCACTGTGGGACGTGGAAACCGGTACTTCGGATGAAATCGTATAAACCGAGGTCCCATGTCGCAGAAGGTGCTGGCAAGAAAAAGATTCCACCCTGTTCAATGGCCCTAAGTGCCGAGTATGGGATAAAGTTTGCAGCTATCCACCGGCAAGTGGTGGCGTCTCCATATGAGAGAAAAATTCTCGAGAGGGACGTTAAACAATATACATTCAATCAATCAATCTCCCTGCCGAACAACACAATGGCTTTGGAGAAACGGTACGAACAACTAGAACTTATACTCTTCAAAATCCAGGCAACTCTAGATAGCCACATCTCATGGGACTACCATTAGAAATTAAACGTGAAGAAATCTCTGAGAGACGTAAGAATACTTCCACCAATTGACTTAAGGGCTTATTTAAATGTACCCAAAGTCGGAAAGGAAAATAATTTCTTATTTTTTTCTGGTTTGTGAACACAATCCATTTTAATAATAAAATTACATGTATATCAAAATAGGGGATAGGGATTCTTTAAAACTTTTATCAACTGTTTATTTAAGGAATGCAGCTTACCTTGCTTCATTTCTTATCATTTAATTTCAGTGAAGACAATAAGACATTTTTCCCATTCAAAATGGCTTCAAATTGAGCATATTTTAAAATTAACTTTAAGCGGAGTAATACGTTTTTTGACATAACTCATTGTGACGTGGGAAAGTTATGTCATACAATATGAAATATTGAATTGAATTATCCAATCAAATGACGTATTACAACTAAAATTAAATCATACTGGATTGTGACATTATATTATGCAAATTATGATTGTATATCTAAATTGTGTCAATTGTTAATTAGCGTATCAGTTACCGAAATTTAAATTTTAATTATTATAATATTGAAAGGTCTTTATATAATTCAAAGATTATAAAAGACTTGTATAGAATTGTTAAGATTACTTTTCAATCGTAAAATTAGCATATAACTACATTTACTTATTTTGTTAAACATATTTTTAAGTTACATTATCAAAAACGATCTCCTTATTTTTTAAATGTATTTATCTTTCTTTAATATTACATTAACATGTAACATCTACAATACATGCATGAGGAAAATAACTGAGAGACGTTAGAATGCGAAACCTTCCAGCCAGTGACTTAAGGGCTCATTGCCCAAAGTCGGAAAGGAAAATAGTTACTAGATTTGAGAAAAAAAATTATTTTAATAATAAACATAAATGTGTATAAAAATAGTGGATTGACATTAAATTATGCAAAATTCTGATTGTATAGACTTGAACAAAAAAATAAATTTTCTTATTTGTTAACCATATTTTTAATAACATTATTTAAAACAATCTAATTTTTTTTTATGTATTTATCTTTCTGTAATATATAACCATGGATAGCAAAATGTGAAGAAAATGAACAGTATTATTGCTCAAAAGTTCATTTGAACAATGCATTTAGGGAGCAGAGTATACATGAACCCCTAAATATGTCATAGATAGGACCAGGTGCCTTTGAAAGTAGACATCCCCTGTCGACCGGTGACACCTGCCGCATGCTCTTGTATCTGTCTGGCAAAAGAAAATAATCCATTGATAATTCAGTGTTAAATTAATGGCCTTAGAGTTTGCGAAATGTTTATTTTGAGATCAAAGGGATAATTTGAATAAACGTAGGATTGTTAAGTTGATAATTGATGAAACTTTGTTGAGATCTAAAATATAAAAATGAAGACCATAACTATTTATGTTTTGTTACAGTACTGCGCAATCTTAATCAGATACCATTTTACTAGATATTGAATATTAACCTCTTAGATAAGGACTTATGTGTATAAATCTGCAAGAAAACTTACGTGTATATTCTGTTTCGATAACAGAACGTTCCAGAAGCATTAATAACTGTTACACCATGTGCTCAGTTCGTATATATATTGTAATATTCATTACTTTATTAGATAAAGGGGGGTAGATTTTATTTGTAAAACTTCAAGTTCAAATCATTGTATTTCTTGGAATATTCCGTGAATCATGCCATGTTTGTTTTGTTTATAGATTTACCATTGTGTTGGTCCCACATGTTTTTCTGTTATATGCTTATGTATTTTGATTATTATTTACCTGACAAGGCTATGTTCTTAAATTGTTTAAGATTTTATTATCAATGAATATAAGAATCTACTTACAGGAGTTTCAGTGATGTTATTAAGTAATCCACACTGTATTTATTATGACATGACATCTACTGTCAGTGCATGTAGGCCGCCATTGTATGACATCATCAAATAGTTCACTTGGTGCAATAATTTGGATTTGTTATAATGTAAAGCTAGTACAAGTAGATTCCTATTAAATTACAGTTAAATTATAGTTTTTATAACATGAACTATTTAAAAGATACCTGTAGATTTGATCTCTCTATTTATGATTGTTGTCATTTAGCACTATTCATTTTGCTCAAGAATATTACCTAATCACTGATGTCTACTATAGTTACACCACAAGAGATAGTTCTTTGTTAAGAATTGTTTAATTCTTGATTTATTAAGTAAGTAATGCATTCATTTTATTGTGTATAGAGAATTTATAGTTAACAGGATAATTTGGTAATATATGATTGTTTTTAATTGTTAGAATTATAATAATTTATGCCTGTCAGGATTGTCAGGGAAATGAAGCATTTTGATTGGTTAGTTTCTAGATGCAAAAGCTATATAAGAGAGACAACTTCTCAGTTTTGTCAGATAGCTCCACTGAGCACTTGACTAATTGTTATCTTATTAGGTATGATGAATTCTGAAAACCAAGATCATAATTTTTATAAAGACAAGTTCTAATTATTATTCAGCATAAAGATTGTTTTCATAACTTGGCAACCCAAAATCCTGACATTTTATAAATTCCTGACACTCAGATTTCCTGACACTCAAATTTCCTGACACCCAGATTTCCTGACAATTATTCCTGACAAGTGAAATACTGACAATCTCTTATAATGTAAATTATTATTGCTCTCCACATTTTTTACTCCTGATACAGCTCTCTTTGTTATAAGAGTTATTCCCCTTTAAATCCCATTTTGGCTATAGATACCTAGAACTTTATACTGAGCTATCTCCCACCACTCATGAGACCCTAACAAAATGTTGTGTGTATGTTGATAAGGGGACCAACACAGTTTTGTGCATCAAATGTTGACTTGTTTATGTTTGCGATGAAAGTTAATAAACAGTTATAAAGAACATATGGAGTTCCTGTGTGAAACATCTACAGTGAAAATAAGGATATATTAAGGCCAGCCTGTTACAATATGTTCATCCTGAGTTTTTTCTGTCTTTCACATCGTGTTTTGTCTTCGGAAAACGAATTGGAACAGCTCAAACTCACAATCACTCAAATGCAGGAAAATCAAAAAATTCTTGAAGCTAAGATTGGAGACCAGGAGAAACGAATTAATTTTCTAGAAAACAGGGTAGAGAAATGTCAATGTCAAAGAGACCACTCGGCAGATGAATACTCTGACGGTTCCGGAAGTATAAACAACGACATATCAAAAGACAATCAAAAAAGCAGCAGCTCAGATGAATTAACTGTGCTGAAAGCTGTGTCACGATCAGTAAAATCTGCATCTAAAAGATTTTGGGGAAGATTATCAGGTGGGCACATATATATATTTATTAGTAACTTTTTTATTTAGTTACACAGTCAGTTAGGGACCTTATATGGAGTCAAACAGGGAGTGAAAAGCAAATCCAATGTGGCGAGACGAAGCCGAAAGAAACAATATAAAATATCATAACAAGTAACAAGAAATTTAATTACCTACGCAAACCGTTTCTTAGAAGTCAATAAAGCTGAACACGATTCGTAATAAGAATCTGTCCACCATATTTGTTAGATTTCTCGCTATATTTGCAGGCCCCTTGAAAAAGATCCGGTCACATAGTCACTGTTCAGTGTAATTAAGTGTCAGGGGTGTACATGGACGTTCGCTATACAGCACTCGATAGCGACAAAAATTAACTCTGTATACTTCTTCCAATGCAGGAAAGTAAGATACCAAAGACACTAACAAGATTTGCAGGTCAGTGCAGTATACAAACACAATTATGCCTAACTCCAATAAAATGTCAACAAAAGTAATGCAAGATAACCAGCACGAGCACGTGTCGCCATTCCACGCCTATACCCGTGATAAGCAGTCAGGTGTAACGAATGCAAAGAGTATACCCTGGTGCTGATGTATCGTAGATAATTATATCGAAAATGGCGTATGCCTATTTACGAGTCATGTTCAGCTTTGATGACGGGTACAGTAGCATAGTGGTAGAGCGTTCGCTTCGTGATCGGAAGGCCCGGGCGCGGCGCCGTGTCATACCTAAGAGGTACACATAAGTAGTGACTGTTCATTCGCCAAGTGCTCGGCATTAGAAGTGAAAGTCACGGACCTTTCGGATATGACCTTAAAAACGAAGGTCCCATGTCAAGGTAGGCATTAGCACGATAAAGAACCTTCACTGCTCAAAGGCCATGAGTTCCGAGTAGGTCTAATTTGACGCCCTTCACTAGCATACGGTGACGTCTCTATATGAGTAAAAAATTCTCGAATGGGACGTTGCACAATATACAATTAATCGATCAATCGAACGGAATCGCGTGCCCGGTTTTCATATAACTCTTTGACGGCGATATAATTTACGGTAAAATTCATAGCGTCATTAGTTTTATTTTTTTCCAATCAGTAATCTACAAATCTGTCTGAAGCGGGATAAATGTATTTTAAATATATCATGTGATTTTAGTTTTTTTTATCTGTCAATAAAATTGAGAGCTCATTAAAATTTAACTTCAGAGATATAATCTTTGACCAGCTCATAAAGTAGTGACAACAAAAGAGAAACAAAACATACAGCATTTTATTTCTTATTCTCTCTTCCAGGGACAGGTGATAATATTGCGTTTTTCGCCAGGCTGACTCATATGGAAACCGAACCTAGCACTAATCACATATTCGTGTTCGATGCGGCACCAACTACTATCGGATATCATTAAAACAGGTACTCTGGTATGTTCACTGCCCCACGTCACGGCACCTATGCCTTCACCTGGACCATGTTCTGTAGTAAAGATTCCCATATCAGCTCGCAACTCATTAAAAACGCTGAATATATTGATGCCACTCTTTGTAATTCAGAAGGGGCAACTTATATAAGGTCTACCACTGGGGTGTCTGTTTTAGTACTTAACCAAGGTGATGTGGTGTTTATCCGCACGCATCCAGATAGTGCCCACAGAGGTAATATCGAAAGCAGCTCCTATCACCTGTCAACATTCAGTGGATGGCTTCTATAAAAAAGATTGTTCATACCTGAATATTTTTTGCAATACAAATGTACTTAGTATTCTATGAAGTTCTTGTTTCTTTTTAAGATACAGCAGTTATGCAATGACTTCCTCTGTAAATACTTACGACAGATAAATATTTGATATTTGAAAAGTATTATTTTATTCTTATTTCGTTATTCATTTGCAAAAAGAACTTTTTTCACATCATTAAATCATTAATGATACATTTCAATGAAAAGGTCTTTATTGATTAACACCGACTTGATGCAAATGAACGCATAAATATATCCTATGCATTCACGGATATTCTCGGGGTTTTTTTACTGAGAGATATCGCTCAAATTTTGCATTTTCATTTTTTTTTTACAAAAAAGTAACTGATAGCATGTACTTACTAGTAATTATTAAACATATTTCACTAGATCAACCTTCCTATGGTGATTATGAAGATCTTTCTTAATTATCATTAATTTAATTCAAGATCTAAAATCACAAGTGTACTAGCGTTTATTGATTTTTAAAGTTAATGTCGAATTTCAAAGTCAACAATTGGAGTCATTTATTACAGAAACACTGTTTAAATGTATTCTTGTTCTGCTTTATGTGTTTTAAAATCAGAAAAACACTCCTTTAATTATTTTTTTTTAATCTAACAATAAAGAACCCGAGCCAAAAACACTTTCTACATTTCTACAATTCGAGTTCATTTGTAACCGGAATGCAATCAGGGATGTAAAACACAAAAAGGTATTTAAGAGCTGTAACCAACAGTATATTCTTTGCTTCAAACCTACAGTGTATGTGCTCTGTTCCTCAGCACTATCTGGGAAATTTTCCATCGTAATAACTTTTCTTCATATACCTTATTTCCTTTTTACCAGTCCATGGTCTTAGACAATTCCATATTTTTCTATGGTGAAGTAGTGGCAAGGACTGCTCCGTCATACTATAGTAACTTAACTAACTAAACAGAACTTCAAAATTTCGCATCACCTGTCGAACAATCATAAATGATTGTGCAACAGATTATAAACAAATACTTCCATAAAAAAAAGTTTAAAAGTTTTCTTCCTTCTTAAAGTGTTCCAGCAGATGATGACATTGCATACTTGGCAAACCGATAGATATAAGAACACAGCAGGAACATTAATAGGGTATACAGGATAGTGTTGAAGAAAATAGTTTGTCTATGAGTCAATTGATTGAGCTATATATTCCACATAACAAAAAAGAAATAGAAACATAAGAGTCCTTCGAGGTAACATAGAAACCCAAAGAGATTCTGTTACTACACCAAATGCAATTAATTTTGCCACAATAGTCTTCTGGAGAGGGGAATTCAAATTTGCTGAAATGAAGCGAAGAAAAGAAAAAGAAAAAGTAAAAATAAAGTGAAAAATTTGATAAAATATTCTATAAACCACTGGGTCAGATATAAAGGAATTTGCGTGATAATCAAAAAGTCTTGAAGATGACGATATTTTCCCCCTTATTTAAAGTGTACAATTTCGGTGCCTTGGAGAATTTTGTTTCTATTTATTATATTGTTTTGTATACAGTATTACTAAGTTGGCTACATTTCTTTTTTTCTTTTTATACTATCTTAGCATGCAAAAATGAAGTTTTTAAGAAACATATACTAGTTCAAAAGTTCATTGCAATAATACATATCGGTAGCAGACACACAGGGGCTTCTAAAAACATTATAGAGTCGCGTGGCACATTGGTTAGAGCTTCAGCTTTAGAGACTCGAAGAAAGGAGTTGATCCTTAAGTGTCGAGTTCAAATATAGCTGCGGAACTTCACACCGGTTCTGGGTTGAGACCGAATACATCAAGGCCTTGTGTCACAGTAGGTATATTGATACGAAAAAGATACCTTACTGCTCGAGTATTGAGTTCAAGTCTAAGTTGCAGTTCTCCATCAGCAAGTGAGCTATAAATTCTCAAACGAAAACAAACGAACGATCATAGGGAGGATCAGGTGCCATGAAGGAGCAAGCATCCAATTAAAAACATTCATGTGCTTGTAATCATTCGGCAAACTGAAAAACTTTAAACTTGAGACAAAATTCTGAAGAATTTCCTCCATAGCATGATAGTAATAACCAAAACAAGGAAAGAAAATTAAACATATTGCAAAATAAAAAGACATTTCATCTTTCTATAAAATGCATTTGTCTCTCTTTGATTTCCTAACTCATATGTTTCACTGGGTCTGAATGAATTTAGTAGTGTCTAAATGTATACCTTTAATAGTCTATTTCTTTTTACCATGATAAGAGAGAGAGAGAGAGAGAGAGAGAGTGAACAGATGAAACATAATACATACATGTACTAAAAATGAAGGGAAATATTATTGTGGAATTTACAGATTTTCCAAATACCATTAAACAACACATTTTGACTCACTGTAGAACTACAAGCTGATAAGACTAGTTCTCTTGTACAATGTGCTTATAAATGTATAATTATGTAACTGGCCTTTATAATAGTGAGATTAGGAACTATCATACAGTACAGTTATGGTGTCTGTGCAGTTTTTCGCGTTTCTTCTGTGTGCCTTCTATCTGACAAACCACACAATGGCTTCGGAGAGACGGTTGGAACAGCTAGCACTCGCACTCTTCAAAATGCAAGAGAATCAAAGAGTCTTGGAGACTACGATTAGCGACCAGGATAAACGTATTAAGAACCTGGAAGACAGTGTGGAAAAATGTATGAATGGAAGAAGCCATACTCCGGAGGAAGATAGAGACGCTTCCTCTAATTCAGACTTCGATCCGCCAAGATATAAACCAAACAACAGCGTCTTGTATGAAGAGATAGTGGATCAAGCTAAGCAACAGGTTTCAAAATCTGCAGATGCTGGACTTCAGAGACGTCTTTCTGGTAAGGACGTGTAAATATAAGACATCCTAGAAGTAACATTTTATAGATGCTCACATTTCCACCATTCGTAGTCATTTCTTTTAATTTTCTTGTCATTTCCTCCAACATCATTAGCAATTCAATATAATTAGATAGGAAAAAATTTCGGAAGATCTGTTTAAAAAATACATTTATCAGCGAACAACATTCTCAAAAGCAATTAATTCTTTCACATCAAACGTCCTTTTTTTAATAACATAAGCATAAACTGTCTTGTCTTTTTAAAGGAAAAATACATTTATCCCCTTTATAATGCCAAAGAAATAAAAATAAATAAAATTAAAAAGAATAAATCCTGACTTTTGCTAAATAGAACGTTAAATTGAATCAAAACCCTTCTGAAAGTAATGATTCAATTTGTATTTGGTACATGTAATTAACCCACCACTGCTGAAAGCTTAATCTCATGAAATCTGAGAAGAAAGACAAAAAATCTTTTCTACTGATTGCAACACTATTTTTGTTTCATGTAATTTTTGTTCTTCTTTCAAACAATTTTGTCTTATTTTAGATTTAACTAGTGGAAACAGTTTTGTTGAAAAAATAAATATTTCCCTTGAATTTGTTTGACTTTCAAATATGCCAATTTGCAAAGAGGGTGAAAGGAACCGGGGAAAATAAATACAACGTGAGCATAACTTATATCTGTTGTAACTATGTTTTGGCTTTTTTGTGTCATTCCAATTTACATTTTCCAATACATTGTAGGGACGAATGGATATGTTGCGTTTTTCGCGCGTATGACCCACCATGAGTACAAACCTGGCAGTCTCCACATCTATGTGTTTGATTCAGCAACAACAAATATTGGCGGCCATTACAACGTCTTCTAGGGCATGTTCACGGCTCCCCATCGTGGCACATACGTCTTTACCTGGACGATGTACTGTTCAACAAATGCTCATATTATGACACAGCTTATAGTTAACGGTAATCTTGTCGACGCCACTATGTGTGATACCAATGGAGCGGGATATTTCCGATCAGCAACCGGTCTGAGTGTTGTGGAAGCTAGTCAAGGCGATGTCATCTTCGTCCGTAATCACCCAACGACGACGCACGCTGGCGACATTATCAGTAACGAGAATCACATGTCAACATTCAGTGGCTGGTCTCTGTAAAAAAAAAATAATTATATTTTGTTCATTAGATTAAACATGCTATGCATACACCAGTATTTTCCTAATTCGAAAACTTGCCAATTATTTTGATTTACTTTATTACTTGTTTGGAAAAAACTGTTACGACAAAGGTATTCAGTAGGTCAATGTTAAACAAAAAACGAAGTAAATTTTGGTTGTTGATCTGCTCATAAACAATAGTTTGTTTGTTGTTTAACATCCCTCCCGAGAACTTGTCAATAATATGGAGACACCACCGTTTGCCTGTAGAGAGCTGCAAATTTTGACCTATGTTCGGCAATCAGGGCCAGTTAAGGAGCAAACACGCCACCTATGAAGGACCGATCTCCATGCCCCACAGTGGGATTCGAACATAAGGATTAACTCCTTACTCTGCGACTGTAGAGTAGACCTTCCCACCACTAGGCCACATGGGCGAGTATTTAATATATCGTTGAAGGTCCTTTTCTCTGTTGAAAATCTTAGTATCCTTTTTTAATGATATGTCACATTGAATCGCTTTGTTTTCTAATGATGGAATAATTTTTCTGTTACAGTTATGATAATGCAAAGCTGAGCAAAAACGGACCTCCAAAAAGCATCAGGTGCCACGGAGGAGTGAGCATCTCCTGCCGACCGGTCACACCCGCCGTGTGCTCCTTGTCGTGGTCGGGAAATAACAGAAAAAGATGTCGTCAATTCAGTGTATAAATAATGGACTAACAATAAGTTAGTAAGAAAAGCGTCGATCAGAATTTGACTCAGTGATAAATTGTATTTGCTGACATAGTCAATGTATTGACTATAGAACTACGAAATTATGACTTTAAACAAGATTGCTTACTTAGTATATTCTTCTTTCGTCAACTTGTTTGTCAATATAAGTAATTTACCTCGTTTTAGATATTTTTATATGTAGAGCATGCTCTTGCATATCGATTCAACTGAGATATATAAATTCCATATACAGGTGATGAAGGTATATTGCTGCATAAGTAAGGAAAGCTGACGATTGTAAAGTTAAAATCATCACGTTTATAACGGAGCTTGGTTGTTCGATTACCATTAACGTCTTTTTCAATTAAAATATCCAAATATGGAACAGATGTATCAGACTTTAAGGTATCTTTTATTTCAAGCTCACCGTGATATATCGTATCAACTTAAGAATGGAAATTACCATTGTTAATTGTCAATACGTCGTCGATATATCTGAATGTCGAGTTGAAGGCCACAGCTAGTGTTTTCGTCTTTTCAACATAATATCATGGACAAATTTTGCTTCATATGAATGCAAAAATATATGTCTACTAAAAACGGGGCGCAATTGGTACAAATAGGATTCTAATAGATTTTTGGAAGACCTGGTCTCCAAAAACCACATAGATATTGTCAATCAGAAACTCAACCATCTTTTTATGTCAACGTACATGTGTGTATAATCAGAGTGTTTTTTAACAAAATAATTTTGCAGATAACCAATGACAAGGTAAATAAATAAACGATTTCCATTTCATTGAAAAACAGTTGTCAGATATCAAAAAGCATGGGCTTAGATTTATTGCGGGGAATGGTTGTGTGTAAAGTTGAAAAGTTGTAGCTTTCAAGCTGTTGATTTTGGCAAAATCTTGTGATTTCAAATTGTTCATGACAAAAGATCTTTGTAATTTTCAAGTATCCACGTCTTATTTACAATACTTCTTGAATATATTGTTGCAGAGTACTCTTGAAGTTTTTCCTTCACTACTGTTAATATCTTAGTGAGGAGTAAAGAAGGAGGCTTGGTTGAACATTTACTGGAACTCACAATGTATCTTTGGTTGTAAGGATTTATGAAGTTTCAGAATCCAATATTTTTTTGGTAGTTCAAATTCATTTTGATTCTAAAAATATTCAAAACTGACATATGATTTTGAAGAAGTTCTTCCTTAGAAAGGGAACTATGAGTATAGGTTGGATTACCACTAGTAGAATTAAATCCAAGTTCTTCTAAAACACAATTTATACAATGAGCCTAACAAACAAAGACAATGCTGTCATCTGCTTTGTCAGCAGGGACCAATACTTACTGATCACGTAATCTATCTAATTCTTTTTTCACTTCTGGATTATTGAATATACAAGGATAGATGTTTTTCAAATTGCCCCTCAGTCTTTTAATACGAGATTTTAACATGGATTCGATACATTTAATCCATTCTGGCAAAATCTCAAGGGCTTCTTTTTCATATCTGACCCATCGTCTGCGTAATTTTCAACGAAATCCATAATATTTATGAAATTCCCACCCCAGTTGAAGGGTCAGGGTTCCCAATATTTAGGACCTTTTAAAATAAGTTATCTAAGGTCCTCATTATTTACTATACTTACTTCATCTGTAATAACGTGTCCAGCAGGACTATAGTTATACGAGGAAGAACATGAACACGATTGAGGACTACGTTATGTTTCAGATACTCAATATCCAGGCCATGACCATGTAATGTTTTTGTAATTGAAAAGTTTGGAAGCAATAATCGATGCATATTTGTAGGAAATGCAAATTGTCGTCTTTAACTTGAAATATGGTGGAATACAAGACTGGACCCTTTTGTGATTACGAATATTACTTATATTAATATTAACCGCATCAATGCCTTTTTTGGCATATTGAAGCTTAAGGAAAAGACGGATTGTTTTAGCTGCATTTTCTTTAGTAAAACATGGAAGTTTAAAAAGCCTATGATTTGTAATATCCATAATCACAGATCCGAGCATATACTCTGGTGTCGATGTATCAAAAAATGGGCTTTCTTTCACCTTTTCAAGAAGACAATTTAAAAGTTTCAAAGATACTGAGTAATGTTTGGTGCGAATATGATATAGAGTAACCTAATTATTGATTAAAGGTTTAATATTTACATTTCTACTTTTCTTTATGAAATCCATTAGAAATCCACGACGTTCTCTATAACACACGCGAAATCTTGTCACCGCGAGTTAGAATACACAGTAGGAACTATAAGCATTTTAAATACTCTAGAATATCAAAATGTACATTATTTTGACTGAATTTAATTCAAAAACTATTTACCTGCTAAATTAACATAAAAATAAAACAATTGTGCGTTTATAATTAATTTGTCACTTTTTCCCCTCGCAATGTTCGTTTGCGTTATTTAACTTTCAATTGCAACATCACAAACGTTAAAAACGGCTGTTACGTCTATAAAGCACACCAATTTTTCAGGGCGCTAAATTCATATTAAAGATTACCGAAATAAACAATTATGAAGAAGAAAAATTAGAGAATGTAAATACACTGTATAAGCATTGAATTCATATTTTGGGATTTGTCGGCACGGCCAGGTTTGTTATTGGACCGAAGATATCCCAGAACATGAAATCAATGCTTAATTGTAAGACCGATGCCCATGACTTATTGACTATGTTTACGTCTCTATGTAGGGTTAAAAAGTCCCATTACATTTACATTGTTACACCGTGGACTGCAAAGATTTCCAAAACTATCGACGTTGTCATTACATCCATAGGGAAAGGCTGTCCTTAGTTTTATAATCAAAAATTCTTTTAAGTAGCCCAACTCCAAACCTACTCAAGCAATAGTAGGCTACATGAAATATGGAAACAGTCGGAATCAACTACATAAACTCACTATTTTTTTCCTCTAAGGACTATGTTCTAATTGCAGGTGGATCCTTCTGGTCAGAATTGGATTTCATGCAGTTATGGCAACCTTTAGTAGCGATAACTTACAGAGTTTGATTTCTCTTTGCTGCGATTCATTCCACATAAAATTCAATGAAATCAAAGCCAAATGTTTTTGAAAAGGTATTTGAACAATATTGAACTAAAAACAATAAAAATGTTTTATTCATACTTAAAAACATTGTTTATTTAATAACAAACATGTCATAGTGATCAAAATCACAAATTACTTCTTAAATGTGTAGAAATAGCTTGCAAATGGTTTATTTACAACAACTACATATATCTTAAGCAATATCATTAAATACATGTAAAAATACTGAATAGTTTTATCTCAAACAATTGTTCTAGTTCAACTGTGTACACATTTTACTCAAAACAGATATCTAAATGGCAACTTAGAATTTATTGCTTTACTTCATTTTGACTGTAGGATACCAAATAAAACGAACTTATTCATTTTATTGAAAATTTTAACATATCACTAAGAAACCCATCACAGGTAAAAATTCTCATTTCTATTGTACCTCAATTTGATATAATTTTTGTTATAATATCATTGAATTTATTTGCTTTGAACATATTGGTGAAATCAGTAAAAAAAAAATTTAAAAAGCAAAATTTTAGAAAAAACAACATTAAGAATGAAATACATTCAAAATCTGAATACGTTGTTTGTAGAGTTTCTATATAGCTTATTCACAGAATAACAACAAAATTCAACAATCTAAATGGCAAAAAAACACACGTAAAACACTTCCACTTATTAACATTTGCACTTTCAATGTAATATTCATCTTAAACATGTTAAATTAAACCTACTATCATATTGTAAATTTTGAATTTACTGGGTGAAAGCAAATGCAACATTTACGATTTGACGATTTACGATTTGACACTCGGCAAAAGAATGACATGTTAACTCTTTAATGTAATGTACATGTAAAACTTATATATGCTGTAAGATTGGAAACCGCATTGTCATTTTCAAAACAGTTTAGTAGGAATCGTGCTGAGCATATATATGAAATATGGAAAGAACAATCCTTTAATAAAAGTTCGGAAATATATTGTAACATCGACTAAATAAACAACAGAGGCTATAATTTTTCCTTGAAGTTTTTGTGACTTAAGAAAATTTACAAATGAAATCTTCTCAAATATAAAAATATCACTTTTACAAAATGTGAACAGGTAAGAATAGTAATAAAAGAAAAACATTTGGGAATGTACAACTATAACAAGATTGTAATACTATGAATTAAATTCTTGAGAATTTTCGTCAGGATTTCTTTGTTGTTGCATTTGAGCTTCGAGACTCCGCCTCCATTCCTGTAACTAGATTTTGCCACATTTTATGAATAGAGTTTAATTTAGATATATGAAAGAACGCATACTTGTTCTTTGACTTGTTCCTTAATATATCGGCAACAATTTTGCCATTTAGCATATAAAGGTCATTCCAACGTTTTTGTTTTAGGTTGATTGCCTTTGCAAGGGCACCGGTGATGTAATAGTCGTCCACCCAAAAGAAGGGTGTGTAGAATGAGGCTTTATACATCTTTTCGACTACGTCCACGCTGAGTATAAAAGCTGAACCGGAACAGTACGGTGGGAAATATTCCGGTTCAAAGTCCGCTTTTGGAATATACCATTTACTTTTCTCGTCCCTGAGCACTTTCATTCGTACCCACTGATTACATAAAATGAGGTTCTTAGTTCCGTATTTGTTCACGGTTTTCAATTTTATTTCGTCAACAATTTTAAAAAGGTTTATCATAATATCATCGTCTGATTTTATTGCAAAAGTAGCATTCCGGCAGTAATGGGTTATCCACCGGAAGGCCGCTATTCCTTTGTACGTTAAATTTCTATAAGAGTCCATGAAATCTTCCTGCACAATATCTCCATAATGATTGTACTCCATCTTTATTTTCGTCATCACTTTCTCGTCTGCAACTTTGCCAAGAACAAAAACTAACCTAGCCTTGAATCTTTTCAGTAAATGTGGGTCACCCCACGTGTGTCGAATGGTTTGGCGTTTCCGAAAATTTGTCGGTGATGTATGAATATATGTAATGAAATAAACATCTTTCCCAACACACATATTGGCTGGGTTCAATATGTAGTTAAAATCGTGTGGATTTACGATAGGTGGCGCAGTCGTCATCAAACTTGAAAATGTCGCATTTGTGACACCATAGTTGGGCGTCCGATAAATTTCATTAGCTGCACGTGTTGACTGCTTTTCCAGAATGAACTGACCATCTAGATCACTAGGGATTCTTCTTTGCAAGAGCGTTCTTGAAGTTTTTTGTATTAGAAAAGAGTACATTAACACAATAAAAAGTAACAAGACGACCGTCCACTTGTACAGGAACGACGATCGGGGAAACATTGTTTTTATGTCACAGTGGCGTTATTTCACCATCTTTATTCCTTTACATCAACCGCATCTGTAAAACAGAACAGAAGATAGTTATAATTATAAATAAGACAAAGTAAATAAAAACTTTTTTATAATAAAACCACTATTATAGGTGATAAGGAAGACAACAAATCTTGGTAGAGTCAATGCCTCTGAATGCAATGACAGAAATGACGGAAATTACCAATATTTATAATACTATAAGCATTGAAATAATTTTTCTCTAGCATCCCCATCCTAAAATTACATATTTGTTTTATTTCATCAAAAATAATTCATACACCATGCTAAACCGTTATAATAATGTTTTAATAATGTGTTTGTGTTCACTGTATATTTCAAGATGAACAACTTCTTTATATGTACAATAATTATCCTTTTCTATGAGAAAAAAAAAAAAGGTTGAATGACCTCGATCGAGAATTTTATAGCCCAAGAAAGTAAGTGTTGTTACGAGTCTGTTACTTAAAGGTACATATATTTTATATTCGATTCATTTATGTGTTAAGATGTGTTGTTGACAACAACCGGTGTGGAAAAGTTTCAAGGTCGTCATGTTCCGAAGATTAAGAGTTAATTTCAAATCGAATTTGTGAAAGTTATGACGCAAAAACTCGTTCAAAAAGGAAGAACGTATATACCGGTACTGATCAATATTTCCCACCCTCCATTTTCCCTATCTGATAGTTCAATAAACATCAAAACAATCATACACTTCCTTGGTGTTGATCTTAACGTCCAAAAAACACGAAGAATCCGGAAATAAAGCTGTGAAAGATGATGAAGGAAGAGAAGCAATGTGTTCATATTCTAAGGATCTTTAAGACCTACTCAGAATTAAAGCAGTATAAAGATTCAAAGTCAATATTCGACCATCAGTGAAACCTTGTAGTGTTCAACATTATTGCCTTGTCAGCCATTCTTTAAAAACTGATATTTAAGTCTTCAGAAAAAATACAAAGCGCCTATTGTAAAACGTTAAGGCCCATTGACCCATTCAAATGATTATTCTTCCTTAAAAAATCACGTTTAAAGACATTTCATATCAAATTTTGTATTCCAATGTTGATTAAGATATACAAGCTAAAGAGTCCATAAAACAATACAAAATAGGAGCAGAGCAAACACAGACCTCCAAAACATCAGAGGTAGGATCAGGTGCCATGGAGGAGTGAGCATTCCTGCCGGCCGGTCAAATCTACTGTGTGCTCTTTGTCATGAACGGGAAAAAACAAAAATTCTGTCGCCAATACAGTGTGTAAATAATGGACTAACAATTAATATGAAAACGTCAGTCAGCATTTGACTCAATGATAAGTTGTATTTGCTGACAATTTCATTGTATCGACCATAGAACTTGCGAAATGATGACTTTAAACGAGACTGCCGATATTCTTGTTTCATCAACTTGTTTATAAATAATTTACCTCGTTTTGAAAATTGCACATACGTAGAGCATGCGTTTGCATATCGAATCAACTGAGAGATCTAAACTACACATGCAGGTGATGAAGGTATACATAATTGCTGCATAAGTAAGGGAAGTTAACGATTGAAGAGTTAAAGTCATCATGTTTAGATTCCCATTAACGTCTTTTTCAAGAAATACTAGTTTTCAAATATGAAACGTATGTGTCAGACTCTGTAGTATGTTTTATCTCAAACTCACTGGGATATATCGTATCGGCATAAGAATGGAACTAACCATTGTTAATTGACAATAGGTCGTCTATATATATATCTAAATGTCGAGTTGAAGGCAACAAGTGTTTTCTTCTTTTCACGTTTTAGATCTTGGACAAATTCTGCTTCATATGAATACAAAAATACATGTCTGATAATAACCGGGCGCAATTGGTACTCATGGGAATTCGAATAGATTGTTGGAAGACCTGGCCTCCAAAAACCACATAAATATTGTCAATCAGAAACTCAAGCATCTTTTTGATATCAACTTCAGAGTACTTGTGTGTACAATCAGAATGTTTTCAACAAAATAATTTTGAAATGAATAATGAGCAAGATAACACAAGCAAGAAAAGTTTCAATATAGTAACCAGAGAAGCAATCATTATGGTCCTGTCTTAAAAAAAAAACTTTTAAGTTCTTGTTGGTTTTGCTTCAACTCTTAAAGTAAATGACTGTGTAACATTCAAACTGCTAACTTACAGATAGTAGTATTGTAATATAATACAGTAAATCAAAAGTTACACGAGGGTTTGCCAAAAAAGCTCAACATCTAACTTTTACCGCACAATGGTAATAGTACAATTATTTACTGGTAGTCAAACAACAGAAAGTCTTTTTTCATAGAAATATATATATAGATATGCAATCTGGTCCTAACCATGCTAACTAGCTGAAAAAATTAAAACATCGAAAGTTAAGAGCATTGGGTTAAGAGGCGGTGAAAAAACATTTCCTGTTGTTTCAATTAATTGATATTTTATAAACGCAATGCCCATGCAAGGGCTGCACTGCTCACACGTGTCAAAAATTTGGAAAAACTGTTGAAAAGAAAAATCTTGCTCTTTGTAATTATGCTTTAGTTTCTTTGCTGAAATGCTAAATACATGTACTAGTATTCAAATAGTTTTTAGAGAAAAAAACTTCTATTCCTGAGGATTTATATGGAGAATTTCTGTCCACATATACAAATTATTTTTCTATCGATTCTGTGGACATCCTTTGACCAAGATTCACATGCAAGAAAAATGTAAACAGATAAGAATTTGGAATTGAAATATTAAAGAAACGATCAAATAGTACATTACAATGACGCATTCCCAAGATTGAATGTAATAAATTCAAACAGCTTTGATCTTTTTTTAATTAATAAATGTAAAAACTTAATTATACCCGTGATCTTTATACTGTATCCCGACACTTAGCATAATTACTCATAGTCTACATCCGCGAAAATTTATGGTCACACTGATTGTAATACATTGTAATTATATATCAAATCACAGTCGAGGCTTTTTTATCATCTTTAGAAATTACAGCTATTATTCTTATTATTATTATTTTTAAACATCAAAAGTCACAAATTTTGTCTATACACTGTTGATAACTTATCAAATGTTACAATCATGAACTTAGTGTCCACACACTTGTGTTAACTTATCAAACGTAGTTGCATGTTATGTCAGATTTGCGTGATTTACAAGGTCATTTTGCGCGCACGTTTTGTGAGAGCGCGCAGGCTAAAAGCTAAATGTATATATAATGGATATAATATAACTTTTCTATTTTGTGACGAAATGTTTTGATCAAATGTAAGGATATATTAGTAGTATGCACAAGATGACACGGTCAAAATTTGATGAAAGAGCTATCCTCATGCACAACGCTTCGTTTTATTGGCTGATATATAATTACAATTTTGGGTTTGATCTTTTTTTCTTTTGATAAAATCATTTGAAATTTTGAACATAGTCATACATTACTGAAGTCATTACATCCTGTAATATAAGATTTATCATGAAAGCATGTGCATGCACAAATGTGCTTGAAAAATTTCCGACGGTGGATAGCAAAAATGTCCAATATAATTGATACAGCGTGGACTATTTAAATTATTTTGAAATGCTTTGAAACTTTATATTATACAGTATATATTAGAAGTATAATAATTTGACATGGTCAAAAAAGTAAGATCTTTTGCGCGCATGAACGTGTGCTTGCTCTGATTGGCTGAAATTAAATTCTAATATCTTTCTTGTTTCGTCATAATCCTTTGAAATTTTGAACACAGACTCATATTATGAAAATCTACAGCAATTATATATAATCATTTTAATGAAAGCATGCGCATGCCTGCGTGCTGCAATCTGATTGGCTGAAACATTAAATGGCTATATCTCCTTTGTTTTTTGACGAAATGCTTTGAAATTTAAAACATAGTCATGCATTACATATCCTACAATATGATAAAGAAAAAAATATAAATCACACGCATGCACGTGTGCTGCAATCTGATTGGCTTAAACTTGAAATGGCTATAACTCCCTTTAAAACTTTTTCAACAAAGAGGATGGGATTTCTTTTATAAAAGTTTCATCTTTCGACTGCTACAAGAAGGTATGGTCATCATGCACGTGCAGTACACCTAGGTGGCCATTTGGATAGTGAAATGAAAAATACACTTGAAAGATTGATTTTTCAATTAACATTTTCACCAAATGAATATATTGTATATTAAAATTTGTCATAAGAAGTGTAGCAAGATGATTTTTTCATAACGCACATACATTTGCACATCATCAATCATGGGTGCAATGCAAAATTTGAGTATAATTTTCATAAGGAAAAATCTCTTTCTTCTTTCTCTGTCCAAACGGTGTTAAAGTTTAAAACGCACATAGTTTGTCTTATTTAATGAAGCTTACAGGGAATATGGCACCAAAAAGGAGTTATATTTAAGAAGTAAAATCAAATTTATTAGCACTAGTTATATATCAAAAAACATGTCAGTTTTTTTTTCATCTTTAGAAATTACAGCTAAATATTTTTTTTCCATACACAAATAGTAATAAACATCAAAAGTCACAATCATGATCTAAGTGTCTATACACTGATTGTAATAACTTATCAAATGTTACAATCATGAACTCAGTGTCCACACACGGATTGTGTTAACTTATCAAACGTTGTTGATCAATTGTAGTCCTCACAGTACTCGTGATTTACATAGTTGTCAGAGTCTATACCTCCCCCATATTTTGTGAGTTTATCTCGGTAGGCTATTTAGCTATATGTATATTGGGAATCCTCCTGAATAATATACACTTATCCAATGGTTGTGAGTAGGATAGCTCTTTTATCAAACCCGTGACAGGGAACTATTGCCCGAGGGCTTGAATAGTCCCTGTCAAGGATTTGATGAAAGAGCTATCCCACTCACAACCAGTGGATAAATGTTTTATTATACTGATATATAATTACAATTTTGGGTTTGATTTTTTTTTTTTTGAGTAAGATAATACTACAAGAATAATCTGACATCATGATGACGTCTCAATGCTACTGAAGTCATTATGACATCATCAGTCAATAGATTTATTGCTGGAATCAAAATTGGTGGCAAAAATTGCATGAAAAATTTCCGAGGGTGGATAGCAAAAATTATTATACTTCTATAGCTTTGCTATGCTTGGACTATCAAAAATAGCTATTTTACCTTCTTAACTTTATATTGGAAACATTCTAATAGAAGTATAATAATTTTTGCTATCCACCCTCGGAAAATTTTCATGCAATTTTTGCCGTCAATTTTGATTGCTAGCGATAAATCTTTAAACTGATGATGTCATAATGACTTCAGTAGCATTATGACGTCATCAGGGTTTCAGATTATTCTTGCAATATTATCTTACTTCAAAAAAATACGAACCTCAGAAATTATATTATACATCAGTATAATAAAACGCTTATCCACTGGTTGTGAGTGGGACAGCTCTTTTATCAAACCCTTGACAGGGACTATTCCCCTCGGGCAATAGTTCCCTGTCGCGGGTTTGATAAAAGAGCTATCCCACTCACAACCAGTGGATAAGTGTATAATATACAATGCTCTTGAATGCTGTTTATCACGTCCGGCTTAAAATATGGCAATTGCAACTAATCTGACTTTAAAACTTTATTCAAATACAAAGTAGTTACTACATTTCTTTTTTAAAAGTTTCATCTTTCGACTTTTATTGGGGACACCTACGTTGAAGTACACCTAGGTGGCCATCTATCGATAGTTTCCTTTCCGTTCAGCATTACTCCTTACAATTAACATTTTCATCCAAATTCAGAAAAAAAATCTATATCTTCAGTTTGTCATAAGAAGTGTAGCTAGAGATGATTTTTTTATAATGGGTATACCAATTTGCACATCATCAATCCATGGGTGATTCCACAAATTTGAGACAATTTTCATAAGTGAAGAAGATGATATGGCTCTTTCTTCTTTCTCTGTCCAACATGGTTCAATGAGCTTTATAATACATATGCTCTTTTATTTCAAAGTTAGCCGCGAGTAAAAGTAAACAGATTAAATTATATTTAAGAAGTAAAATCAAATTTATTATGCTTTGGTCATGACCGCAACTATCAAAAAACATGCAGTTTATATTTTTCTACATATTTAAAAGAAATATTTTTTTACCAATGAAAAGAAAATTAATACTCTGTAATAATAGTAGTTAGAAGTTGTAGAATTTTAGAATACGTTTCTATTCTGTGGAGGGCCAAATGAAGGGCCAAATTATGCTCCAGATGTAAAAACTATGCTGTTTGTGTATTGACAAAATCAATTTTTTTTGTTGTTAAAAACCACTATTAATACGTTTTAGGAAGTAACAGGCATAAAATAAAGTAAAATTATATCATTAAGGCTTATTTTTTTTACTTATAATTAATAGCATGTAATTTTATTTGCGCGAAAGACTGGTGCTGTGGTCATGACTAAAATTTTCGGTCATGACATCAATTTTTTGGTCATGACATTGCTTTGAAATACATAGAAGAAATGTCAATGAATAACTCTAAAATAACAAAACCCAAACACCAATAAAAATAAAAATAAAAACAATGTAACATTGAATAAAATAAAAGCTCTAACTCTGCATGCTTTTTGTCTGTCAAGTCCAACTCTTTACGAAACACTAAAAAAAGTCAATTGTTTTATGCTTTATTAAATAAAAATCAATTATAATGTTAATAGTTTAAAATATTTAATGATATATGTTGTCATTATAGCAGAATTAATAAATGATAAAAAGTTTGAGTTGAAAATAGTAACTATTGTCATGACCACAACATATTAAGTTGCGGTAAATGACAGTTTTGGTCATGACATAAATTGAGTTATTACCTGATCAGCTCGCCATACATATTATATGGATGGTACAATGATGTACATAACATTGCAGAAACACTAAATAAAGCCGTTTGGTACAAGTTTACTATGTGAAATATTTGTATTGTCGTGTTTTAGAGCATTCGGTCATGATTTACCATAAAGGAACTAATAAAAAAAGATACATACAACAGGATTTTTCTTCTAAACCTTTTGACCTACACTGTTCCTTTCCTGCCATCAAAACTTTTGGTAGTTTATAAGCCTTCTTTTATGGAGAATAATAATTCAAAGGGCAGTAACTCTATTTTAAATAGCAGATTGTACAATCGTTTCGGTCATGACGAACTATTAACACAAAAATATACAACAGAATTTTAGTGGTATGATCGATAAAGCTATAATGAATAAAAAAGAAACATATTTGGGAGGAATTTATTAGAGTAAATAGGACAAATAAAACTGTAAAACAAAAACTAGACGTGTCCAAAAAAAACTACAAAAAGTGGAAAGTCTATCATAGGGACACTGATATACGTCATTGATACATGATACAGTGACATTATTTTTCATTATTAAAATTAAACTTTAACATTTTTGCATATCACTACAAAAAAGAATATCTTTTTATTTAATATTTAGAACAAAATCATGGAAATTTTTTTTATATTTAACAGGAATATTAGAAGTTTTTTTTTTTTGAGTGACAAAAATTGTCTCAAATTTGTGGAATCACCCCCATATGTATTGCATCTTTTATGGGGAAAGGGGGGGGGTGAATAGATAGTAACAAATACGGATTATATTTCTAAGCTTTGGGTCATTCATCATCCATTTTTCAGTTGTTGGGACCGAATGGAAGTCCTCAGGTTACCGTAAGCACACCTGTCTCGGTTAAAGAGTACACGCCTAAAATATCGGTCGTAAAGGTGTCATATTAGTATTATCTAAAAGTAAACACTATTATATTGCACAATCTGGAAACGATAAGTAAAAAGTGTTGATTTAGGCCGTCATAATATTCTCTAAGCGATGAAATTTTGGAATATCAGTGCAAGACCCTAAATATAACGGGAGATGCATTTTTCTGGGTGGGAGTGTAGGGTCTTCCCTAATGCTCAAGGTACATGTAGCTTAAGTTATATAACTGAATACAGACAACCACCACACAATATAAACTCAAGACACACCCATTAGACGTACCCCAGTCCACCCGGAAAAAATTAAAATATCAAATTCAAAGCGAAACTATTTACAAGCTATAAATAGTCTGTCCCTCAGACATCCTTCCCTGTTTGAAAACCATTACCTTTCTCTGTTTGACTCTTCTACACTCGATGCAAATCGTTGGACGTACGTGACTGAGCATGAAACTGGGTTATGGTTATGGTTAACTGAGGTTATCACTGGCGGATTTAGAAGGGGGGGGGGCACCCCACCCCCCTTTGTGTCTACAACGCACATAAGATTTAACAAATCAACTTTTTTGTGTGACTGTGGGCCCCTACTCCCTACCCCGACAACCCCCTTTTTTTTCAAGATTCCTGGATTCGCCACTGGTTACATCATGCGGTAAGAAAAGGAAAATGTTCAGGGTTTGGAAAATGTAACGTGAAAATCAAGCTTATACATCAATATACCATAATTACATCGATTTCAGCAGGTTTTAGCCGGCTTTTTTAACCCCCCTCCCCCGCTTCTTCTCCAGACTTAAGCTGAGAGTCCCTTCACCGACTGTGACACTGCCACATTCTCAGACGTATTCAATTTAATAACAAACTTGGGCTGAAATCAAGTTCAATCCATTCGAATAGAACACTCTAGCAAAGTATATCTAGAACATGAATGATATAGCCTTACTTTAACAATGAATATAGTGTTCTCTATGTACAACTTTCTGTTAAATAAATACATGTATACAGACATTGTTTAGGTTTGTCTTACCGGTAGAGCTAAGTACACACAGCCATGTATCTCTAACCGAAAGCATATTCATTCAGAAGTGGAACACTTTTTTCCTCCTTGAAGAAACAATGCAGACACTATCAAACAAGCAATCTTGTTAATTAGAAACAACAGTATAAAAGGCGACCCGCCTACTAAACCAGATCACAATATGTGCAAGTCTCAAGTTTCTTAATGCCGGTTGTTCACCAGTTATAGTAGGTGTATATAATTTATATACATGTGTCTTATATAAAGGCTCTTTTTTTAATTGTCAAATCGTTCATGTACATGCGTATATTTAATCTTAGGAATCAACTGGGTTGATCGACTCAGTATTAACGTCTCAAAAGTTGAATGAATTTATAGATAAATACGCAAGCCAAATCATTCAAGTATCGATTTTTCTGAAATACTTTCAAGTATTCGATATTATAGTGATTGAATTGTGTACACCGTTATTTCACAATATTTAGTTATTACCTTTCAGAGAAGAAATTCTTTTAGATCCATCCTTTGTGATAACAGATTTCGATACGTACAGAATCTGTTTTTAAAATAATAATCCGATCACGACTCATGTACACAGATCGATAGATATTTCCCCATTATTTTCACTTTTAGTTCCCTGTGTTAAACACGTTTCCTCCTCTCTTCAAAATATTTCCGGCATGTGTGTATAGAGTGGTGTTAAATAGGAACCCCGAACAGCCAGTATTGTATGCAGTCTTCGTACACAAATTTAAAGGCCATTTAAATACAAATGCATTGTGATACAACTTCCAAAGGAACGGGAGACGCAGAAAGGTCAAAAGTCGATGTGTAGTAAAAAGAAAAAATAAAAGGGGGCGTGTTCTAAAGATAGCGCTGGCAATATGTGACTAAATGCATCCCATCTTATTCAAACAAAGGCTTATAGAGCGTTATCTTACTTCCGATAGTGTTTAAACTTAATTACGCACAAAAGCTGGTCTTTTTTTCTCCTGTCCTTGTAATAATACCAACTCGGATTTACATGTAAGATTAATATGTCATTAATATTTATGAAGATCAGCGGTACACTATGATCGAATTGGTTGGTATCTAGGATATAAAGGGTATAAAAGTTACATCATAGTTTAACAAGCAAGGAATATATGTTGCGATGTAGTGTACAATCTCTTGTCTACTTCATGTCTAAGAGCGGGGTTTATCCTTGAAATCAATGTGCGACATGCATTTATACAGTATTCGTCAAAAGGCACGGATCTGGGAATTTATTTTAGGGGGGTCCACCCCTAGTGGAAAAAAATCCAAACCCAGAAATTTCCTGATAAGCAAAAGAGAAAAAAAAACGTAATCTCCTATCCAAAGTCCCCCCTCCCCCTCTAGATCCGCGCATGATTAATTTAATCTTCATTAAGTGAACTACAACACTGTCCGAAAACTAGTCATTTCTTGCACGTGGTGTTTCCTTTTTTGGAAAAGGGAAAAAAAAGAGAGGGTGACACTCATTCAAGTTAATTTCACAGTGACTGAAGTATTCTCCAAACATTTCAAGGCGTAATATAGATATAAGCGGAATGTACTCAAACAGGATCTTTTTAATTCTCGTTTATCAGTCTACACCGAACTAAGATTCTCCAAACAGGAGGGACTTTATCTATCATGGTCCGGAAGAGGCCCTAACATGTGCAGATGACACGTTGCGCAATCGGGTTAATCTCATAAATGCAGTTCACTGTTTGACGTAAAACATAACTCTCTCTCTCTCTCTCTCTCTCTCTCTCTCTCTCAACCATCAGCTCTCCAATCCATGACTTGAATCTCTAAATAAGTTCCAGACTCGTGTCATGGAAATCATCAATGCTTATGTATTGTCATGGTAATGCTGATTCAGCAACATTCTCAACGAATTAAACTTCCTTTTTTCATACTCAGCAGCAAACATGGAACCGATATTTATAATCTCTGAGAGTTAATCTATATGTTTTATTGTAAAATCACAAAAATATCTTATGAAATGTATACACAGTGGTTTCACGTATATATATAAACCTGTGGTCTTCAAAAACATGTGTCGGATAAAATGCAAAATTTTTAACCACAGCGTCCTTCCCCCTCTCCTCCTTTTAATGGAATTGAAATTGAGTATGTAACCCCCCCCCCTCCCGTAATTTTTTATCTTCCACTCCATTACACGAAAAAGCAAATTGAAGAGATATTCATTTTTTCCGTTTGCGAAAAATTGTTTACTTTTATTTATTCAGTTTAACATGGTTAAAATTATTTTGTCCAGGAATGTTAAATAAGTAAACTAATCAGGTGAGTGCTATGGCCCATGGGCCTATGGGCAGATTATTTGCTCTCTGTCATATCACATCTTAAGGATCAAAAGTGAATACAGTTGTATTTTTGTGCATTTAAACAATGATGTTTAATGTATACATCAGAGCTGAATTTGATACACATTTCCTGATGTAACGTTAAGATGTACAGTTTCCATTAACACGGCGATCTGACCTAAAACTTGTTTTTTTAAGTTTTACCTGTAAAAACCTTAAATTGACTTCTCCTCTTTTATGTGTGTATTTACGTTGAATCATTCACCTGATGGGAGGGTTCCGAGACAGATAATATTGTTTTAAGTTGATTTAACAAACGGGAGATACCATTACAGGAGAGGGATTCTATATAGAGATAGGTTACATTCCTGTGTTAATAGACACTTTTTCAAATTCTGAGCAAATAGAGTAGAAAATTTAGAGACAGAAATTTTGAAATGGTTTTTACGAGAGAAACTTTCACTTTATACAAGTTCTACCATCGAAATAACCACTCCCTTGCTGTCATGTTCAAATTCTTAAATATTTATGGTTGTTTTGATGACTTTCAGGTCTAGTAAGTTGTCGATATTACGAGCATTTCATTTAGAACCAGTTTAAAATATAATTGTCAATATAATGTGCATGGCATATTTAGTTTATTAGTATATGAGACTGCAATATATATGATCATAACCATGACCAGCTACTTGCTAACTTAAAGCTTCAATGATCGACTTCTTACCTGGTAACAATACATGTACATCACTTTTTTAGTAACTGGTTTGACTTGTCTAAATTACTATGATTTGATCTGAAGGTCCTGGAACATATACTTTTGGTCTATCGGTCCGTATGACTTGTCTGTTTAGCTGTTTGTCTGTTCGTCTGTCTAGTTGTTAGTCCACAAAATATTTAACCTTCCTCAATAAATTTTGATTAGTTGGAGTTACATGCATAATTCACATATTATGTATTCCTTGTGACGAGATCAACATGTCTGACCTCTTGACCTTGACGTTTGACCAACTTAAGTTTTGCAAAAAAAATTACCAGACTTAAATATTGGCAATAACATTTAAAGAATTTTAATTTTAAACTACTTTCGAAAACTGTGTAAAGCCCTTCTTTGGATACCGACAATTTTGACCCATTTATTGAGTTTGACCTAGAAGTTCGATCTAATTTGAAAACCTTTATATTTTTGTCATAAATTTTGAATGGTTGGTACTAGGACTTTCATATTTTTTGAGAGAAGACCGTCCATAAGGTACAAGCAAATTAGTCCCTTTGACATTAAAGTTTTGCCTTTTTTGAACTTTCATTTGCCATAAGACTACGATCTCATTCCCGTCTTGGTTTGGCATCAACCTTTCCAGTTTACTTTTAACTTTTCAAAACTAATTTTTTTCAAAATATTCAATGAAGTAAATAAGTTCATATATTAGCTAGATATTTGTAGACGTTTGCACGTGAGAGTTCTCGGTCGACAAGCCGAGTACAGGTCCTACACTGGCAAATGGTGCATATGGCGTCTCAACATGAGTAAAAAAGGAATTCTCGAATGGATGTTTTAAAACAAACAGACAACCAAGCAAACAAACCTCATCAAAGGACTGTATATTTATATAATGCGGACAAAGAGAGTGTGAAGATTATTTTTTGTCAGTTTGTACGTGTATTTTGACAATAAACATGCTGATATATGTTGTCTGGTATATTCCCTAAAACATGTTTAAAAAAAACAATGTTACTAATTTAGTCTTATTCATCCTCTGCCAATGTCACACATTTAGTGATATTTATTTCCAGGTTCTGTGCTACAAGACAGAAAGGGGGATCACTCGAATTTGGTCTTGAACAAAGGTTTGCTTGAAATAAAACTTCAAATACTGAAATGTAAAACTTATTCGTGTAAATGCCAATCTTTTGAATTCTTCATCGGACCTTGAAAAAATTGCACTCACTTTTTTATTACAACAGAAAGAAAATACCAAATTCTCTTCATAACTTCTAACAATAGAGCAATGTGGTCAATTAAACCTTTGCATAGAAGTGAATGCAGCGGCAAGTGAGAGAAAATGTGTTGTTTTTCAGCAACACATATCTCGCTTATTGCATTGCTTTCTTTGAGATGTTAATTATCTACTAATGGTTGAAGGTAAGATTTATCTATAAACATTATAATATTGGAGGAATCAATACATGTATATTTCGGACATTATGTGTGTATACGTGCCTTTTGGAAGAAGTTAGTGTTTTTATTTCTTAAGGTGAAATGTAGACTATACATGTAGAGTTTATAGCAATTTTTGATTGCCACTAATCATTGCATGTGGGTTAAGTATGCAGTTCTTTAATTAATCTATGCTCCATTGTTAATTTCTGCATGTTTTAAGGACATGCGGGTATACCGACATGCATGCCTGACATTCATGTACACTAGTGACTCTGCATATACACGTTTTACTAGTAGTTCGAGAGCTTAAAATATACTGATGCATATTGTAATTATATTCTTAATGAAATATGCATTTTTTACGCATTTTATTCCATTAACATGATTAAATCGCATTTACAGTTGGTGTTATTATTTTCTTATTGTTGAATGAAAAATATATTTTCTGCAAAGGTCTGAAAACGATAGCCACTTATACATCTTATACAGGCTTTTGCTATTGTTATTCAGATTATTAACATTTAAGTATTTTCTTTTAGCACATATTTCATGTTGATTTAATTTTTAATTACATGTAGATTGATTTTATCACTAACACTACAAAAATGCACCACAATAATTGATAATCAATTCAAGCTAAGAGGGTACTAGCGTATGCAACTGACGATCAAACCATCATTTTGTAACATTGTAAACAGCTCCGTACATCGATTCTTATTAATTGATAGATCGATAAGCATGATAAGTGTATCAATAAAAATTCGAGTTGAGGTTTACAAGATCGAACAAGTCATGGAACTGGTGCATCCAAAGGAATAAAGGGATAAATAAAATCCTCAATTTTAGTACCTGGTATTTGATAAGGAAATGTGTAATGTGTAAAACTCTTTCAGAATCAACAGTTTTCAATGTTGTTATTCCATAATTATAAATAATACAATATCATGGATCTCCGAAAAAAAAAGAAGTTCAGTGGGGGATGGGTTATCCGCTCTAACAGATAATGTTTTTTGGCTCATCAACATGATCAATGGAACATGTACAAATGCTGTCATACGCTCATGTCTATAATATTGAGAACCTGTAATATTTGTATGATTATCTAGACACGGTCGATGCCCATTCGCAGGAAATGGCGATCATATATATATGTACTGTAGAATGCAGACTTGGCATTGTTTTCAAAAGAGCGTTTACAGATCAATCGAGATATTTATCAAAATAAGCACTCTTGTTCATGAAAACGAATCAATTTACAATCCTGAATAATATGGCTAATTATAGCACAGAGGCCAAACAGAAAATTGGAAAATATAATTAAATTACATATCTGTATTAAAAAATTAGTATTTTACATCGAGTAACATTGGCTTCATACACATTCATTAAGTGGCAATCAACACACTTACTTGACCCAAAT